TAAATCTAGCTTTATTTGCGCTTGTTAAATATTGCGAGATAGCTATGTACAAGGCAAATGTGTTTTAAGGGTTCCGTGGTCGAAACGTAAAAACGGAATCTTATGAACACTTTGTGCAGCCCAAGTTCAGAGTCAACTGTCAGTGTTAAATCTTTACGTTAAAAAAAATGGTAAAATTTACCTAGATCGTGTTAAGTATAATTTATTCAAGTACAAACAGAGAAGCGTTCAGTCTAAATAAAAACAATATTCAAATGACATTTAAAGTTAAAATAATATATACCACATAATTAACATAATCGTGTTAAAACCTTTATACAATCGTTTCGTCCTTTTTCTCCCTATACATAAAACATATGTTTGAAAAAGACAAAGTATATTTACCATATATTGACGGTATCGTCATTAAGGATTAAATCCTAAATATTTTAGCTAAACGTATTTTTATGTTGTTTATAACAAGTTTTGACATTCTATAACATTTTTCACAAAATTTTAGGTCATTATGAAATTTATTTTAGACTACCTGTGACAGATTTTATAGACGATATGAAAGGGCGTCAAAGGTTAAGAATTGCAAAGCTAATATAATAATGAATAGCACAGTTTTATTGACAGTTAAAGCACTTCGGACTTCAAATCAAAGAAGGTCTTTCAGAATATATCATGTCTGTCTTAACAGTTATAATAAATTAGAAATATACGTAATCAACAAGGATTCTTCCTCTTCCAATACTTAAATTCAACAAAAGTTTAACTCAAACATGAGGCTGCTAGAGGCAGAGTGGCCTAATAACAAAAAACATGATTTTCAATAATAAGGTAAATAAAACTGCGCAATTATTTAGGGGAAAATGAATTTGTACTATTATTTGTGTAAGAAAGATGTTAACAATTTTTGGTCACTGTGTTCTTGTAGATTAACATTTTTAGACTATAAACTGTACTACTCTGCTGCGGCCTCATATAGGTATTATTAATCTATATTATATCTTATTTATACAGTTGTCATTTAAAAAAGTTGTCGATATTTTGCATATTAAATCCATTGAATAAAACTATCGCTAATAAACATCACACTCACACAACACTCACTGTTAGATATTTACCTTTAATTAACGAACAAATATTCACTAATGTCGACTCACTATGTTTTTACGTTGACCGCACGCGGAGAGGCGAACACGCGTTACCCAACGCGTCGTTAAGACTCCACTGGCTGAATTTCGTCCCACGGCAAGGACTTGTGTCATACCACGTAATACGCATTGTGTACTTGACCGTACGGTGGCTAGCGAACCATTTGAACCTTGCTCGAATTAACCGCAATCGTAGACCAAAATAGTACTTACTATTTACCCAACCGATAATCCGCAAAATTCTGTTTTCCCTATGTCGGTCATTGCGCAGATGTAATCGATTTTTTTTTATAGCTTGACTTGGCTTATCTTAAGGTATTGCCTGCAGGTTGAGCAAGTACCTAGTACATTTATGAATAAAACAGTTAAGGGTTCATAACGCGAAATATTTAAATTTCCTATATTTAAAACCCTAGATCTCAAAAAACTGGCATACCATCGTGAGCCAATTCCGAAACGTCAAAATTGTATCAATTAAAAAGGGTTTATCTTTATTCTTTCTTCAGTCTTTCCTAGCATTCTCATTGTGTAGGTATTATCTTTACCTTGCACTGCAACAAGTACCGAGTTCAATTACGGAAAAACACGATGTACTGTTTACCTCATGAAAGACGAAGAAGAATTGAAATTACGATCAGTGAAACGGGTAGGTACAGAAATGTGTCGAATAAATAAATCTTTTGTTAGATCTTTATTTGAATCGCTTTTCTTATTTATTTTATTCTGTTATCGTGTAAGGTACCTTAACGAAGAAACTTATTTACAAATTTAATTATTAGTTCAGTTACCTTCCTAATTATTAAAAGGTGGTGTTTATATGAATATGAGCAAACAGATTGTATATTGTTCTCTTCCTGTTACTAACGCGACCACAATTTTTCAATCACTGCCTGTGGGGTCCACGGACAATTTGAATTTGTATATCACTTTCAAAATGTCCGCCGTTTGTTGTTATACTTTGTTTTCATACATAAAGTTACTGCTTATATTTATTATAGAACCCTTTATTCCATCACAAGGGACACATGAAATAAAACTATGTATTTTTATTTGTTCTCTTTCTAATATTACAAGTGACCAATATGACACATATACATTGTGTATTTAGTAAAAAAAATAGTAATTTTTTTTATTAGCAAGAGTACCAAGAGTTTGACGGGCTATGTGCTGTAATATCCACGGGTCGTGGGTTCGATCTCCACAGGGTCCAGCGTGGATCTAATTGGTTTGCCCAAATATTAAAACACCATCAGGGTCACGAACCACCATCCACAATTGAAAAAGCTGTGAAGGATTACGAAGTCAGAATACGTCAACGGCATTTGTCATAATATATATTTTGTTATAATCTAGGCCACGCGATAAGTATGCAGGTAGTACAGCCAGGTGTAAATATTGTAACGCACACACAACACAATGAAAAATGTATTGATTTCATAACTGACTTATAATTTACGAGCTGTAATTAATGCGATGATGTATGTCTTTTGTTGATAACCTTATGTAACTGTTCGAAAGTAGACGATTACAATTCATCGCATCGTTTAGTCGGACCGAGCCGTGTGATCAGCATTGACAATGTATTTACCGGTCATAACGAAGAAATGGTCGAAAACTACGCGTGTATCGTGTGTAAACTTATAAATCTACTTTAACTGAGTTTAGGGTTTGGAAAAGAAAGGAAGAAGATCCATTTACAAAACATTATAATAAGAGAGGATTTAAATAAAACACTTTAACGGTTTAAAACGCGATATATTAGTTAAACTTATTTGAAAATTATTTTATTAGACGTTTCGGATGCTTTGCTACATCCGGGATCAGGGGGGAGACTAAAGATGGAGGATGTCTCTGACGTCAAAGTAAAAAATTGCTACGCTAGCGCCATCTGTTCCGTCGGAGATGGTATTTAACTATATCGCGTTTTAAACCGTTAAAGTGTTTTATTTAAATGTGTACTACTCGCGTAAACTATAGACATTATGGAGTGATAAAACTATACACTCTTTAAGCATATGTATAACAAACATTTGCAACAATACTGTCATTCAGTAGTGGAGCACGAGAGGTAGTGGAGGCTCTTAACCCCGGGAGGTCGGCAGTGCAACAGTCTGATTACCTACTTGCCAGTAAATAACGTTCCCTCACTGAAACAAACATCGTTGTACTCGATAACTACATATACACGGCACGAACGTAGGAAAAAAGTAAAGAAATAAGATGAATTCAAATGTATATTGACCGGATACACACAGACTCTTTCTTCTATTTATATACCTTCAAGTTTGTTTATTTCTTGTAATTTGAAATCTTTTCAGACCTTCAAAATACTTCCAAGTAGTCTCTCGATTCTGTCCATATGTTGGTCCGAATATCGAAGTGCCAGTCGTTTCCGTTACCTGGTTCGCATCATTGTTTCCTAAGTTACACAACACTCGAGTGCGATGTGAGATATTTTCATAATTTTATTGCCCACAAATATTATGAAACAGTCGTAATGTATGTGCCAGTTTGTGGTCTTTCTACTCCGTAGCAAATTTTGTAAGACCCCAAGAAATATCTAATTATACGATTTCCCTTTTTAAGTGTACACAAGGATTTGTTATCGATTTTCATCTGTACATAATAACTAGTTGTCCTCGCGAATTGGTCCGCGATTTTAATGGTATTTGTTAATGGTAGCTGTTACCCACGACATCGTCCGCGTCCTGTCGTACTTACGAATTAATGTATAAGATATATATACTGTCGCGGATTTCTTTAGGTAATTTCCAAAGAAACGGTTTTCGCAGTGAATTTTTTCGGTTTTTTCCACTCTTCCCTGTATTTCTTCATTTCAATTGGTCGTAGTCTAAAGCCTTCCTCTATAAACGGTCCAACCAACGCAAGAAGCGTTTTTGAAGTCGAACAAGTAGTTCTTAGAGTTTAGCGCGTGCCAACAAACGCGTTATATTCCAAAAAAAACAAAAAAAAGTTTTATTGTCTAATAGAGAAAAAATAAAAAAGGAATAAAATATTAGGAATATATATCTTTATTATTATTAAAATGTATAAACCAGTTTTATATTAACACAAAAGCTTCCTAACAGATTTGTATTTCTTATTTCTACTTAAAAGTAAGTAGTATACGTATATCTGTACTATGTCATATAGTTACAAAGCCTCTCTTAAACACACTTCTTGTATTATTCAGCGAGCCGGCAGTGCTCCAGTGCTCTGTAGACAAAAGCGTAAGTCGAGGACAAGAAGAAAAGTTAACTTCAATCTGGAGGAGGCATTCTATTCATTCTTAAAGGGTTAGCAAAAAAATATGCCGGAGAAAATTTGCGTTACATAGAGTAGCTAAATTAAAACAGAGCGTTCACCTCGCGACATAAATTTCTAGACTCAATCCGTAGTTGAGAAAGAGGATTTTGATATTCGCCCGATATTGATAACTTGAACAATTTGGTGGATCTAAGCTCTTACATCTCGCTTAATATAAAATATATTAAAATGACATTAATATACTGGAAGAAACAATATACAGTTTGAGTATGGCAAAATCATTATTATAACATGATTATGTCTGGAAAGGTTTTAGAGGTTATTTGATGTTACAAGCATATTCTTAGTTGATCATCTCTACGTTTAAATGGTTAAACGTGTTGCCTTCGCATTACGTTAAGCGCGAAAGGTCCTGGGTTCGAATCGTGGGAAAACAATAGATTGTTTCAGTAGGGCAGAAGTTTACTTTCCTGTAAATTAAACCGATTAGTGAAACGCACAGGGTAAAGTGCCCCATAGGGAAAAACTCGATTTTTACTTTATGATTCTTCTAAGTTCTGTTATTTTCTTTAGTTAACAGACATTGTCAACGCGATGTCATCTCGTGGTGAACTACCGCTGGAGTTGGCATTACGAGGCCGCAGCTCTTCGATAGCCACTACGCTGCTACAGCATTGCGCAGACGCAGACGCTCGGGGTCCTAGAGGAAGAACGCTACTGCATCGGGCTATCGATGCAAGAGACGCGTTCTCGGCTAAGTTTCTGGTTGAGAATGGAGCGGATCCTAACCTTACCACTAAGTAAGTCTTACTTACAATTTATCATGGTTCTATTAGGCATTACCAATACTTTGACCCATTTCTGTTCGCATGAATTTGTCACTATAGCTATTTTTAGGGCTAACAATTAACTCCAAAAACAATCTAACAATTTCAATTCCAACTACATCATATAAGGTATATTCAAGCTCTCATACGAAAAGCAATACTACTCAATTTTTCTTCTGTTAAAATTTTAGTATTGGTCGAAATTAATCCTCGATAGCATAGGACTTCACATTAAAAATGTTCGATTGAAAAAAATATTACGTCTCAGGCGGGACTTGAACCGACATACACAGAATTCCATCTAGCTGACCTAACCAATTGATTATATATATAGAATTAGAATTTAGAAATAGAATAGAAAATGGTTAGAGCAGAAGCAAGGAACGCTGTGATTTCTAGTTACATAATGCTATCTTCTGCAATGTGAAAAAAGTATTGAAGTTTTCAAGCATAGAACCATATTTAAAAGTACGTAATCCGGTTATTCTATGCAACATATTATATCACTTTTGCCTTCAGTTTAAAACATTGATTAAAACTATGCCATAATAACCGGTCACATTTCCTTACGTTTTAGTTAAGCCAATAATTTTATAACTCGATAAATCGGTTGCGCCAGAATACGTCAACGAGTTCCGCATAAGTTCAAGGCTTTTTTCAACACAGACTTGTTCTAAATCTTTCTGCTTAACTAACATACTTTATATTAGACACACATACACATCCACCATCTTAACATATTCATTATATGTGCATATTTTATTATATAATTACTAAGATAATTTTATTAACCAGTATATTTTAATTATTCATTCAGAAGCGTTTAATTATGGCGTGGTTTAATGGATTTTTTTAATTTTGTATGAATACATTTTATGAAGTTTCATTTAACGAAGGCATTAAGGTACTAGAAACGTAGTAATTGCGCATGACCAATTAAATAATTTCAACTACTTAAATGTGATATAATTGCAGAAGAGGATGACAAAATAAATAAAAATATGTAAGAGAAACTAACACTAGGAAATCAGAGGACATATTTGTCTCGTGAACAAAAGAAAATCAGTATTTCGTGATAATGGCGGTTCGTAGCTCAGCAAAGCAACTAAGTAAAACTATATTAGTGTATTTGAGTTCAGGATTCGACTCCTTGCTACGTTAAAATTTTAATTTACTTAAGACTTAAACTTCTTGGCATTTGTATATTGTAAATATTTTCAGAGAAGAAGGCGATACCGTTTTGCATCTAATAGCCGGACTCACTGCTAGTTCTTGCGATCCAGAGACGATGGAGCAGATGGTGGAAATCGCAGATATCGTCGTGCAGAAAGGAACAGATATTAATCGGCAGAACAGAAAGGGATTGTAAGTACCTTTATTAATTTACTGACCCCTCTAGAGGACGCAGATAGAAGATAAGTCATCATACCGTAACCACGGCTTTTGTAGAAAAAAATCTGTAAGAAAAACTTGGCTCGTGCGAACTGTAGACAAATATCGATCTTATACATCGCACCGGATCAAAACAGTACTGTTTCTCTCTCTTTATGTCAAATGAGGTTATATAAAACAAAAGTAACTGGCTGAAAATGTTTTTGGCGTTATGGAAAGACGATACCATATGTATATTATGTAATAGCACAAGCCAAGGCTATTATAATTTGATTTTCTCTTATTCCAGTACCCCACTTCACCAAGCAGTAATAGCAAGAAATCAACAAATATTCGATCTGCTCCTCAAACAGACCAACCTAGATACCAACCTGCGTACAACGACAGATGAACATCCACCACTCTACTACGCCCTCGTTGACGATCGACGCGCGTCAATCTCTTCCAGCGAAACTCTAGTCATGAACGGTTCTAATCCCTTCGACACACCTGTTACAAATAAAAATGCCTTTACCGAAGACCCGGTAGAGGGAAAGACTGATAGTATAGTGGAGAGAGGTTTCGCTGCTAAGCTGTTGGAAAAGGGGTGCCAAGCTAACCCACTATATTCGGGCTCCGGTGATAGCTTACTTCACATTTTAGCACAGGGCTGGTTTGAGGTAAATATTATTCAAAAATACTGTCTGTTGTTTACGTAAGTACTAAACATTTAAGTAAAAACACTTTTAACTATTTAATACGCGAAATAAATGATAAGCATCCGAAACGTCGGGCCGTAGTTAAATTAATTCAAAACAAGTCAACTAATACATTTACTGTTTAATTTAAAAATCGAAAATAAATTGAAAAAATTTTCGACTCGGGCAGGACTTGAACCGGCATCGTCAGCTTTCCGTGCTGTTGCTCTACCAATTGAGCTACCGAGTCCTACACCTCATCGTCGAATTTTTTCAACTTATTGATACATGCACCTCTCTCGCAATGTAATTTCTACCTTAACACTTGCGTATTAAGGCTCAATGTCTTATGCTTTGCAGCTTAAGAAATCATTGAAGATGAAATTACAAAGTTATAACGTTTGAAAACATTAATATTTTTCACATGTTATTGCACATGAAGGCACTATATAATTTAAAAATCGAAAATAAATTGAAAAAATTTTTTTTTTCAATTTATTTTCGATTTTTAAATTATATAGTGCCTTCATGTGCAATAACATGTGAAAAATATTAATGTTTTCAAACATTTACTGTTTTAAACCGTTAAAACTGTTGTATTTAATTCTTTGTAGATGTAAATTAATTAAATACCTAACCCTAATGATTCATTAAATTTCATGTGTAATGAAATGTAAAAAATATAAACAGAGACAACTTATGAAGAAAATTTGCATAGATTTTCAGCCGATTTCTAGTATTATGTAAACGTCATTATTGTTTTTTAGTGTTTTCTATTTTTGATATGCTCATAACAGCAGTAAATACCTACTAATGCTCTTCTAATGCCCTTATTATATTTTATTCTTTAAACATTTTCAGGACTCAGCAGTGTTTCTTGCGTCCAACCTAAACGGGGACCTGAACCACACAAACGAGGCTGGAATGACGGCTCTACATGCAGCCTGTGCGAACGGTCTAACGCGGTTGACGGCAACACTTCTAGAACACGGCGCAAGACCTAACTTGCAGACGGCGTATGGAGAACACGAGGACACTGTATATAGGTAAGTACTGTAGCTTCATTATAAATTATTCCCATCAAAGTTGTAGGACACACTGTCCGTTACATGAACAATTGTTTGAATCTTAAATTTTAATATTCTATTAAACATAATATTTTTTAATTATGTTATGGTAGAACTAATCTTTATCTACTTGGTGCGCTAAAATCTATCTTTGAGGCATCCATTCGTTTATTCATTGTCCTTTATGTAAATGGAAAAATGAAAATTTCTTCATTAATTTCTTTTGTATTGCGCAAAATAATAATGATACAGAATAAAAAGTTACATACAAGATGGAGTGCATTTATTAAAAATGAAAAATAAAATATTTTTTTCAGCCATACAAAATACTTTTATATTAATTGATGGTAGTAAATAATTAAAAAAAAAATATCGGGGTATAACAATGGGCAAGTAACAAAATGTAGAATAGTTGTTTTCCATTTCAATAATACGTTAACATGTTTAAAGGCCGTTATCTACTGATAGGCAATAGGGCAATATTATATTATTATTTATATATTAGTTGAATTGTAAACTACATTTTGACGGGTTAAAACTCCACGCTTTAATGGGTACTGTTCGGTAATATTAAAGACAATTTTCAATACGTTATATGTTTCATTATGTTCGAAGTCACGCAGACAGTATTTTACTATCCTATACCTGATCAATATGTAATCCACATTAAATAATATATTCGATGCGTGAACAAAATCATACGCAACATTTACTAACCTTATGCAACCATTTCATGATCATATTCCCTATTACCAGTTTAACGTGTCATATAATTAAACAAATTATTATTAATAATTCGCTTCATTTATCAACAACTTATATACGTAAGAAGTTTAAAAAGAATACATGATAAATACACCACGTCTTTCTCATTCTTTTCGGATTTATCGTTTCATAATTGAAAATGTGTTTGATAAACAAGTGACACTATAATACCTTGTCTATAACTATTTACGATATATTATGTTTGATATAACTTAATTCTCTGTAAGTTGGATCATCTTCTGTATGTTGTGGTCAATTTGTTTAAGTTTTTGTGAGTTTGGTAGTATATAAAATAAATCTCGATTGTAAATTTAAAAAATTACTATTTAAGTAGGACGGTTTGTTAGTCTTAATATTGATAATAGACCACGAGTCACATTTATTTCTTAAATTTCAGACAGACTCCGATACATTTGGCAATTCTCAGCAATCATGAAGGATGCGTACTGGCTATCATAGATCACAAGAAGTCCACCGATAAGGACGAATCCCCGTCCACAGACAGGTCCGTCGTTAGCCTTGTGCCTAATCTCAATTTGAGGAATTCTGAAGGGGACACGCCGCTCAGCCTTGCTCTATCTGAAGGTTACTAACAAATGTTCTCTTAAATATACGACTAAACAATCGTGACAGGCAGGGCATGCCTCGAACCCACATCTGCAGTGTTCCTTTCTGTAGCTTTCGATAGCTCAATTTGCAAACAGGGCAGCACAAGTTAACACATGAAAAAAATCAATGAAAGTACTGTTATATAAAATTGTGTTATTGCGGATAATAAAAACAAATACAAAGCAAAAAAGAAATTGCAGAAATAGCAAATGCTACATAAAATATTTTGCATATGAAAATACACAAATAATCCGTCGGTGCACCGGCACGATCCCCACGGAGACACATTTTTGACTTCGTCCGGATATCACTATCATAAAAAAATTATATAAAATTAAAATTTTCAGGCCATAAGCACTTAGTAGCACCTCTAATAGAAGGCGGAGCAGATCCGAATATTCGCAATGGAAAAGGCTTCACGTTACTGCATCAAGCTATTATCGAAGAAGACTCGAGAACAGCTATCTTCTTGTTGGACCATGGCGGGGATATGAATACACTGTGAGAAAGCCCATACTGTTATACATTTTTTTTATGATAGTAGAACAGACAAGCCCCATGTTTGTTCACTTGATGGAAGGTAAAGTACCTCAGCCATATGCCTCGTTGACCTATTTCGTCTTTTAATAATCGGAGATCCACAGACTGAAACCAAATCGCGATAAAAAATACGACGTTTTAATCTCTGGACGAATGGTTCGTGACCCGAACGGAATTTCGATATTCCTACCATCCAGATTTCCAGACGAAGTCCAACATGTTTCAGAAAATTAATTAATTGATTAGAAAATGTTGGACTTGGTACGGATCAAACCCATTGATTATTAGCCATACGTAGGCATGTATGGCTAATAGGCATTACACCAACAAGACATTAAAAATTATATCTACTACTAATTGGTTACTTAGTTGAAGATCACTATCGTTTTATCTTTAAAATATAAATTATGTTTTTTTTCCAAAAAGATACTTCCAATGACTTTCAAATCTTAAAATGTTTTTGTCATGTTCATATTTCCTTAAACTAATATAAGGCATAATGTGTCGCCATCTCTTGGAGAGTACATAAAAACACGTTGTTTACAAAGAATTGATTTTTAATCAATCAGGACGGATGCTGGTGAAACTCCTCTACAACTCGCGATCCACTGTCGCTTGGGCTTAGTGGTGGAAGCGTTGTGTGTACGTGGGGTCGATATGAGCAAACTGGATGCGAATGGTGTTCCTCCTCTTTGGGCCGCACTCGATTCGGGCCAGGAGGAAGTGGCTAGTGTAAGTTCCTATTGAGATTAATAGCTCAACAAGCTAATATAAATTTAGTGTTCATTACTTGAAAATAATGTGATTGTTTTAATATTCTTCGGTACTTTTTTTTCAAATGTAATAAGACCATAGCGATTTTTTAACTTTGTGCATCATGATTTAATTTACTAGCAAACTGTTTTCAAGACTTAGTTTCATATAATACGTAAAATAATATTTTATAAGCATTGTTACCATTATAATCTGGCTCGAAGGACCAAACACCATGATAATATAGATAAATCAAGTTTTTAAACGTTTTCTTTTAGATCTTAGTGAGAAATGGAGCTGATGCAGATTGTTGGGGTGCAGGGCCAGATGGCTGCATACAAACACTGCTTCACAAGTAACTATTATTGTCACTATAAGTATATATTTCTATCGTTTTTTGGTTATATATTAAAAAAAAAAAGGGATTTAGATATATACCGACTTATCTTTGTATTCTCACTGTACCTAAAAATATTATTGTTCTTTTAAAGAGCGATCGACGAAAACAAAGAGAGCCTAGCGACTTTCCTCATCCGGTCCGGTTGCGACGTAGAGTCTCCGCGGAGGCCCGGCCCAGCGGGAGAGGGTGCTGATGTTGCAGCAGATAAACATACACCTCTACATCTTTGCTGTACTTGGGGACTTACCGAAGTTATACAGGTAAATAAAATAATCAGTATTAAATGCTGTCTATGGTTAACGGTTAGCGGTAACACTTTAACGGTTTAAAACGCGATATATTAAAAACAGTATTTATAAAAATTGCTTAAACCTGTTTCGCCCTTTTGACTGAAGTTTTATTTAAAATAAGAAAGAAACATAAGTAATAAATGCAAACGGGATGACACCGTTAGTCAATTCTGTAAGGCTAGTTTCGCCAAATACCAACTTCGACGAAACAGATGAGACTAGCGTAGCAATTTTTTACTTTAACGGCCGAGACAGCCTCCACCTTTAGCCCCGTAACTACGACTGCTGCCAAGCATTCTAAACGACAGGCCGAAGTTAAAAATAATTTTCAAATAAGTTTAACTAATATATATCGCGTTCAAAAGTGTTTTATTTAAAAAAAAGAGACAAACTTATACTATCGGAAAAAATAAAATGCACAATATGTAACATATATATAATGCTTAGTTTACTAACAATTTATGGTAAATATAATAATTCCGCAGACGCTTCTAGAACACGGCGCGAACATTAACTCGAAGGACGCAGAAGGAAAGACGCCTCTTCACATCGCGATAGAGAACCAGCACGCGGGGATCATATCGCTGCTTCTGTCCCAGCCTGGAGTCGACCTCTCTGCGAGGGATAATCGCGGGGTGACGCCTTTTGCAGCTGCGCTTACCGCGAGAAATAATAAAGCAGCACAAGCCATTTTAGAGAAGAACCCTTCAGCTGCTGAACAGGTCACTAAATAATAATGTAATAAATACTTACACGTCCCACCTGTTAAGGCATGACTTAGCTTTTTACTACCAAGTGCTCAATTTATAACAAATACAGTAGGTAAGTAATAAAAAATCTAAGCGATATGTTGTTATATTATACACACACACTATGTTGATAGTGTGTGTGTGTGTTGGTGTTGAAAGGTTTTATCAGACAAGCATGGCGTTCACTCGATGGTAGGTGACAATCCCAGCCGTGTAACATCTGAACAAGATACGCTGTCTACCTGTTTCGATATTCCTACTCACCATTTTATATCCAGGTTTCCAGACGAAGTCAGGAAAATTATAAATTAATTAGAAGCACATAGGACCCGATGGGAATCGTACCCACGATCCTTCATGAGTAGCCATACATTAAATACTATATTTAAATAAAACACTTTAACGGTTTAAAACGCGATATATTAGTTAAACTTATTTGAAAATGATTTTTAACTTCGGCCTGACGTTTCGGATGCTTTGAACTAATATATCGCGTTTTAAACCGTTAAAGTGTTTTGTTTAAATAGCCATACATTGCCGACATTGTACCAACTAGCCCTTCAAGGTTCATAAAGTTGTAGAATCATAATGGTGCTAGTAATTATTACATGTTGTCTCACTTAGCCAATATCGGCTGAAAATAATATCTTTACATCTAACGGACTTATGTATTATTATCAATATTTTATGGTATTATTAATGATATAAAATGCCAAAATCTAGCCGTTCTTACATAGGATAACTACATATTGTTACACGGTTTGGAAATATGTACTATTTTTGAATTTATAAATGTTTCCTATTTATAAACTGTCTTCTATCTCCAGGTCGACAAAAAGGGGAGAAACTTCCTCCACGTTGCAATACAAAAGTGTGACATGGAGAGTGTGATGTTTCTGTTATCCGTCAAAGTGGATGTGAATTCTAGAGTTCAGGATGCTACACTAGCGCCACCGATCCACTTAGCGGCGGCGGCTGGAAATGAAGTGCTTTTACGAAGTCTCTTTTTAGCCGGAGCGAGGCCCAATGACAGAGATGCTCACAAGTGAGTATTAAAATAAAAAATATATCACTTTTTGTGTCCTTAAAGCATGAGCGACTTTTGTCTTGTTAGAAACAAAACCTACTTGGGATTTGCTGCTTGAAAAATTAGTATACAGATGGACTTGAATGAGAAATATATTCAGTAGAAGTAATAATTTTCCAAAAAATACATAGTAGGAAGATGAGAAAAATCTTGGACACAGGCTTAGTATTGTAATACTATAGTGACACTAGTAAGTAGTATTTTTTTATGATAGAGAGGGACGAACAAGTATATGATTCACTTGATGAAATACTCCAGTCATATAACATCTAAAAAGATTCGCAAAATTTGTTATCAGTACAAGAAACAAAAGCGATAAGATCACCAAATTTTTAATAATTTACTCATAACTCAAACTCAATAATTTTGACGTCAGACGAACAGCTCTGCATGTAGCTGCTGGTGCCGGGGGAACGTGCCAAGCAGCCATAGTGTCTGCTTTAATCAGCCACGGAGCGGAAGTTGGTGCGGTGGACGCAGCAGGAGATAACGCTCTGCACATTTGCGCGCGAGAAGGCCACGCCCCAGCTGCGCGAGCGCTTTTGGCAGACTCAGATATAGATGCGGCCGCTACTAACCTCAAAGGTTAATTTAAACTATCTGTGACATACTATTATACTTCTGGTTTTATATATTGATATTTTGTTGTGATTTATGCCTGTTTTATTTCCAATCTCGGTGAAATATTATAATCGTGCAAAGTCTGTTACTTTCTTGCTTGTAGGTAACATTATAAAAGGGATAAAGAATTTTTAAAATGAAATTCTGAATTAAACTATTTAATTAATTAAGTGTGGCCTACTCGCATAAACTACAGACAAATGTTAAAAGAAATTGGTCGATTTTTTGTGATCTTAATTCTGAGCAAAATGAACCGGCAAGAATTAAATGTTGATTTACCATAGTTTTTTTGCGTAATTAGGACGCAACCCGCTACACGAGCTGTGTTGGTGTAAAAAAGACAACGCGGCAACAATATGCGAAACGTTCCTCGAATTTATGCCGGACTATCCAATAAATAGGACCGATTTACAGGTAGACAACATATACTTTTCGCATTTTGAATTGTTAAAAGAGAATCATATAATAATACCCTTTTTGGTTTAAAACTTAAAAAATCCTTCAATTAAATTCGACACCAATAAACTTGATTAAACTTCCTTTCCTAACGTTACTACTCCATAACATTCATGAATATATATAACAAATTATCCAATTTGATTATATGAAAATGTTGTTTCTCTAGGGTAACACACCACTGCTGTTAGCATACATGAATGGTCAAGCAGCCATGTGTCGGGTACTGGTTAAAGCTGGAGCCTGTCTTGCACACGAAAATAAGGAAGGAGTATCAATATTCAATTACCAGGTATGAACATTTTTTACTATAAGCAAACAATTCAGCAATTCTAGACCTTGTTTTCACAATATTTTTATATCTTAATAAATCCTTTTCATTTGATTAATATCATAAACATTTATAATAAAGGGACAAGATTGAGAATTACAACAAATGACAATATGTTACTGAATTCGCTATAGATGATGTATGTATGAAAAAAAAAAATCCCGCTTCCCCCTCGTGAGGCATGGGGCGAACACATTATTGTGTTCGTTCTTTAACAGACAAGTAGTTGATCGGACTTCTATGCCCTGCCCGAGCCGAGACATTTTTTTTCTTTCACAGAGATTGGAACCCAGAACCTCTCGCGCTTCACGCAATGCTAGGCAATACGTTTACCTATTTGGCTACAGAGGCGGTCATAAAAAATATAACGATATGTAAACTATATAATAGTTACTCTCTAGAAACAAATATTTACAATTTACAAATACTCCCAGGTGGCAACTCGACAGTTATTACATCGATTGCTTGATGCGCTGCCGGCTGAAGCACCATGGGCTGAAAGTGACCTTTGCCAAGAGTGTGGAACTAAGTTTACTCTCACCATGAGGAAACATCACTGGTATGTAGCCTCCATTCTCATATCGGCTCGAAGGACCAACTTTTTATTTTTTCTTTTTAAATATTATATACTTCAAATATTAGTATGACTCGACACGCATGATGTTTAAAATCCAATCTGAATTAGACCGTCTGTAGAGGCCGTACATTATACATACTTTCAACTCACTCTCTTTATAATATCTGTATATTTTATTGATTGATAGTTTTATAATAATATTATTTTATAGCATAGCTAGCATAATTCTAAATCTATGTCAATGTCGTGGTCACTTCAATGTTTTTATTAAAAGCAAATTTACAAGGTTAGCTTAGTGAGCGTCCTATTTTTCACTTTCTTGTAAATTATATTAAAACAATATTGATAGGAAATAAATCAGTTGCACTACAGCACTCATTGGGTTTGGTTACCTCGCCTCCCTCTTAAACTTATTTTTATCTTAATCATTTCTCTTATCTATCGGAAAAGTATACATTCACGTATTCTTTTCCGAACTGTTTTACGCAACAGTCTCTGGTACCCGAGACGCGGGAGTATACGCTACAGATATTATACTCTATGATTGTTTGAACACTGTAATTTTTTCATTTCAGTCGGCACTGCGGTCGTATGCTTTGCAACAAATGTTCCAGCCAGGACATCCCTATATTGAAGTTTGGAATGAATAAGCCACAACGCGTGTGTGAAATCTGTTTCAATGTGCTACAAGTTGGTGCGAGTTAGAATAAACTAGGTGTAGACTTACGATATTGTAAAAGCTACGAAGAAATTAGAAATTGCTCATAATTGACGCTATAAGTCTCGATTCTGCAGTGATACATTTGATACGAAATTATATAAGGACGCCGCTTTATACTTTTTATATGGACGTGTTTAATTTTAATGTATTGGACTGAACTTAAATGGTTAGGATGTATCGGACTTAGATGATAGTTCCCAAAATTTATGTTCGCGGTTTACTTTAAGTAAATGCGCTTCACTATGCTTGTTTAATCTTCAAGAGTCTGTCTTGTCTGATCTGTTTGGAAAATATTGATATTAAGCGTGTTTCAGTCAAAATATTGCCTGAATTAATCTTTCCTTTATATTCCTTAAAATGACTTTGCCAAACTATGGACTTGATTGCTCCATATTCAACTATGTTCTTGGTCACTATCAGGTATATTTTTCCCTAACTACCCTATACTATGCCAAAGGTGTAAAAATCACTTTTAAGCCTGTATTCATTTACAAATTGTTTTTTCTGATATTAAAGTTATTTATAGAAATCGTTTATGTTACGTATTTATTTATGTAAAATTTTGCATTTGGTAGACATTCCTCACAGTATTGTTTATGTAAACTATAATCGAGAGTTTTATTATTATTTTATGAAATTATTTGGTATGTTGCTTTAATAAATTGATATTAAAGTATTGTAGTTGTTTTATTTTGTGCTGTAACAGCCTGTTATTATAATAGTTTTTAAATATTTTTCAACTTTATAAATTACTGTTACACATTGAAGTCTTCGGCTTAACAATTTTAACTAACTCCAGGGTGAAAGTAGAGATACAGTATTTTGGGGTTCTAAAAAACAGATTCAATACTGATTGTTCAGTTAGAATTAAAAAATAAATCCTACCATCATCCTACTTACAAATATAATAATGCTGAAGATTGGATATATGCACGTAAAAAGTAGATATGAGGTTCTGGTTGGTTATTGTGTGACCCCAGGTAACAGATATAACATCAACTTCCAGTAAAACATATCAAACATAAAAATTAAATATCTTATTTAAATTATAATGTATTTATTTACAGACAACAAATCCTCGAAACTTTACACAAATTAAATATTTCACTAATACATCTACTCCTTACTGTTGAACATAATTAGGATGTTAAATAAATATTGATCTATGGCATTTACTTTAACCTCTTGAAGAGGTCTTTGTTGACACACTTATCGAGGACGTGAACATAGTCAATGAGTTCTTCCTCACATGTCTCTGTTGTGTTTGAACGGGAGTTGACTCGGTCGTTGCACTGTTGGTATTTAGACCAGAATGTTTGAATGTCTGGTTTTTCGTGGCATTCCTCCTACAGAAAATATAACATTAATTATTTATGTTGTACCAATTTACTGCTATAGACTAGGTACCAAGAAGTATAAGGATATACAAACATTAAATTTAATGATTCTACTTCAAATATTTATATGAATTAAGAGTTTAAAATTAATGGTTCTAAATTTAAATATACAAGATAGATAGAATGAAAACTCTTTTGAAACCAAATGATACCCAAAACTACTCAATTGCTATACATTGTAACTTCTTGAAATTTAAATACATTTTTATTTAGTTTCTTCCTTCAGTCTGTCAACGCATTTAAAGGCTTAGGCATACTTATATCACCTAAACAGCTAACACCTAAGTGATTAATATAGATTATCAAAAACATTCTCTTTAAGGCATAACATTTTACCCATCCCCGGACCTAACAATCTGTAGTTAACTGTATACTGTACTTCTCAATCAAAGGTACAGTTGTGGTCTTATGTATCAATGAAAACTAATTGTTATCATTTAAAACATAACTATACAACTTGTTACATTTTACATAATTTCAATATACACCAAACTGCTACATATTTAATTGTGATTGGACCTTAATCATTTTAAATGGGGGTTCAGCAATTCTGTCGTCTGTAGTGCGTCTAATCTATGAAGGAGAGTGGTATGGAAAATTATTATAATGCCTAGGTTGTGTTTATTTTGAGATATAACCCTGGATAGTTCTTAAGCAAAGAAAGAGTTTGTATCCCTAGAGAATCTTCTAGTTTTATTTAACAAATTAAAAGTGGCCAGGATTGTTAAACCAAACTGAGAAAAGTAGGGAAAATAATAAGCTTTAGTTAGCCACGTTACTCAGCATTCCAAGTATCTGCTAAAATAATATCTGTACAAGCTTAATAGTATAACCAAGATTATACAAAATTAAGGTTATGAGATAAAACCTTTATTTGAAACAGTTTAAATTTATAACATATTATCATTATGCACACTTACCCTTAATTGGACCTGAGGATCCACTAATTCTTCTTCTTCAACTTCCTCATCTTCAGCTCGAACAACAGGGACAACTTTGTCAGCCATTTCGCCTGAAACCACAAAGTTTGAGGTTTTAACACGATACTGATTTAAATTGTATGGGACTTAGCTAAAAAATCCGTCGAAATATACATTTAAATTGATAAATTTTACCAAAATCGGTGACGCAACAATAAGGTCGATTCTTTAATGTTGAAATCTGTGGTTAAACTCACAGACTAGCTTTAAGCTTACACTCTGTTACAATTTTTCAATGCTGTTCATACAGAGTATAACAAAATCAGTTTGGCCAACATTCTGCCTAAAGAAAATAAAATAGAGTTGGTCCTAATTTACTTTAACGTTAACTTTTATCGATTTTCAGATTAATATGCTGATATAAACCGAGTTATAAAGTAAATTTTAGCCGTAGCCGTTTATTTTTAAACGTTTGTTTATTAACTAAATGTTTATAAATAATGAAATAAAATATTTAAAACAATTTATTATAAAAATTACTTGTATTTTTTTTCCATGTAACCTAATTATGTATTTTTGTTGCTTACCGGAAAAGAATAGAAACAGTTAAAACACTTCACTGAAGAAGAAAAATTAAATTTTTATACTTTCGACTGCATTTTATTTAAAAGATACTAATTTTTAGAAATTGCAACAAGCAAATCGATTTGCATTAGTGCAGCAGTATAGTATTAGTGTAAAAGTAAAATAAATGTATATTTAAAAAGCACCAAATATTGTGAGAAAAATGAAAAAAAAAACCTTTTTCATGTGGCCAACTCTATTTCAAGTTCAACAACATTTTACGGTTGAATGAACTTAAATGTTTACGGTTATGTTTAAGAATAATAATTTTCAATTTGTATAATAAAATATCTGAATTAAAAAGATATATTTTCCAATTGTGTCACTCAAGATTTTTTAATTTAGCAATCGTTGGTTTTTTTCAAGGGTATCAAAATTATGTTTACAGCGTAAGGTAGATAATGCATTATCTATGCTAGTGTTGTGTTAATGTGTATTGTATAAGCTAATGTATAATCATCTTTATTCGAATGGTTGTCACCATGGAGAGTGCTTGCTGTGAAAGATTATTAAAATAATACGTTTTTTACAAAAGTTGTATTCGTGCTTTAATTGAAAAATGTTTTTGTAAAGTAAGTCCTTTCTTTATATTATTTGAATTGTCAATGTTGCGTCATTGGAGAATCAGTCTTAAAAATATTTTGATATAATTTGATTCTAACATTTGTAATTTTTATCTGGTTAGTGGAGTATAATTTTGTTTGGTTGATAAATAAATATTGCTCGAGGTTCGTTATTATTGATGCGATATTCTTCAAATATAATTTACAACAGTTGAGGTTATGTTTTTACATAGTAATATTTTATTCTGTTTAAAAGTTTTATCATATTTCAGAATGAATGGAGGGATGGAACATAAAACGCCAGGTCACAATGCAGTGGTGCATAAAGCACCAAAAAATTACAAATTGTTAATAGATCCATTCCTTGTGAAAGGTGCAACAAAACTGTACCGATATGATGGAATTGTACCTGGTGATCAAACATATCCTCCTGTCCAATGCAGAGATCCTAGATCTCAACTATCCAGAATATGGAATAAGATAGAACCAGCTGATTTGCCAGTACCAAGGTAATATTAATAGATCTTATTATCTTATTTGTTTATATTATTTTGGGTCTACTTCAACAGTTACAACAACAAGATTTTGTTTACTTCACACATTTATATATCCATAATGCAAAATTATTGATAGTAAATATGCTAATTTAGTCATCAAACAGAGATTTTATCCAATATTTGTCAAAAGGAGTAAATACTAAGCAAGAATAATAATTCAATTCGTTGTTCATTAAATTAACGTTTTCATAGCACAAAACCAATAATGATGTTATTTAGTTATAATTAATCTTCAAAGTGAAAAGATTCTAGGTTTATTTGTGATAAATTACAAAAAATTTGGTTATAATATACTTTGTTTTTATTATGCCATTTGCTCCAGTAATGCCAACATTAAATGACATTTGACTTTAGATGGCGGGAATTTTAAAAGTTATAATATTTGTTTATATTTCATTGCACACATATAAGAAATTAAAATTAATGTGTTAATATATTTATTCTAATTATTTCAGATTCAAAATAGACAAAAACTATGTTGGGACTCCTCCAGCAGTAGAAATAACTATATCAAACTTAAACGACAACATTGACCAAGCGTTTTTGGCAGACATGATGAATAAAGTGGGACCTTACGAGGAATTGACAATATTTTATCATCCTTTGACAAATAGACATCTAGGGTTTGCAAGAATAGTATTTCATGAAGTTAAACATGCAAAGTTTTGTATAGAAAAGTATAACGGAAAATCAGTTATGGGAAAGGTTTGTATATTAAACTCTAAATACTCATAAACTGTATTTATGGTAAAGTGTGCACCAAGTTTATTAGTCTAATGGTCAAGAAACCTACCTAGTTTTATTTTGTTAAGTGATACTGCATTTCATAGTCAAAACTGTTTGTATCATAGTATATAAAAGTTGCCTAACATTGTGTCCAAGCACCTTCAATGTAATCTTATTTAAGTGTCTTTTAAAGTTAGGCTCAGATCTGGGTTTGAATCCTATGGACCATGGAAATCTTTATTGGTTTACATAGTTATTAGTTACAATTAGGGCATATTCCATGGTCAATCTCCTTAAAGTCACCAAACATTTAAATAAATAGTGAATTCTAATTCTCCTATGTGAACAATGCATTGAACAGGGCAAGGTATATCATAAATAATGTCTGTTTGATAGGTGCTAGAAGTACTACACGATTCCTTTGGCAAGAAATGCCAAGAAATGTATGAGGATAAAACAATTGAAAAGAAACAACATCCTGTAGTGCCAGTAAAAGCTCCACATGAAGATGTAAGGATAAGTAAGCTTGATCCTGCTCTTAGTAAAAGATTAGAGGAAACAAAGGTGGATAAGGTGTGTATTAAATTTATGGTGTAATTAATGTAAAAAGATTATAGTCCATAAATGTTTAACTTTAATCATTCTGCAGTCATCTGAATATGGAGTTGTGTTAGACTGGTACAACTACTTTTCCGGCTATAATAGAAGTGTAAGGTTCAGAAGAAAATTAGGCTTATTTTCTGAAAAAAGATTTAAGTTTTTGTTGTTGATGTTTCACGGCAGATGACACAGTCTGATTTAAATCCCTTGTGTAGGAAAAGTTTAGATTCTGCGAAAGTATCTGGTACCAGCTCGATGTTTGAAAGTAAAAGATGCCTTCCCCCCTCTCTCGGGGAACATATAAAACCGCTGCCCCTCTCTTGGGGAACAAATAAAACCAGTCCCGATTATAATTATAGATTAAATCTCCTCCACTTGTGGTCGTAGTTAAAATGAATTAAAAAACAAGTTACCTAATATATTTAGCGTTAAAATTTTAGGAGCTAGAGTTGAACATTGATGGTACTAAGTAACTTTTGAAATCTTTCAAGGAACCATATGCTCGCTATAAAGATTTGGAGCATAGTGACAGTAACTCCCGAATGTCGGACGACGACCGCGAGTACAGGCACCGGCATCGACACAGGAGTGAGAGAGATAGAGATAACGACCGGGACAGGGACGGCGATAGCCACAGAGATAGGGATAAGACTAAAGACCGGTGAGTGAAATTTTTTTCTATGCTTTTTTTATTTTTCCCTACAAGGTGGAGGTAGCTCTCAGTAAATGTAATACGTGTAACATATTCAATAAATAACACTTCTTGAAAATTTAGTTAATAACCATTATAAGGTAAATGTTTGTTTCACAAGCAAACGGTGCAAGAGGAAATGCAAACGGAAAGAAAGGTACTGCCTTTGATATTAATATTTTAGAATGCAGTGTTTGCGTGTATATGTATGCTATTAGTTTATTTGGTTTATTTTTCTATGTTGTGTGCAACAAATACTCCTTATGTAATGTGTATATTGAAGTGGTGCCATCTATTACTTTTACCAAATTGACTTGATAGTTAGTTTAACAAAAGGAACCATTGGGGATATGCGGAAACGACAAGTAGCATGTCTTGTATTATGAGTATGTTCTATATCTTGGCATAGACGTTTGACAAACTGTAATTCAGTGAAGACTCGGTTATTGACTAGTTATTATTTTGAATTAACGTCGGATGGGAGATTTGTGGTGGTGAGATAGTCTCGTGCCCGTCGGGTTCTAACCGTAAAACCGGCTTTGCCATCGTGTTTATTTCATTTATATATAACAGACATCGCGAGAGATATTCACGCAGTATGGCTGAGAGTACGGAGAGTCCGTACGCAACCTCAAGCCACGCCCCCGAGGTGCCGTACGCAGCGACCGGTCCGCTTAGCTACGACCCATATTATCAGACCCCTGGGTATGTACTCTATTATAAAGGCTTTGTATTTGAAAAATATTTATAAATTTATTTAATATTGTAAGACAGTTTTGAAATTGTGTGGTCTAAGGATTGACTCTGCTGATAAAAACAAATTACTTCTTAAAATTAAAAAGATAGTCACAAAGAGATTTTAAGAAATCTGAGTCTGATCTAATAAGTTAGAGAATTTTTATTTATCAATGTCATCTGAATATAAAGTATGCTAAATAGTTTAAACTGGCCAAATCCAAACTGACTAATTATCACATACAAAAAACCACATAAATCGTTTTATTTTAATTCAGATATGGATACGGCTACGGATCTGGCGCTACGCCTGGCGGGTCGGGAGTGTGGTGGGATTGGCGGCACGCCCACCATACACCACACTCATCCCACGCTCCACATCACACACCTTCACATGTAAGTCTCTACTAAAATTATTTTTACGCCACAGCGTAATTTTAATATTTATATAATGCCAAGTCACCGTTTAAAGCTTCTTAGTTTAACTTTTAGCTTAAACTGATAAGCTTTAAATGGTGACTTTAAAAACCAAACAAAAAACGCGCAATGAAATTCAATCATTTAAGTTTAAACCGATATACATGCCGTAGTTAAAAATAACCTGAAGTAATATATTTTGCGTGTTAAAATGTTTCTTTTTTAAAGAGCGACGGAAAAGTTTTGCACAAACTATGTTAGTTGAATTACAATTACATCATTTTACTCAAGGTTCTTAGGTTTAACTTTCAAAATAAGGAAAACTTTCAATGTCCTTAAGGACTACATCAAAATCTTTAAAATTAGTCCACATAAATCGATGTATGCTTCTAGGTATATTTTTCAAATAACTACACCAAATTTTAAATGTTTTGTGTTAATTATTTTGACAAAAATTGGGTAAAAAAATGTTTAATTAATGTAAAGTCAGAGCGGCGTAGTCTCAAAACACCCGAATGGACAGCGAGCGCGACATCTCGCGTCTCGCCCGAACGCAAAGAAGAGAAAGAGAAGGTCCGACTCCAGAACTATTATGTAGTTGTTGTGATTAGCTTGATATGTGTATTAGTAATGTTGTAGGGTGCTTAGAAAAGTGCTGTTCTGTATTTTGTTTTGTCTCCTTCTTGGTGTGAAAGAGACAAAACATTAACAGCTTGGACGCGTTTGTATAAGGCAGTTAAGCATGTGTCGTAGATATAAATATACTATTGAATTATATTGTAGTTATAGGTGCATGTAAGGAATGAGAATTGGCTGAACATTCGTACAGTAGTTAAAATTGGGATAAATATTTCTTGGTTTGTATATCTATTATGTAAGTATTTCCTACAGAAAAAAATATCAAACATTTCTGTGAACGCATGTAAAATTAGATTTCGCATGCCCTTATTATTCAGGACGTTTAATAACATATTGTCAAACAGAAGAAAAGAAAGACTTCAGAGCAACACTTAAGATATAATTCTATATAAGTCCTTATTCAGCTATTATCTAAACGTTTATTGTATTTGACTAATTGTCAAAGTATATCAGGAAGTGCCCAGTAAACCGCCCGAAGAGGTACTTCCCCCAAAAGAAGACTCAAATGAACCAGAACCCAAACCACCGCCGCCAGCTGATGACCATAAGAATGTCGATCTGGACACAAGGTACATATATTATACGTAATAGAATTTTATTAAAACAGTTGTAAAAGGTCAGGAGATTCATAAAATTAGTTTACATTAGGTAAATAGGAAGAATAGAAAAAAATTCCACTCCTGTAACCTGTACATACTTCTTGCAAAAAATAAGCTTTTTTTACTGCCAGTTGGAGATGTGACTGAGTAGGAGGAGCATTTGCATTACTACAATGTATTCTAAATTTATTCAAAACGATACGATTATGAATAACTTACTAAATTATTGCCCTAGGATTGCAATGCTATTGAAGGATGCAACCGGAGCAATGGCGCCACCCTTCCTCGTTCTAAGGAACTCCTCGGAGGAAGAAGACAATAACCACCTTCCGACTAAAATACCAGACTTACTAGATGCACCACAACCACCTTCAGATGATGAAGGTAAACTTTTCCTAAAATCCTAAATTTTGGTTTCAATAATTCAGTCCTAAAAGTAAATAATGTTTAATCTAATGGTGAAAAGTAACTTAAGATAATTTTTTTTAGGATCCATCAGCGAAGACAGAGAAAGCATCATTACTGTGAACCAAGACATTGATTTCAACGCAGAACCTTTGTCAAAGACTCCATCGCCTTATCTTGACAGAGATAGCTACCTCGAATGTCTTAAGCTTACAATCAAAAGGGTAAAATAATACTTGCTACACAGACACACACTTTACTGCAGATTGTCACTTATAATATTTTGTACAAAGAATATATCATTATAATTAATTTATGTTATCGTTTATAGCAACTCCAAGAAGAGGAAAGAAAGAAATTGCCGGAAATTGATAAAATCGGATCGGATATATCGTCATCTGAAGATGAGCTTTTGACTGGCGAGAAAAAGAATCGATCACCAGAGCCTCTTGATAAAAACCAGGATAACTTGGATGATGATCAGGTCTGAATATAACTTTGAGCAAAAAATAAGAAATTTTAAATGCTACATTGTGTGTAAAGAAAGAAAGTCTTTTATTTTTAAATATACAATATCGTTAACATATTTACATTATATGTAAACAATAAACGCAACAATGGGGAAGACTCAGCAAATATATTATAGCACAAATTAAAATTATGTATATCTTTTTATGTGCTCCGCCAGAAATGGACAGCAAAGGTCATAATTAGCTGTTGATGATTATTATAGCTTTTGCGTTGCATAAAATAGATTATGTAATATAAACTTATTATAAAAAGGGTAAAAAAATGTCAATTCACATAAGTAAAAGTATATAACCTTTCTTCCTCCAGATGTCGCTATCGTCCCTATCATCAACGGAAGTGAAGATCGAAGAGCAAGTACCGGCGGAAGGTTACTTCTATCCGTCAGCGCATCACCCTCATTACTACCAGCACATGTGGCCACATACAGGTAATTTAGAGCTCTAGTTATATGCAAAGTATTTTTTACAGACAATTAATTTTAATGTAAGTTATCTAGGCTCAAAAATAAGGTGGTTGTTTATGTCTTCGGCCAGTATAGCTTAAATAGTTGGAACAAGTATCAAAATGACAAATCATTTAAAATATTACTTTTATCGTTTTTTTTTGCTTTAAACAATATATGTATTTTCAATGTCAATTCGTTTAACGCTATTATTAATATGTCTAAAATCATATCTATATGATAAGTACATATGTATATATCCAGGTTATGCCGGTGCTGGCTATGGTGCAGTGGGGGGAGTCGGTGATCCCGTGGGTATGAGCGGGGTGGATATGCCGATGGCGTACGGCGCAACTTTCCAACCGCCTATTATTCCCCAATTTCCCCCTCCGCATAACCACCATACAAACAAACACGATCAACAGGTAATTCAGTGTTTATGAAGTAAGGTCAATCCGTAGGTAGTAACGACTGTTTGGTGATACTTTGTGTTGAACTTCTTAAAGCCACTAAAACTAAACAACAAACAGTGCCTTGCCCTGGCCCAGCGATGTGAACAATGTTACATTATGTTATTCTTTTAGAAGATATAAAATTACAACTTTTCTATAATCAATACATTACTATGTCATCTATATGTCTGATAAGACCGATATCCCGTTCGTTCTTCTCACTTGAACCGAACTAAAAGTAAGAATACGCATATTCATAATCTTTATTTATCTGCTTCTTACAGGAATTGGACAACCCTCACTACCCAACGATACATTGCGTTATAGAACGAGTGACGGCTGAACTGAAACAGATCCTCAAAAAGGATTTCAACAAGAAGATGATCGAAAGCACAGCCTTCAAGAACTTCGAAATATGGTGGGACGAGCAAAGTAGGAAGACTAGAACAAAGGCGAAAGAAGAAACCGGACAACCGCTTCAGGTACTTAATTTGAGACGAAATTTTCAGAGAAAAACTAACATAGAAAGTATTGGTCCAAAACTTCGATGACTATAAATCTGTCTAAGTTTGTCGTAATGACTTTTCGTTAATTTTACAGGATATTTCGAATAAGAAAGAAGAGGTTGACTCTATAAAATCCCTAATCGAGTCCAGAGAACTGAGTCTTGAGCTTGGCGGGTATGGCGCTGGTATCGGGCTGGGTCTGCGCGCCACTATACCCAAAATGCCTAGCTTCCGACGGAAAAGGAAAATACCATCACCCGTTAGGATGGATGAGGACAGCTCGAAGCAACTTAGTGATCAAGTATGTACTATCTGAAGCATGTAACAATATTTTTTATTCTCTTATCAACTCCGTAACGTAAGTGTAAAACACTTATTCCTTATTTAAAGTAGTAATATATTTTAATATAAACGATTCTTTTAGGAGGAAATTGTTCAAAACTCTGACGAGGAGAAGGAAGTGCCGACGAGTCCACGAAACAGAACAACGGGATCTTACCTATCGACGGGCAGGCGGCGGCAATCCAGTAGTTCATCACGGTATGTATTTTATTTTTTTAAAACAGCTTGAACAACCATTATGCGAGGATACTATTTGAATTAAAGTTGAAATAATAGTAACTTTTCTTGGGTTCTACGTCTATACATTTAAGGAAGTTTAAGAAGGAAGAAATAGATTTACTTTAATTATATCGTACCTAATAATAGCACTAATGTGGTATTCGATCGCAGGTCTTCGTCGAGTTCCTCGTCTCGTTCGTCGTGGTCCGGCTCAGAAAGATCGGGGGGGTCACGTCGTATGGCGGCACCTCGCATATACTCCGACACGGATGACTCCGATCTCGATGAGACACAGGTTCGATACTTTACTATTGCGTACAAAATGAAAATATCATTAATTCGTATACATTTGGAGAATGACGTTAAAGAAATAACGCCAGTATCGTTAAATTATTACAATTAAAATTGATTTTACATTTTTGGGGGTTTGACAAGGGAATGTGATTATTTGTTTAAATTACTTTTCAATTGAGATTTATTCTTAAATTATTATCTTACCAAATTCTCTTCTCCAGTTTAAGGTTATATCTAATAAGGAGAGGCTCAGGAAAGTATATTCATCATCAGACAGCGAAGAAGAACAGAGAAGAGCAGAAAGAGGTGACCATTTTTTTCCTAGCGCATTTTCACACTTTTTACATCATACTCCTATAATTTTTAGTATACATATAAGTAGATAACATGTATTGATAAAGCACTTGTGTGCTAAGTTTTTCTTTTTTTTTTTACAGAGAAAACTCCTATACCACCTGTGGAGGCTTCAGCGGACGACCGTCTTGGTTCGCCGATTGTATCGCCGGAGCCGCCGAGGGATATCTTCGACCGAGTATACTCTGACTCCGAGGAAGAAAGAGAATATCAGGTAGGACACATACATATAATAACAGTAGTATTTTATAAGTTGATTACGTATCTTCTGCGCCACTATAAGTTGATTTTAGATAAGAAGAATTAAATAGTTAAATTTTAGTTTAACTGTTAAAACATATTTACTGCTTTGAAATATGGATCACTCTACATACTCTACCCGACCAGCCAAGGTATTCTGTAGTCCCAATCGTAAATTCTTCCATAAACATGTTACTTGGTCTTATAGCTAATATTGAATAAGTAGAAGATAAATATGTAATCTGAAGAATTATATTAAATTGTTAAATTATGCATTTTAGGAAAAACGAAGACGAAACACCGAGTACATGGCGCAAATTGAAATGGAATTCTTGGAGGAGCAGAGACGAAAAATGGAGATGGAGAAAGAATCAGAACCAGATAAACCGCCGGACGAAAGGTAAATTAAATGCATACTCTACAAAGATTGAAATAAAAGAAACAAATACTTATCTCCTATTTTAAAAAATCAACTTCCGTTTACTATTTATATCAAGAGAGATTTTGCAGACTAATACAGTTTTACGTCATTTTGTCATTCATTTATAGCGCACAAGAAAAGAAAGAAGAAAGCCGACTCAGTCCGATCAAGAACCACGTTAAATCTCCCGACAAGACCAAACCAGTATTGGAAGAAGGCGAAGTATCCTCCGAGGAAGAACCCCTCGAGGCGCGACGGAAGAAGGAGAGGAAACAGCGGAAGACAAAGAGGAAAACGGACAAGAGAAGAAGAACGTCGGTCAGCGACAGCCACACGGATACCGCAGTCAGTGTCAATGGGGTGAAAGAGGTTAATTCCAACGAATCCAATGTTGTCTATGGAAGAAGGGTCCTCCAGTGTTTGACAATATTCTCAAATATATTTTATAAGTTGCACCCCCCTACTTTTTTTCCGAAAAGTATGATTAATAAGGAAATATGTACGCAAAATGTTTTCTATCTCAAGATATGCAATTTCCTCGTTTCCTTTTTTCGTCTCAACAGATTAGTAACTATAAAGGACCACAGTATCATGTGGAAAAGTTTTTTTATACATATTCCCTTCTTGCATAGATAATGCAATTTTACTTATGTGATTACTAGCCTATCTGGGCGAATCTGTTTCACATATCATCTATTATGTGGAAGTATCTAAAATAAAACCAGTTACGACTGTTGACAAAACGTATAAATTATAATTGATTTTAGGGGTTTAGTTACACTTTAGTTTATTATATGGTATACAGTTTTCAGTTTTGTTTAAAATTTACAATTATATTTCAGGACGAGGCCTATTCGCCATCTTCATCTCCGCGGTCGCAGGCATCACAAGAGTCGCAGGAGTCACAAGCGTCGCAGGCGTCGCAAGTGGCCCTCGATCATTCCTACTGCAGACCTCCACCAGATACGCCCAACACTCCTCCTCGAAGATCCTCCAATCATCTGCATCACGATCATGGTACAATGCGACTCACTTACTTTTTTACAACCTTCCATTACTTAAAGGTCATTATTGTGTTTCTGATACTGATATTATTTCATAGGTTATACTTGGATGGCGGAACCGGAAACAGAATCGCTGGTCGCTGCCGTGGAAGAGATCAAGCCAGTCAAAGAGACGAAAAGACCTTACAAACGAAAACATGAGCCGAAGAAACTTGCTGAAATTCAAAATAAGTAAGTCTTATCTCAATATATCATCAGAAACAGTTTCTTGTTGATGCATGACAAAAATCTTGGGTCCAACAACCAATTTATGTATAATATATATATATATATTTTTTATTAACACTCTCGTTAATCTATTCACAGGCTTTACGAACCTATGGAAGACTATAGCAAGATTCACTCAAATATAGTGTTTAAACCGCGAGACATAATGGCGGAAATGCAGGTCATGTATGAGTTCCTAACTCGAGGAATTGACAGGGAGGATATAGAGTGTCTAAGGAAAGCGTACGAGGCGTTATTGGCTGAGGACGCGCAGGGTTATTGGCTCAATGACACGCACTGGGTCGACCATCCGCCCACCGATGTCGTCTACAGTCCGCCCAGGAAGAAGTCTAAGCGGCATAATAATATATATGAAGATCTACAGGTAATACTTGGCATAATGAGAAAATTATTTATTTGTTACATAATATTAAATTACAAAAAAGTCTTCTATAATCTGTCTTTTTTAAGTTTTATTCTTGGTAGACGCATTTTGGAGCTATGTATGGTATTTAACAAAAGAACCACTTTTGTTAAATAAATTGCAAAATAAGCACAACTCTACCCCTACCTCATTTTCGAATATTTCTAATAATACATATAGTAATAAAAATACAACTAGCAGTATTAATAAAAAAATATATTTGCCAGGGTCACTCGAGCGGTTCAGCTCGTACTGAGGGCTATTACAAGATGGACGCGCGTGTTAAGGCCAAGTACAAGTACCACCACGGACGTGCGCAGGCGCCGCTCAACGCGCACGACGATAAGGCCAGAGCGAATAAGATGCAATTGCTGTCTAGAGAGGCGAGATCCAATCAGAGACGACTGCTCACCGCTTTCGGTATGTGCTACTTCATTCAAAACCATGGATTATTATTATTGACGTAGAGGTATTTGTTAAGAAATTAATCCTCTACATTTTGTCTCTATTGCTAATGTTAATCTATACACACAAAAAAATCGAATTATAGTTTAATAATATTGGCTTAACCATAAATTGCAGGAACCGACACCGACTCAGACTTGCTCAAGTTTAACCAGCTTAAATTCAGGAAAAAGCAACTTAAGTTCGCAAAATCTGGTATACACGACTGGGGGCTGTTTGCGCAGGTAAGACTTCCAAGATGAGTACTTTGAATACAAAAGCTTGAAAAAAAATGAATAGAAACAAATAGATAATTCTTACATATTAAAGTCTCGAATGGCTTTATTGCTCTTGTTGGTCTAATGGCAACAATCAGTGTATAATAACCAACGGATCGTAGGTTCGACTCTTACTGGGTCTAACATGAAACATTTCGCCTAGAATCATAAATATTGAAATTCCGTCCGGGTCACGAATTACTAGTCCAGTGCTGAAAGACCAATTTAAACACATTTCAGTCTGTGGATTTCCCAATACCCAAAACAGTTCAAGAGCATCTCGATTAGGTTTTATATGGTTGGGGTTTTCACCTTCCAACAAGTGAAGGCAATGCTTAAAAAAATCTTCAGATTTAAAAGAGATCGTATGTGTGTACAGGAACCGATAGCGGCTGATGAAATGGTGATAGAGTACGTGGGGCAAATGGTGCGGCCCATAGTGGCCGATGTGCGAGAGGCGCAGTATGAGGCGACCGGCATAGGCAGCTCGTACCTCTTCCGTATCGACCTGGACACTATCATAGACGCGACCAAGTGCGGCAACCTCGCTCGGTTCATCAACCACAGTTGTAACGTAAGTCTATATAGCCTCAGTATGTATCTATTTCTCTGAACTTAATTATAACAGTTTTTTTTTATATATATTTTTCGTGTAGAAGAAAAGGCAAGTTTTTTCTTTATGTTTTGTCTCTGTCACGCGAATGAGTAATGAAAGTGACAAAACATAAAATAGCTTTATGCTTATGTTACTTTTACGAATTGGAAATTCACGAGCCGTTGAAAGCTAAGTAATAAAGATAAATACGTCGCGTATTTAAATAAAACATTTTAACGATTTAAAACGCGAAATATATTAGTTGGACTTGTTTACAAATTATTTTTAACTACGGCTCGGCGACCATAGTGTAAATCTACAGATAGTTAATTTTATTAATAGCGAAGATAAAAGTTTATTAAACAATAACATTTAGTAATCCAACAAATTATTTTTCAGCCCAACTGCTACGCAAAGATAATAACGATAGAGTCGCAGAAGAAGATCGTGATCTACTCGAAGCAGCCGATAGGAGTCGACGAAGAAATAACATACGACTACAAGTTCCCGTTGGAAGACGAGAAGATACCGTGCCTCTGCGGCGCACCACAGTGCCGCGGGTATCTCAACTAATCAAACGATATATGCTACAGCTTGTAACACCTTTTCCCCTATTTTCTTTCCATTCTATTCGTCTATTACGCATCTAATTAAAACAAAATTAACCTGTCTTAAATAACCAAGGTTTTGAGTGCTATCTAGGACCGGAACCGCCGAAACGTCAAATCGTAGTTAAATCAACTAAAAGTAAAATCCGAGTTTTAAACCGATAATTTTTTTTTCACAGACATTCTAACATGTTGTTGATTTTTGGATTTTAGATTTATTTAAAACAATATTATTTTCAAACTACCTTCAAATGCACGAAGACATAGTAAAACTGCCTCATCGATGACTATTATGTATAAATTGATTGTGCGAGTGTTGTGTGTATTAATAAGACCAATGCATGTCTTGAATTTTGTATGATATAACATCCTATGGACTGACTATATTTTATAAACTACGATAAAATGTTTTGTATGGCGGTATGTGTGACACGGCTTGATTTGGAACTTGATACAAATTCAGCAGGTAGCAATGGTGTCTCGCATATTGTTTTACAGAAAACATACTAATGTACGATCTCCCGTTCGACAAATGTAGTACATTTCTATAGTACATAATTCCAACGAATAATTGAATTCGAAGGTTATTCAGTGGGTGTTATGATTAATTCTCTAGGTGAGACGAGTGAGAGCTATTGTTCTGTAAATAAGATTAGGCTGTATCTTTTCACGTCTTTATGATTTTAGTACGTATTTGTATAAGATTGTAAATAAAAATCTACTACTGTAATTGTTGCTCTTTTGTTATTATTATTGTACACATATATAAACTATTCCATTTAATATATTTATGACGGAAACATATCTGTAAACCTATACAGTTGCCTTACAGGAAAAAGGAAGAATTTAACTATATACAAAATTAAACCAACCAAGTATTGGACTACTTGCTTCCTGAGCTATAAATATGGTTTTTTGACTTCGCTTACCTCGTATCGTAAGAGAAGGAGCCATACCATAACATACATAAGCGTCTGTGTTCGCCTATGTGTTCTTAATAGTTGTATCAGTTACACGTATAACTACGTGTGACAGCGACTTCTCCGCGTAAGATGGTTATTTTGGAGATGAAAATTAGTTTTTGCAAACTTACTCCTAAAGGATAGACATAGTGTCGCGGACATTTTTAGAGAATCTTTCTTGCATATACATATATTGTTTTGTACCTTGAACCGTTTTCGCAGCGAACGTATCGGAAATCCATAAGATGTATAATTTTCCTCTTTTTTCCATATATCCCGCTATCTCTTCGCTCCTATTAGTCGCATTGCGATGTTTTATAGCATATAGCCTTCATCTACTACTACTACCGTCCTTTAATGTAAAACCCGCTAAGTTTGATCGCGTTTCGGTTTATGTAGATTTCCAAGTATTCAAAGTGAAAATAGGCCGACAGCGCATCTTGTTTAGATTGAGTGAATTTCATGCTTTTCTGTCCTCTATGATAAAAAGCTGCTGTGTCCGTAATGTGCGTACTTTGCTGAATTAGTTTATTCATACTGACTAGTTTTTTGCTGTGTCCTAACTACAACAATTGAAACGAAGCTGTGTCAGCTGTTTATAATAATATCGTATACAAAATAGTTTAATAAAAATTTTAGTTACTTTTTTTAAACATAATAACTTAGAACGCTTAGTCCCCCTCGCAATATGGTCGCCAAACAGTTTTTTTTTCAACACAATAGCTATCATCACCCCTGGACGCCGCGACGTGCAGATGTGTGTCTAGACCACGTTTAAAGTTTTTAGTTTTAAATAGAAACAAATTTAAAAATATACTAGTATCGCAGAAGTTTGTAAGTGGTGTACGTTTATACGTGTGACAACTTCGCTAGCCAATGTACCTGAGATCGTCGCTAACGAATCAACGCCCGCGCAGTTACTCTGATAACTACCCACATTCTTTCTTTCCAATTGGTTGACAACTTGAAGGCGGATACACGAAACTCCACCCCCATCAGAGCAAGTAAATCGTTTGCAACGCCCCCTCACTAATGAATTGTTGACAGCTTGGTGACACAGAATAAACTCTCTATTGTTCATATACTCCTAGTACTATGACGAAAATAATTCTCCATCTGCGTCAAATATAAATAGTGATGCAAGTGCAGGACAGTGGTCAGGTCAAAATAGCTTTAACAGAATGGCTCGAAAAGGCAACAGAACTGATCCTTTATTTTTCGACCTAATAATAATATTACTTATTTTACTTTTTATAAACATCCACATACACACAAATATAATTACTTACGCATTCATACATACACATACATAATACACACATTTATAGTTGACCAACTTTATGGAACATAATCATAAACTCAAAATGTCAATCTTTTAATATAACACGGGAAGGAGCGAGATTGCTCCTTTTTTTACTTGGAGGAATCGAATCTTTACCGACGCCCCCGCCTGGCCACATCAAGTGGTCGGAGTGAGGGAGTGTGGGGGTCAGCCAGCTTGGTCACTACCCACTAAACCTCCAAGAGCCCACGGGAGACTTGCCAGACGCGAGCGGGCGGTTAGCAACCAACACAACATAGTCATAAACTTACTGAAAAAGCCTCAATATTAGTTGTTATTTTATTATTAAGATAGACTATAAACATTTTTCATTTATTTTTATTATGATTATTTTTTTTTCGTGAAGGAATAATTATGCGAGAAAATCAGTTTCTAAAAATATATTCAATTTATTAGCAATACAATAGACACGTACAATTAAAAGAAATAAACACCAGTGTTAGCAAATCACAGTAGGCATAATACAAATAAATTCGTCTTCATTTCAAGAATTTTTAAGGCAAGCTCGTATGCAATTTAATCAAAACTAAACAATTCAACTTACTAAATAGGTACTGTCAAAAGGTAAATGCAATTCTTATTAAATAAAGCCTAAAAAACGTATGTAATATAACAACTATAACTACATTATTAAACATTTTACATCTTATACGGTAAAAAATTAAATAAATAAGCTATTGGACTAAAAGTAATAATAAATGACTATTATAAAGGTACACATAATTATTAAAGTTAAAATATATCGGTTTGTAACTCGATAGTACGTCAAAAATCGAAAGTAGATAATTAAAAATACGCTTTATTATATGAATGCGTTATTGCTCATTGAAATCGCACCTGCCTAGCGAATATTTCGCCACAAACGTCGGCCGTACATTTAGTAGTGCCGGTGCCCTCCTCGCTTTCCGTTTCTGTGTCAGAATCGAACTCTGATACGACAGGTGACCGCCTCCCGTTGGACGGTCGCCTGATTCCAACTTCCGTAGTCAGAATCTCCTTAATTATATCATCAGACGCTTGTATGGACTGCATTTCCTGTCGATTTTTATTACGCAGCTGTTTTGCTCTGTTCCTTATATCAGCCAGAAAACCCGTAGTAAGTTCTACACTTTCTTGAGAGTCATTTTGAGGCGTCACATCGTCTAGGCTTTGCGTTAGGTCAGTGGAGGAGCCTTTGGAAATAGTCATCAGTGATTCGAGGGACGCTCCAATGCTTTTAAATGCATCCATACCTTCAATAACGGAGACTTTGTGACCAGTCAACGTTTTGGAGCTGATAACTATGCCCCTCTGCGCTTTGCCTAGAAGCGTTGGTTCTTTAACTTTGTAATTGAATATTTCCGGAGCACAACAAGATGAACCAGACGAAGCAATAGATGTAGTGTCGCAAGTGCACGGCGGCGCTCGATAAGCTTCGTCGCAAAGGTATATTATGCTGATTCTGTCTTCTCCGACTGCGTATAAGAATGGATTAACGTACTCCCAGCTGTGGACCGCGGTGCTCCATTTAGGCTCATCGTTGCGTGTCCGCTTTCCGTTCTGATCAACGAAAACTCCACACTCGGCGTAACAAAGGAGAATTTCCACGGGATTTTCCTTAATTAGAAGTATCGCTTTAGGCGGAAGGTGCTTTTTAGCGGCGGCTGCTACCGTGAGATCGTCCATAGCGAAAGTTTCTAGAGCGCCGGACGGTAAATTCACTCGGAGCGGTTTCTCGCCAGCTATGTAGACCGCTTTTGGGGTGAGAAGTATGGAATCTGGAGGTCGGTCGATGGTGAGTGAGCGCATTGTTCTGAAATCGGCGTCAGACGCTTCGAAACGAAGAAGTAGTACTCGCCGGCCGCACGCGACCGCTACGCAAATGTCGCTTGCGTCAGATGACGATATCTGAAAATTAAAAAAAATAATTAAACCCATTATCATAAATCATTGAATGTTTTTTACTATTGATAGATGAAAAGTGGATTAGGAACATACTTGAATCAAATGCGGCTTTGTCTGCTCGGCTAGGCGCAAAGGTCTTACAAGCAAAGATGGTTTAAGTGTGCTAGCTCGGCGAAGAGCTGACCCAAGAGCTAGTAAGCCTGCGTGCACCACACAGTCGCCGCAAAGGAATAATGCGCGTCCCTTGCATTGCGCAAACGCACGCACGTGGTGGGTTTCGTTGCGTGGTGGGGACACCGTACTGTCCCACTCTATACGCACCGGGCCGCGTAGTGAGCGTAGGCCATCGGCGTAACCTGTTGGAATAGGAAGTAATTAAGTAACCTTTATTAATTAAAATAAACCATTTCGGCTTTAAGCATAAACATTCTTGTATTCTAGTCTTGGACAACATTATAAATTAATTGGAAAGTTAAAACACAAATTAAGTTTATCGTTGTCATTGAGAAATATTTCGTTGAGAAACATTTATAAATGGTAAAGAAATAGAGACAATGTATGTATGACAAGTCACATAAGCAACGCAATGGCTTAAAAAAGATCTTATCCACAATTTTTTTTAAATAACTGGGCAAGTCAGAAACCATAAAATATACTCCATAGACAACGAAGAAGTCTAAAAAATTTGTTTTTTTTTGTTACCAGCCATGTTCAAATGTATTTCTACAGCTTAAGTACACTTACCGATAGCGATGGCATTATGTGCAATATATAGCGCGGTGTTTGGCTGCTCCTCGGTCTCAATAAGAACAGCAGGTGCGTACCCCAGTCGGCTCTCCGAAGTCGTTAGACGCGAGACCCAATCGTTTCTCTCAGTAATACTCGAGCAGACTAGAGTTGCCGTGTTGTTGCCCAAAACAGATGGTTCTATTCTCACCTGTAAAACAAAGGAAATTACGTTAGAGTTATATTAGCGATATAATTGTTAAAAATAACTTACATCCAACATACGAAACTAACTGTTTTAATTTGTCGTCAATTAGTATATTTGATTATATTTTAAATGATGATATATTTTTTTGAAATGATTTGCAACATCATCAAGAAGTTGCTAACATTGTATCTATTGCCAAATCTTATTATCAGTTCCGTTGACAAAGAACAAAATTAGAGAAGTTTGGAGATTGAGGTAAATGGTTTTATCACCCGTAACTCAATCGGTGTCCGCAGAGTAAAATTAAAATAATGAATAATGAAAAACACTATTCACAAAATTGGTATTTTATTACCTATGACTTTAAAATATGAAACAATCTAGATTGTGCGTTAATGTTCACTTACTGTGAAGGCCCGGTTGGATTCGTTATGGGGCAAATCGTTTACGGTGTCGTTATACAAGTGAGCTTTCAGTTGTCTTTGACCACTTTTTAACAATAGGGCACCATCGCTGTATTGAGCACTCATGCGTTCTCGGGTTCCGTCACTCCTGAAAATAATATTTAGAACAGATAAAAATTTAGTAAAAGGGGACTTATACTTCGCTTAAGATTTTCTTTTGGTACAAAAAAATGTTTACGAGTAATCTCGATTATATCTCCTCTTTTCAAAGTATAGATTGATTTAAGTATGTCAAGTTATATAAAAAAAAAATTCTATATCGAATGTTTACTTACCAGATAACCAATAGAGAGTCTTTTTCTGGTGCACTGTCGGACATGTCCAAACTCATAGCTCTGTAAAACATGAAATAATCATTGCAAATGTTTTTACAATTTAAACGAAATATATGGAATGTATTGGGTGTTACTTACAAGTTTGCGATTTTCTTTGGTTTGCTTTCGGTTCTTTCTCGCCGCGGTGTTGGTGGGAAACTAAATAAAGAGAGTTCAGATTAATTCTAGTGTAGGATAATATACATCTTGAATACCATAAGATAAGCTCGCAAAAACTTACTTAGCAGATATATTAGCCGCTGACAGTTTGGCTCTCAACCTTTCCACTTCTTCACGTAATTCCCTGAAAAAAAATAGAAATTATTCGTAAAATTTCTACATGGTACTTAAATTCTATTGATTGTCTTTTGGTTTACTCAGGAGAGAAAAATTGATTGATTGCTCTGCGCAACAGCACGGAACGTTGACGATGCCGGTTCAAGGCCTCGCGAGTCGAAAATTTTTTCAATTTATTTTCGATTTTTAAATTATATAGAGGCTTCATGTGCTTCAATAATAAAGTTTTCCAATATTGTATGTGTATTTACAATACGTCAACATTATAAGCCTTCAAAGAACCATTTAACAATAGGGAATCGAGCCTTCCAGGAGGGAAAACAAGGGTCTTAATGTAAGGGGTCCTAATGCATGGTGGCTAAAAGCATGTTAGTATGGATACCAATATGCATTTAGCCGGTATAGTAGGTATGGTAGACACATTTTATAAAATGTTTATTGCCAATAAATGCCCGATTCCTCACGGTATTATCTATAAATAATTTAAGACAACGTAAGTTGCGTGCAAATACTACTGGAACAACATGGTGAAATAATTCTTACCTATTAATTCTTAGCAACGGTGGCGATGCTGCTGTACGTCGTCCAGACCTTCCAAACAGTTTGTTGCTCAACGAACACTTCTTACGTCCCCCTTCTTCCACTTTAGCCTAAACATTTACAATTACACATATACGTCGATCATTAAATAATTGTATTAAAATGCATGAGCATAGATAACTTTTAACATCTGCACCATTTATTTATTTATCATATCTCTAAGTAACGTGAATTAAGAATTATATGAAAAATAAAGTATACAAATCTTGTCATAAAACAGAAAATTAATATAGTAATTCTATAACAATTCCGTTAAAACGTGTCAGTTTATAACTACTAATACGTGTCGTTTTTTTATATTTATTAATTAAATATACAGCAAAAAACAAAGCTGAGAAAGATTACGTATATAATCCATACGTAAGGCGATTAAATTTAATAGAACCATTAATAAAGTATTTAAATGTTTGGCACATCCTAAATCTTGAAGTCAATTGAAATCAATTAAGTCTAGACAGCGGAATGGATTATTGCATATAACACAAAATGGTTGAAATATTTTTAGGTTAATAGTTTCACTCTTACTATGTCGTGCACTAAGTTTTATGTATCGTTCAACTTTTATAATGATAATGATAAATACGATTCTTTACATAAAAAGCTGAGATTATCTTTATTTCTTTTCCCTCAAATTAATAATGATTAATTATTAGACGTGTACGTTACATTTACGTTTGAATAGCTATTTTCTTCTCTCCTTACCTGAAGAAAATCAATTAATTTAGCTTGCTGTCGGATGGTCGCATCTGCTTTGGTCTCGCGGGTTCGCCACCAAGCGGCCGCTGCTTCATGAGCCTCGCTTGCAGCGTTTGCCTCCTCCTGGATTTCATATTAATAAAATTTTAATTACTTATTAAATTGTATTTATCTATGATGATAATAGTATGTTTTCTCGTCATTATACATTTTCTTTGTTGATAGTATAAGGCTTAAAAAGAGATTTAAGATTTAAAAAAAAACGACATGGCAAATGCGCGTTCGACCTATTTTGGCTTTGGATATTCGGAAGTCCGCCGGCTAAAACCGAAACGTTATTAGACTTTACTAAGGTGGTCCGTGACCAGGACGGAATTCCTACCACCCATTTATCCAGACTTCCAGACGAACCTATGTTGGATCGAGTCTACCTCCCGTTGATCAATAGCCATACAGCTACCATTGGACCAACGAGACCGTCAAGATTAAAAGTTAGTACATAAGGTGGTAATATACCTGGGCAGCGTCAAGATTGGCTTGAACAGCCAGCGCCCGCGCATGATCGTTGAGTGCTCTCGTGCGCAGTGCAGTGCTCTCCTCCTGCAAATCACGCAGACGACGAGCCGCCGATGTCAGTGCCGCTTCATGGCCCGCGCAGACGCTCTCTAATTCTGCCACACGAGACTCCAATTCCGCTACCAGTATTTCACGGTTCTCTAGACGCTCCTAGACAAATGTGATTATCAAACTTAGTAAGTGTTCAAATTAAAAGTAAATCTTTAAAAAAAATTAAATGTTAATCTTTAATAGGTTGTTGGAGTTTTTGTCATCAAAGGCTCATATTTTCTTATTTAGTTTGGATAGTTTTAAGTTAATGTAATTAAATTTTAGTGTTAAATAAACTATTTCATTTTTTAATAAATGCGAGACCGGTATCTTATGAGATCCGCCTCTTACTTTTCGGCATATACAAACAAATACCGTCATCAAGAGATACCTAAAAACCAAGGATATTAATATGATTATAGCGTTTATGAAGGTTGAAATAAAGCTCAAAAATTACCTTGAGGAACTCTATTTGGGATCTAGCCTGCTCTAGCTGATCCCTAACCTCATCCTCGCGCTGCGAAGCGAGACTGATGGTCAGCGTTTTCTCAGCATTCTGCCGCTCGGCTTCAGCCACGCGACTGCGACACGTCTCCAACTCACAACGCATGCGTTGCACTTCAGTCTGAGAATTAAGTAATCGTTATAATAAAAAAAAATCGATTATAAATTGAAAAAATATTTTTTTATATATACTTAAGCTGCAAAGCATAAGCAAGCAAATGTTAAGATTGAAACTACATTGCGCGAGAGGTTGATACACGCTATCAATAGGTTGATAGCGTGTATCAACCGTGTTCAACAGGACACGGTAGCTCAATTTGTTAGAGCAACAGCACCGAACGCTGTGGATGCCGGTTCGATTCCTGCCGTATTTTGTTTAATTTATAATCGATTTTTAATTTATATAGTGCCATCACGTGCAATAATATGGAAAAAATATGAAAGTTTTCGAATCGTACTGATTCTCGTCATAATACTGCTATTTTAAAATACCTCGAGGTCTTTGTTTTTCAACTCATGAAGATCTGCAAGTTTCTCCAGATCGGTCAGCTGTTCCTCTAACAGGCTGCAAGCCTCTTGTAAAGCCTTGTTGTTCTGAAAGGAATACCCACGTATGTAATATTGTAAAAACATGGGGAAGCAAGTACTTGCAACTTTTGCGTGTCGCGTAGGGATACATAGGGATTAAAGAAATATTAGTAAACATACCCGGTGGAATATAGAAAACTTAACTTAAAAATACTAACTTATTAATTTAAGCAAAGGCCCAAAATGACAGAGACTTACAGCACACAAATAAGCGTGTAAGGCAGACAGGGACGCATCGATGGCGCTACATCGTCCCTTCAGCAAATCACTTAGTAAAGCCACCTTCATACGTTGCAAGGAGCGACCCCGCAAACGTAAGTACGTCGGCTTCGGCCATACAGCCGGCTTGCTATATCTTCGGTGATCCTCCATATTGAGGTCTCCAATTGTCTTATATACAGCACTGATGGTGTATCAACTTTTCCTTAGTACCATCGATTGGTCAAAATTTAAACAAACATTTACAAACGGCAGCCGAAATCGTACTAAAGAAGAACTGAATGTAATGATGTGTTATTGTTCGAACTTAATTTTGTTTGCAATAAACAAAACATAAACAACTCATACAATCAAACAATGGACGAAAATGTATAAACATTGGTTGGTAGTCAAAATACGGTTTAATTTTCGGCATGTACCAACTGAAATATGTATTGTATGTAAAACTTAATAAATATCGTGGGTCGTGGATTCGTTTCGTGGAATCGGAAGTTCCATCCGGATCACGAACTACCGTCAACAAATGAAAAAGCCGAGAAGTTAAATTTCGTTTTGGTTTTATTCTTTATATTTTGGCTTCAAATGGGAAATAAAGCCAAAATATATCGACAGCGCAGCTTGTTGAGTTGTTACATGGCTGGGGTCTTTCGTCTCCCATCAAGACCCCATGCTTGTACGGAGCAATCTCCTCTTTTTTTAGATATAATGTTTCGCAAAAGAAGCGCAAACATTTTACCATTTTTCGTTCATGTCAGTCTTTTACTTATTACTTAGCTTTGTTGTAAACATTCTAATATTTCGTCAAGATAAATCATTATACGCAATCCTTAATAAGCAGTTAAGGTTAAAAAAAATCGACGATGACGTGTAGGAAACGATAGCTCAATTGGTTCGAGCAACAGCACGGAACGCTGTGAATGGCGATTGAAGTTCCGTGTCGTCAATCTTGCCAGAATGTTTCATAAAACTAAGCAAGACATAGAATTAATTCAAATTGACGTATACCATTATCAGCTCGTTGTTCTGAGCACGCAGCGGTGACAGTTCATCGCGAAGTTGGGCACGCTCGCGAGCTGACAGCTCCTCTTGTTCCTCCGCGTGAAGACGCCGCTTTTCGCTGTACTGCACTTCACTTTTGAGCTTGCGTATGTCGTTACGGGACCTAAACAGGATGGCGATCTATAAATCTATACTAATTTATAAAGCTGAAGAGATTCTTTGTTACTTAGCTATATGTCGCTATATAATATATGCTGTACAATAAAAAATAACATAGTTGTTATTCACTTTGAACTATCTCAATTTTCATGACCGGCTAAGACCGTTAATCGACACAACACAAAAAAATATGAGACGAACAATACATAATAGCCGACGGGAAATGTTAATCGACTTGTTATGAGTCGTAAATTTTTATTACTTGTGTCATAACATAGGGGATCCACCTACAATTAAGATATCTTTGTTTACAAGTTTTTTATTAAGGAAGGAAAACTATAATGGTTCACTAAAAATGTTTTGTCTTTGTACAAATACGAACTGCGCAAATACTAACTTGACTTGAAAGTATATAGTTTACGAAATAAATTCTAAAAAAGTTTTTAGTCTATATTTTACTTACAGAGTACACATTTAAACAAAAAACTTACCGGATTAAAACGCGAAATATATGTAAAAAAATGATGTCAAAAGGTATGATATTCTAAATCATCAAATGTATGATATCAACTCATCGGCAAACACGCCCATTCTCTTTAGTCCCTCCCGTGACCACAGCTGTTGAAAAGCATCCGAAACGTAGGATCGAAGTTAAAACTAGTAGTAATTAATATGTTTCACGTTTTAAACCGTTAAGTGTTTTATTCAAAAGTATATAGGAACTACTTTTTATTGTCACTTAATGTAAATTTTTGCGATTTGTGTAATATGATGAATTATTTATTGAACAATGCTAATGTCAAAGTTATTAAGAATTTTATCTTATGTGCTTAATAAGCTACTTTATTTCCAATTCTGTAAAATGATTCATAGCCAATATTTGTAATTATACCTGTCCACTTCGGCTTGTAGAGCATCGTAGTTCTTCTGCAGTTTATCTAGCTGCCCCTTGTACCGCTCCATATCCTTCCTCGCTTGCTCGTATTGAGGTTTTAATGTTTCTAATTCTTTCTCCAGTTTCGACGCTTTAGCCTCGGCGACCTTACGCCCTTCTGATAAAGACGATATTCGCTCTTCGGCTCGTTTTAAATCACGCGACGAAACTTTTACGTCAAGGCTGAGATCGTTGCATTCCTTTTCCTAGAAAAATCGTACATATTGAGATTTGATGATTTTTTACATGTTATTGTACACTATGACAATATATAAATTCAAAATCTATGAAGATTGAAATACGTAAGCGTACGTAAGAGAGGTGCATGTATTAATGAGTTACAGAAATTCGACGATGACGTGTAGGACACGGTAGCTCAATTGGTCGGAGCAGCAGCACGGGTCGCTGAGAACGCCAGTCTTAATTTAAGTTAAAAATAGTTAATTATCATTGTTTTTAAACTATGACCGTTCAGACCATATGTAGATATATTGTATATTTCTATGTTTGATATAGATTTAAAATATAGATGACGTAGCTCTACCAACTGAGCTACCGTGTCCCGTTCATTTTTTTTTTATTTCATTTCATTTATTTTTAAATCTATTTAAACATATTGTCGAAATCAATTTAGGATTTGAATTCTGGAGTATCTTTTACGCTTACCGAAATATAAAGCATCAGATTTACTAAATCTCTGTCTCTCGCTAATGCTAATTGTTCGTATTTAGGAAAGGATTTAAAAAGCAAAAAAACATGGCATCATCATAAAATTCAAAGTGGAAAATACTAATCGCTGCCAAAAACAAACTAAACAGAGTATAATTATGATATATTACCTCAAAAAGGGTAAGCTTACCTTTCGCCACCTCGCGAGATTGGCACTTCTTGCTTCTTGGCGCAGAGTCGCAATTTCATCAGCACGCGCCTAAAATAACAAAATTGAAAAAATAAATTAACATACGGCTGGAAGTAACATTTTTTATATCGTAACATATAATTGATTTTAAAAGCAATGACGTCAAATCGTTAGCTAATCAGAAATTGATATTCAGTTTTTTCTGGAGGAAAATACCACGATTTAAGTGACTCATATAATGCAAACATTTTATGAAATAAATTTCATATTTATCGTAGTTTATGGTCTAAATGTTTTTGATCATTAACCAAATAATACTGTCTTGATTACGAATATATCCAATTTAAATTTACATAAAATTCGTTAAAAAAAAACAACAAAAGAATTATATACTAAAAATATGTAGTGCAAGGTGGCCCTTGCAAGGCCTTGAAAGAATCGCTAATAAGTGATTTCTTCTAGACAACGCTGGATTAAAGAAGTAACAGTTTACACAACGCTCGGCAACACGTTTAACAATTAATCTACAGAGGTGATATATGAGCAATAGGTACTAATTATTTTATCGAATTGGACTATCAATTTGGCTTACCTGAAGTTGAGCTTCAGCTCGCTCCAACTGTTCCTTTAAGAGCGTCACTTGTACGTTCACGTGGGAATCAGCGACGCTTTCAGTGTCGCTTCTAGCGTCCACTCGGATATCACAGTCTGACGTATTCGTTGCGGCGTTATTAGCGGATGCGTCGTTAGCGTTTGAGTTAGCAGCAGCAGCGTCGTGGGCTATGCACTTGACGCATGCGCGGTTCTCCATTGCGCTCACTTCTCGCTCCAGCTGACGGACTAGCTGTTCTAATGTTGCGACCTTCCAAAAATACATTTTCTATACTAATACATTAAGCTAGAGAGTTAGTTTGTTTGAAATTAGACACAGTTAAAATATACGCAACGTATGCCACATGAAATCCGCTAGACATTTTGTTGCCTATTTTATTTATTTACAAAACTAACACTACGCATTATTTACTGAACAAAATAAAACTATACTATAAATTTTAAACAATTTTGCATTTTACTTACAAACACGTTGAACTATAAGAAAAGCCATATTTTCGAATTGACTAAACAATTTATAAACTATAGAACTAAAATACGTTGTTTCACGTTATGTTTACATCGTCATTGAGATGAATGTTATCAAAAATACTATCAGTTTCATATCTACAGTACTTCTAGGTACGTCCAAATTGCATAAGGTCTTATCTACGAGTATCAATGTAACATTACTGAACAATTTTAAACACGGCAGCTCAATTAGTATAGCAAGACTGTAAAGGGTTCGAGTCTCGCCCGTGTCATTAATTTTTCAATTATATTTATGATTAGTAAAGTGTAAATATATCGTTTTAATTATGTAGGAGTCACATTAAGATTGTAAATATATTACGACACGGTCAGAATTTGAACTGGCGTCCATAGCGTTCCGTGCTGTTGCTCGAACATTAAAAATATTTTAAATTTTATAATGCCATCATGTGCGACTGTATAGACAAGATTTATTATATACTGTTCAATATCACCAACACTTTATTTATAATAATTGTTTAAAATGCGCTTGCGCAGTTTGCGTTTTGCTGGTTATATTTGATTATTATCACACCTTTTCTCTATGCCTCGCGTCGTCTTGCAGTGCACTGGAAGCCCTTGCCTCGGCTGCCTCCAACTTCTGCTGCATTCTTGCTTCGGTGCGAGTGCCTTGTTCTTCGAGAATAGCTTCTCTTTGCGCCGCCGTAGCTATACCACGTTCTAGTTCCTGGATTAAGTTTTAAGGTTTAAATTATAAATTTTTGCATAGTTGTTAGAATCATAAAAATGATAATATAAAAAAACATCTTTTATGGAAAGAAAGGCTAATCTAAAACATATGGAGACACTCTCCACATGTTTGGATCCTATCTTCTTGGTTAGAAGTCTCCTATGATATGTCGATAGGAGACACGAAAATACACGATGACGAACGAACGATTATTGTTTGACTAAACCAATTGTATAAGGCTCTCGTGGAGATCGTTATAAAGAAATTCGGTTCGTTTACACTAGCCCTTCAGCGAAGAACCAGTTCAAAAACATAAACGGATTTAAGCAGATTACAGTACTAAATTTTAAACAGCAGCTGCTTCAAAGAAAATGTAGATATTTTAATAGAACGTCTACACCTTTACCATTAGATTACCATAGGAATTGGCTGTCAAGAGAAAAAAACTTACGTGAACTTGCGCTTGTAATGAAGAAGCCCTGAGTTTTTCCTGTGCTAGTTGCGTTTGAACATCATTCAGTTCTTGACTAGTCGCCGCTACAATCCTATCCTTTTCGCGGGCAGAATTCTGTAAGATGTATATCATTATAAATATTTATATTAAAGGCAATTAAATAGAAAACATCAAAACTATCTTATTAAATTTTAGGTAAACATGCTTAAATGTTAAAATTACTAAAGCTAAGATTTTAAACTAAATTGTGGTTTAGGAGTTCATGACTAATTTATTTATTTGCAAATGACATGTATTGAGATAATAATTGCCAAGGATACCTGAGTCTGCATCAAACAGTCCCTCAAATGTTCCAATTCACCGCGTACATCACGCAGGTCGCTGTTTAGTTCCGCAACTTGCTCCTCCAGCGCGACCCTCGCCCGTTGCTCACGCGCAGCGTTCGCTTCGGCCGCTACGAGCCGTGCGCTGTCTACGTCACTGCCACTAATCGTTTGGCGTCTCAATGCTCTCTCCTTAGCTATTGTGTCCTGAATATTTGTGGATATTATATAAACAATATAATTTCTAAATTCTAAATGCGGTCGGGCAAACTCTGACCAACTACTTGCTTGTAAAAACCTATCAGTGGTGCGGATAGAGATAACTGTTACTATACTATGTGTGACCATAGGAGAAGGTCCGAAAATCGTGAAAACTGGTCTGGGTGTAGCTTTTTGGTTGTATAAGCAACAATAAATCATACAAATACTTCCTTATTTCAAATAAATCCGTAATTTAAACCTATAAGAACTGGAATAATATGAATGTATCTCTATGTATATTATAAGGGGTCAAAGTAAATAAATTTCTTATATCCTAAACAATATAAATATGATTATAGCTGTTCAACAAAAATAGAGGTACACAATATTAATTATAATAATATAGATCTTTTTTTACATGCATAAATAACTAATCTACTTGAAATTATACTTAATTTTGTGTTTTTTTTTATACTAACTATCAAGACTGCAAGTCGACTACTGGCGAATACATACTAATCTACACTATAATACAAATAATTGTAAACTCATAAGACTCACAACAGGTTTAACATTGATTTCTGTGAGCCACCTGTGACGCAACTCTTGAACGCTAGTGACAATGTCCTGGTGGAAGTACATAGGGTGTGGGGGTTTATAAATTGTAAAAGAGTTTCTGTTTGTTAAACAGAGTTTCGTGTCGTTATTCTATAAATAGTTTTAGAAGTTTAATCTCGGTTGCGCAAATTTCGCTATTTGTGTGAAATTGTACTGGAGAAAGGATACTCTAAACTAGAGTCTTAAACCCTATGGACAGAGCCCAACAGTGGGAAATTGGGACAACCGTTGGACTTTGCCCAGCATGGCTCTTAATACATATTACGCGTTAATTACAATGTAAAAGACCGTTTCTCATCTTGAAGCTTTTTTTTAAATTTATATCTTACAATGTTTTCACTGATACTTGTTGTAGAACTGTCACTGAGTATATAATATATAGACTAGTTGTGTCAGCGACTTCATCAAGAATCTTTACTTTCGGCATCCAAATGCGTTCTTGCAAAAACCTGAATCTTAAAAAACTTAAGCTGTTACCCACGACGGCAGTCGCGTTTCTTAACGTCGTTCTTGCAAGTTAAGATTAAAAGAAAGACATATAGCGTCGCGCACTTTTTTTTTAGATTTAAAGAGGAATCATTCTTTTATACATGTTTTTTGGGTATCTTGAACCGTTTTTGCTTCGTACGCCTGGGAAACCTATAATGACGAATAAATTTCCCCGTTTTTTCCACAAATTCCCTCCGTTTCTTTACTTCTATTGGTCGCAGCGTGATGTTTTATAGCCTATAGCTTACATCGATAGATGTTCTAACCAAAACAATGTGCATTTTTCAATTCGAACCCGTAGTTCCTAAGATTAGCGCGTTCAAACAAACAAACAAACTCTTTAGCTTTATGTATTAGTATAGATTTTGTTTTCATTATCATCAAGAACAGCAGAAACAAAGCATACCTTATAATGTCGATGCTGAGACCGCGCATTATCGGCTGCGGCGACTGCGCTTGCGCATTCGCTTTGCAACTCCTGTACTTTCGCTTCGAGACGAGCCATGTCCTCTTTGAGTATATCTCTTTCGCTTTGCAGTTCAGAAGCCTGCGCCTTGACTGCACGTATTTCTGCGTTACTTCGTTCCTTCACACCCGAATTCAACTCTTGGTTCGTCCGTTCTAAGGCCATACGTTCTTCTCTTTCGACTTCCAACTGCCGTTCCAGGCGCCTGATAAGAGAATACTTATTTACGATACGATACGTCTTTATGGCTTTTTCATCTTTACTCGGTGGTTCGTCAGCCCGATGACAAAGTCCAACATAATTTAAAAATCGAAAATAAATTGAGCCGGTATAATCAGCGCTCTACAAATAAATAAAAAAATTCAATTTATTTTCGATTTTTAAATTATATAGTGCAATAAAGTGTAAAAAATTATAAAGTTTTCAAAAAGTCCAATGTGTTTCAGAGAAATTATGAATTTATTAGAAACACGTTGGACCCGGTGGGGATCGAAACCGCGTCTCGTTGATTATTGGTCATACCATATAATAAAACTGATGAGCCAGTCAAAAACTTATTTGGTATATTATAATGTACTCATTGATTCGCCCTAATCGAGGCCGTTAGAGGCACAGTAGCCAACCGCAATAAAAAACACATCAGTAGACTTGGGTTATTTATATTATTTATATTTTCATAGTCTCAAAATATTAATTTACAAGAGCAGTGACCGAAAATTGTAAACATAATTCATACACAAATAATAGTACAAATTCATTTTCGCTTAAGTTAATTGTGCATTTTTATTTTCTTCCTTATTGAAAATCAAGCTTTTATTAGGCCACTCTGCACTATTTGTATTTATAAAAACGTACTTATTTTGCAAGGACAGCGCAGTAATATCTGCTTGCAGCCTGGCCCGAACCCTTTCCGCTTCATCTTCGGCTTCACGGCGAGCACGTTCTGCCGCGGCGCTGACAGCGCATTCCGCGGTCGCCAGTTTACTTTGCAGCGACGCAATTTCCTTGGCTCGAATCGTAGCTAACTTCTCAGCAGACCTATAAACGAAGCAATAGAATTTATTGATTTAAAATTAATAATGTATTAGATAGGATAGATAAGATTAAAAAAAAATTGCAATGTCGACGATAATTGTAGGACTCGGTAGCTCAATTGGTTAGAGCAACATGGAACGCTGACGATGACGTTTCAAGTCCTGCCCGAAGTCGAAATTAAAAAAAAAAAAATATTTATTATTAAACATTATTTGAACCTACTTGAATGTAGCCAAGTCGATAGCGGTGCTGTCGTGTGAAGACGTGAAACTGCTGATGGTTTCTTCATTGTCCTCGGGTGATATGTATGAATAACCTAGAAAAGCGGACAATGTTATGATACAAGGCGATATGTCTGTCTTCAACAATGATAATTATAATATTGTTACAATTCCGATCGAATATAGAACAACATCGCTAAGATCACCGCACTACACTTCGTACTCTGCACAGAATACAGACAAACAATGTTATTAGTATAAATTTGAACAATGGATTATTTATATTTTCTCTCTTTCAACTAGACTGCTAGAGACAATACTAATAACACAAAACATGATTTTTAGTAAGGAGGACAAAAAATGCGCAATTAACTTAGGCGAAAACGAATTTGTACTATTATTTGTGCAAAAATTATGTTAAAAGTAAAATTGCAGTTAGGCTACTCTGCCTCATATATCCAATTGATTTTTTTTTATTGAGACGGGTTTACCAATATTATGGTACAAAATTCCTTATAATATAGTCATAAATTTTAATCCAAAAACATTTATATAGTTAGTGTTTAAATCGTTAAATAAAAATATTTTAAAATACACACCAACAAAGGGTAATTGCCCAGCAAATGGAGGCCTCGTTCGGAAGGGTGTTGTTGTAGGCTGCGATGCTTGGCGCGGCGGTGAAGACAGGTATCGTGCATCTTCCGGACCACGGACACTTGGTACCCATGGAGGAGCCTAAACATAGGTTTCTAATTGCATTACTTACATTATATGTCTACAATATCTGTGTGGATATATAGACGGATACACATTTTTTTTTCCTAGTGCAAAAAATCCTCTTAGACCTATCATTTAAGGGCGAGAGGTCTGGCTTCATAATCGGAAACAAGAGTTTAAAACAAACATCGCGCGAAACTGACAAAATGTCATATGGCTTAGGACTTCACATAGGGTAAGTGAATTCTAAGCTTGTCTGTTAATCTTAGTAAAAAAAATAAAAGTTTGTCTACCACATGCAAAGAAAACAAGTAGCAAGAACTAATACCTGATCCCGTATAGCTGCGGCATGCAGCGCTATATGCCCAAGCGCAGGATGTCGCAGCGTTTCGAGGTAGTTGAAACGTCGCGCTGGCTGCACACGAAGCAATCCTGCCACAAGACCTCGCCATGTCATAGAGGGCGAACTTGGTAGGGGGTCGAAGGGTGGTTCTCTATTTACATCCTGTTCGTATCTAGAATGTTTAAAAAAATACAGTCAAGTAAAGTAACAGTTTTTTCCTCCTAAATGTAATGCAAGGCTACATATCAAATACTGTAGTTAACGCAAGTAGTACACATTTAAAGAAACCAATTTAACGGTTCAAAATGTATATTAATACTTATTTGGAAATGTTTTTAACTACGGCCGGACGTTTCCGATACTTTGCAGCAGCTTGGTCACAGGGAGACAAAGCAATGTCAAATAAGTTTAACTAATATACATCGCGTTTTAAACCGTTAAAGTGTTTTATTTTAAGGGTATATATCATTTACCTTTGTATATTACTCAGGACTTGAGCTATCGTATCTTCATCACTAGACGAAAACGGTCTCCTGAGTGTAACCAATTCAAACGCCACGACACCCAATGACCAATAATCACATGCCGACTGAAAAAAAAAACAATATTTTGATAAATAATAAAATGTCTGTTTTCAAATAAGTTAATTTAGTTACAGACTTTGTACTGTTGTGAAGCTCATAACTATACATTAAAATCTACACCCAATTTTTGTTAGAAGATTAGAATGACTTACTACAGCCACTACATTTGCTGAAGCGTTATTGCATTTTTTTCTACAGAGTTAGTTTATATTGATTATTCCATCTACAATATTTTAACATGCATTAGTATTTCTTTGTACGTCTAGAAATAATTGAAATTTTAATACGAATTTTTAATCGTTTTCAACTAATATTTATTTGTTTTTAGGGGCATTTTAACATTAACGATAATGACGGATAAAATTGTTGGAAAACAGATAAATACTGTAATTTATCGAACTTAAGCTTTAACATCTGGCAAATAAACTTAATAAGGTTAAATAAAAGTGTTTTCTTTTCTTGAAATATGTGACTGTGTCTTGCCTGTTATATGAAAGTACAGGCTGTGTACCTATTTACATTTGTTTTAAATTGGTCAAGACTCTATTTACTCTAAATCTCTATAGAAAGAGAGTTCCAATACAAGTTTTTACAAGGTAATTAACGTCGATAAAATTTAATTGATATATTCCTTATGATTAAAAGTAAAGTCATTCCGCTTTCTTAAGACACTAAAATCTAGGCGTCATAGCGAACCCACAAGCGCAGTAGTAATGTGGCAATACTGCAGACAGACAGTGTGAGTGTGCGACGCACAGTCTGCGGCGGCTAGCAGCTCGGGAGCGACGTAATCTGCCGTGCCTCCTACCACACAACCACCTTCTGATAGACGTGCGCACGAGCCGAAGTCACCCAGCTTTATGTGTCCACACCTTCAAATAATTATATTTGTCAATATGTCATCTTCAAAGAATTTATTAATTTCCTTTAATTAATAAATAGACCAATATATCACTTGTTTTAGGCAATAGAAAATACATTATATCGCTTTTAAATCTATTTCATAAATAGTAATAGAAAAGTACATTGATATAGAGTTAAAGTTAAATAAAACAAATGGTTAAATACAAAAATGTCACGAGTACATAAGAGTTTAGGCTCAGTAGTTGAGCATTGCCCAATACCACATCCTCCACGGGGAGTTTGGATTCAAAAAATTAAAAAGTAGTGTCCTTGTTTTCAAATATTCTCTCACCTATCTATCAGTATGTTAGCAGGTTTGACATCCCGATGTACAAAGCCCATTCCATGAAGGGCTTTGAGAGCATGAGCTATTTCAACCACATAGAAAGAAGCATCTCTTTCTGATAGAGGATGGCTACAGCGAGATAGAAATCCACCTAAGTCACCACCATTGCATAACTCCATGACCAAAAATAGATTATTGTTATCCTGTAAAAAACAAACTAATGTTAAATAGCTGAAAAGTTTGTTTCATTGAACATGGTTATTTTTAAAAAGTAGCTTAAGGTATAAGGTAGAATCATCACAGTCACAAATATACAAAAAAAAGAAACAATATGGATGAATGAATGTATTTATCACAGAATTGCTTCCCTTCACTAAACTAATAAACCAATTAGTCAAAGATTCCATGGACAAAGACTTTCTATTTTCAGTACACTAAAATGTAGTATTGGTGAAAAAAATAATATTAGTAAGTACCGAATGAATGGACTTTTACAGTACATGAAAACAGTTACCTGAAAGGCATATTGAAGCCTTGGTATCCACTGGCCCGACGAAGTGGCCAAAATGTCCCTCTCATCAGCTGCTCCTGAAACTCTCTTACGAGCTTGTTCTTTGCGCACACTTTTTAATGCATATACATCTCCAGTTTGTTTTTCGCGTACCATCTAAAAATAATTATTTTTAATAATTTTGTTATAAAAATTTACAGAAATAATAATGTTTATGATACTTTGAGTTCCATAAGCACTCATGTGTCTTTTAAATAGTACTATGTTTATACATAAATTATATAAAATCTTACATGTACTTCTCCAAAATGTCCTCTTCCTATGGTTTGTAACACTTCAAAATCAGATAAACAAACTCGAGCACTCCGCAACTCAGCCAAAGCACTTCGGTCTAAAAAAATATTCAATATATTGTCAACTACTTAATATAAGTCTTAATAAAATAATATCAATACAATTTAAATCATAGCAGTTACAAAAAGTAAATGACTGAGTTTTAGCAAAATAGTGATAAGTTATACATACATTTATCAACAAATACACGAACAAGTTCATCAGATTTTTTGACGGGATCTTCATTGCATTCATCATATAAGACAGTGAGAGCATCCAACAAAGCTTCTCTATCTATCTTTTTACTTAACTTATTAATACCACCAGTCACCCTTCCAGTTATTTGACGATTTAACCGTGTTACACGCACTGCAATTGCATCCTTTGAGGGCTCCATGTTTTGAACGGTTTTTTTTCGTTATCAAATGTTCATGCTTTTGTGTTTACATCTATTTTCCCTATCATAAGTATCCACGGCTACCTTGAATTCAAAGGGCACATTTTATACAGCCGTATTAAACTTGAACCTAAAAATAGTTTAGTCGATAAATTGTAGCCGTTACAAAATTGAAATTTGAAAACAAACTTGAAGTTCTGGTATGTCCTACAATGACATTAGTTAATAGTTATGTCAATTGTCATATCTCTTTACCGGCTTTTCCTTGATTTTATGTGAGACTACAGGTTAGAAATCCAACCATAGAGTTATAACTAGTCTAACATATATAATAAATATCACAATCGATATTGCGAATGGAACACAATATATTATTAGATTTTTTATTCTGCAATATCGTAGTTAATAAATATATTTAAAGGAAATTTATTAAATTATAATGGCATGATCGATTATTAATTTGCAAAGCTTTTTTAGTCTAATTAGTTAGTTGCAACTACAAACTTATTTACAATTATTATATACTTTATATATGATATACGTTACCGAAAAATAAAATAATTACGTAATACCGCTATTATTGCATTAATAATAGTTTTATGTCTTTATTAATTTATTTCATGTTTACGTCAATACATTTTCATTCGATAAAGTGTAATTTCTCAAAAATGTATAAGCAGGGGTAATTAAATATTAATCGTGCGATTATCTTTTTGTGCCTTTTTTATAAAAACTTTTTAGTAAATTGTTTTCTTTTAACTATATGGTTAACTTGTGAAGGTATATTATTCAAAACATTTTTTTTATCAATAATTATTATCTTATGTGGAATTATTAAAAATACATAGTTGGCATGAATTGTCCTTTTAAAGTTTAATATAACGTAATTGCATTTGGTATTGGTACTAAGAGCTTTAATTAGACTCTTGCCAGTTATGTAACACCAGTGTCTCATTCTATAATATAAAAGATCGCATATGTACCTTACTAATCATTTATCATCTATATGTTAATAAGATAAGGAAATATATAAAACAAATACGATTTTTAATTAACACATTATTTGGACTTTTGGAGATATTATGGGAATTTGTAAAGGCAAGATTTAAAATTTTTTACGTATAGCTTACAAGTCTTTATCGTTATCTATGAATGAACGTCAAGATGTAAATTAAATGACATCATCGAAGCTTTGCCCTATTCAGTATTACAAATAGGGATGTTTCTTTTGGGGCTTGAGGTCCAAGCTACCAATATTAGTAAACTTAACTAAACAATATACGTACATATGTATGTTGTTTGATATACATATTGGTTAAATTGAGTACAAGTAATAAATTATTAAGGGGCAATACCCTTGCTAACTGTTTCGGTTCTATAACGAAAAACCTGTTCAAAACAAGAGGCAATATTTCTCTCAACGGGTATTCCGTTTACCAGAAGGAAATAAAATTCGTAAACTAATTCCTTGCATTTAATCTTACGAAGCTTCTTCTTAATTTATTTTTCTAAACATATCGCTTTAACAATGAGATAGCACTAATTTGTAAAGATACATATAGTTTGCAGTGGCCTATTAAAAAATATTCAATTGAAGGTACGCACGGAAGGAATTCGAACCCACGGCATAGCGTTCCGTGCTGTCGTTCTACCACTATCGAGTCAAGCGTAACCTTTGATTTTATCCATTTATGCGCCTTTCGCGTAATGTCGCACAGCGCGTGTCATCATTTTTTTTCGATCTCAAATGAATTTTTAAATGTATACATAAGTATATATATCAAGCATTACACTTGCTTTTCTATTATTATAGCCAAACACCATGTTCACGTGATGGAAGGTGAAATAGCCTAACCATAAATACCTATAAACGGTGCGTTGTCGACCTATTTCGGATTTTGGAATCCGGAAATCCAAAGCTGGAACTGAAACGCGAAACTTCACAGCTTTTTCACCTATGGAAAGTTGTTTGGGACGAAATTAAAATTTTCAGACGAAGTTCAACATGTTTTAGAACCATTTAAATCGATAACAGACACAGAAAAATAATAAAGAGATAATCGAACTCACGACCGCTGATTATTAGCTATACATTGCTAAGGTAAAATTAAACATTTGTTTACTACTTAACAGTAGTATCGAGACGTTATCTAGTGCCCATCTTACCCTAAGTTTATAATAAACTTAGGGTAAGATGTTATTAATTATCTATTTTACAGCTAGTCTTTGATGTATAGGACCCGTTTTTACAATATATATACAAAGAAGCGCCCCAATATCTCAGTGGTTAAAGCAATCGTTTCCGATTACCTTACGATACAAGTTAACACAATTCACGTGCAGAATATTATGTAATGTAGGCTAGACAGTTAAACATTTATCGTAACATGTTCTAATTTACAGACAAGAAGGTGATCGGCCTTATGCTTACCTCATCTATGAAGAAGTCAATAAGATTTAATGAAGAAAAATAATATTAATTTGCACATTTACATCGCACACAGCTAGCGGTCAGTGTGCCTTATATTGTTTATAAAACTTGTGGATTTTGTTTCGCCAGCAGTTTTGTTCATACTCAGCTAGAGTGCGGACCTTTACAATTAATTAGAGCACAGTTTTATAGTTGTACGTTTGTGGTGTGCACAATGTCTCTTTTGCAAGGACCGTCCGCGAAACAGGAGGAGATGATAAAGCAGGAGCTCGGCGAGAACCCAGGGGATATTGAACGGGGTGTGATAGACCTTCGCAGCATGTGCGCTGCCAACCCCTATCTGCCACGACCGGAGGCTTTTGGTACAGTTATTTATACCTAAATTAGTTAATATTTAGGTAATACACAATAGGACGTTATTATAGAGGACAAAATAAAATATTAGCTGATTAAGCGATCAGAAAAAACAAATGAACTTAGATTTTTTTTACGCTATTGTCCTAAGTCCATTGTGTGGCATTCTTTTGTGTCGTCGTCCACATATTCAAGAATAGTATAAAAATAGATATAAATACTGAATACCAGTTTGTGTACTTTATGTTAGTGACCCAAAGTTCGCTACACCATCGAGATGATTCTATTTTGAATGCCTTGTCTACATTCTCTTACAAACATTGGGATGTTAAAATGGAAAATGCCACTTTTTCCCGTCCAATACGCTTCAGTCTTTAAACTTGATGAATTTGATATTTGACGTATGTGATTTAGTAATCTCATTGTGGGTGGGAATAATATATTTATTGCTCTATTGTATTTGTCAACTATATTTATAATTTGGTTGCAAGGGATTTCGTTGTGTCATTACTGTTTACAGCTGCAGTTTCGGTAGGTACTAATTTATAACAAGAATATTATGTATATGACTCGTACTAAATAATTGCTAAAACCTTTAACTATCCTATGATAACTAGGTATAGGTTTATACACTGACTGAAGGTTAGGTTTAAACGTTTAGTGTCTTCGTGTGGTCGAATATGCAGATTTAGTGAACGCGTCGTAAGTCTTCTTCATGTACTTATGAAACTACAAAACCTCATCAAAACGTATCCAATCGGGTAACAATGCGTAATAGAAATGTGAAAAGGAAGACATTTTTACAAAGTGTCGACTTACGATTTGATATTTTTATTCCAATCAGTGACTCTATAGTAGAGTACTTAATCTGATATTCCAAAAGACATCTTGGATTTTAAGCGTACTATATAATCATTCGTTTTAATAGTAATTGGGGTACTTGAACTCTTGTCATTAAGATCTATCGTTGTCCTATATTAGTGCATGTTTGTTACGAAAATATAGAAATAAAAAACAAAAGAAAAAATAATGGAAAAGTTTTATTACATGATAATTGAAAGAATGTGTTGTAGTAATTCACCGTTAGCTGATTGACTTTTATACATATTTTAGTTAATTAATAATTTATTTCACCTTGTTCTGGCGTGAAAATTTAATTTTTATAGAAGCTTTTTATATATATATATACAAAAGGACATTTTCGCCATGTTACGGATTTTTTCTTATGCAATTAACTAAACACGTCATGGAAACAATTTTCCAAGGGAATATTAACACGTCATGCTTATATTTTATAACATAAATTATTATTATATTATTTAAATAACATAATTTACTTATAGTTGTGTGTTGTATAAGAATCTGCTCATATATAAGGAAAATACTAAGCCAAGAGATTTTTCATAAATAGCGTTGGCTTTAAGAGGTCTAACTCTAAGCGTGTCCAAGAAATTCCAGTAGGACCGGTCATTCGCTACTGATGTCTATTAATAATTTTGCTGCATATTACCTGTAGGATAACTGGTATGCACATAACTTGAACTTTTCTTAGTGCGCTTTTCAAACTAAAGTACATAGTAGAAAGCCGTAATTTTTGTAATTTAATTATTGCAGTATATTATAAACACTGCCTGTTCGGCTCCATAAATAAGCGTTGCCTAGCAACCAGTCAAGTACTAATGATGCCAGGTTGAAATCCCGTGGCAACATATAATAATTTAGATCGGGAATGTTTGACATTGAAAAATTTAACAATAAACCGGATACACACATTTTTTCGCTCTATATCATATAAGGAAAACGTTTGTCATTTTTATGTTAAAAATAACAAAAGAATACTAAATTATCTTTAAAATATTGAGTAGTATATATATATAAATTAACAACATTAAGAAAGAAATATATTCACAAAGACGAAGGGCCGCAACCACAAAATTAATTTGCCTCACAAAGCTTCAAGACCTTGCCTCAAATATCGTTTTATATTCGATAAAACAAATCTCATTGAATCTTGATCTATACCACGATAAATATGGGATCATTAATTCTTAAATATTTAAGAAAATAAAATTATGCACGTGCATGTATTGTTTACCTTTAGTTAATGAGATAAAAAGCTGGTACCACGTTTTATATCTATTTTACTCGATTAGTGAATCTGTTTAATTCTACGTGCGTTCATATTGTTGACTACATTCGAGGATTTAATGCAATATCTTAAATATTCTACATACGTACGCTTTCGCAAACCACAGCGTGTATTTATATTTCTAATTGGTACTTTCATTTAGTTTTGACAATTAACTGCGTAAAAAAAATGAAGTAAGCCATCATTTCCTAAATTAATGAGATGACAATCATGTTATCTCTTAAAGCTTTCTGTCACAAGAAACTAATTGATCAGTCCTCTTTTTCCTGCTTGGTCAAAAATGTGTTGTCCCGGAACCGAACCCAGGACCGGCTAACACTTATATATTCAGCCACAAGCGGTCAATATAATACACAGTTTCTAAAAAAATTTAATGCAATGCATGAAAAAATTTTTTACCGAACAATAAAGTTTGTTAGTAAATACCAACCGTACGCGTGATCATATTGGTATTTTATAAATTATTTAGTTAGCTCCCCCATGGCTGCTGCAAAGCATCCGAAACGTCGGGCCGAAGTTAAAAATCATTTTCAAATAAGTTTAAGTAATATATCGCGTTTTAAACCGTTAAAGTGTTTTATTTAAATGTGTACCACTCGCGTAAACTATAGACAGTATTTCTTTAGTTAGTTTAATTAAATATCTTGGTTAAATATAATTCGCGTTAAATTTTATCAAAAGCGTGATCGAGTAAATCCGGTTTTAAAATCGAATTTTTATGTTAAACGTTTTATAGCATAAAGAACAATGTTATTATTTTTTTTGTTATCCACAGAGCCTGGTGTTTAAATAAATAAATATAAGTGAAACAAGCATGGGGATGCTTTACCTCCTCTCTAATAAAAAATACTGTGTACATGGCACACACGCAAAAGGTTATTCGCGTTTTTATAGTCGTTTTCCATAATAAATACGATATGCACACACACTCTACATAAGGTACGGTACGAATCATCCGTTGCTCACATTTGCGCATAAATAGCTTATCAAATAGAATAATTATGTTGGTCCATGTTTAGTCAGCTTCCTGATCGTAGGTACACTAGCTAGTCATAGACTAAGAACTAATGATAAAAGACATAGTCTGTGGTATATAATATATAGTAAACGACATAATTTGTATCTGTTCTGTATAAGATTGTCATCGTCACCTCTCACTTTACCGCTTGCTCTGGGCGTTCTTCCTTCTTCTTCTTACACGAATAACCATCTGCCTCAAGGGGTCTACAGTAAACATAGATTTTATTAGACACAGGTATTTTATATAATATAGTGGACTAAAATTACTAATAATTAATAACAGAAAATAATATGTGATAGAAACTTATTAATAGAGATACATTTTTCGATAGTAAAAATAATAAACGTTTTAGCTTCAAATACTGTCTGTAGTTTACGCGAGTAGAACACATTTAAATAAAATACTTTAACGGTTTAAAACGCCATATATTTTAGTTAAACTTGTTTGGTGTCTCATCCGAAACGTCTGGCCAATAGTTAAAAATAGTTTTCAAACAAGTTTGACTAAAATATATTGCGTTTTAAACCATTTAAGTGTTTTATTTAAATGTTTTAGCTTTATTATACTTAAAGATGATATAAATTGATGATTTTTGTGTGACATAGATTATAATAGTCAATAATTTACTCTGAAGTTCGGTATATTACACTCCATTTTTCACATTATCAATTAACGTTCAGCTAACCTTTAAGCACGTCAAAGTAGTGATTATTATAGTTAACATTACGCTAGTAAAACATAGGTAATAAACAAGTATTTTTAAGTATCGCTTTATTTAGCATTGTAAACTTGAACCAGTTTTAAAAAATGCAGGTAACTGCATTAACATAACTTCGAGAATTATCTTCTTGTCGTGTAAACAACATTTATGTAATAATAGTATAAGTATTTACGTTTCGACTTTAACTCAGAAATAAACATTTTTAAACACAATAAATATTCTAAGTGGAATAGTGGTGGTGGTGAAATAACCGCGAAAATTACATCATCCATCTTTGTATCCCACCTCTGGTATTGTTTGATAAATAGGTAAACACATATCGTCTAGTATTTAGTAGGTAGTTTTAGGTTCGGCTGTACATGAGAACTGATTTCATATACACAATATGTATATATAAGCGCGGCTATACCTAATTACTAATTGTTTAGCTATTCTTACTGTTTATTTTATTTTATTAAATTTAACGATTACTATTAGGTTTCTAAGACCACAGATAAGTTTTTATTTATTAAAGCGGCAGAAAATGTTGTTTTTAACATACGTAACATACGGAGAAATATGAACTCTGAAAATTTAAGATCTTGCTATCTCTAAATCCTCCACGGTTTCAGCAGACAACCGCATATTCGAGGTTTTCCTACGAGGATGTCGGATGGACTTCGAAAGGGCTCGAAATAAATTCGAAGCCTTTTGCTACACCCGTTCCCGTTACAGAGATCTCTTTCTTCATAGATCACTCAACGAACCACCACTGAACAATGTTGGGAAATTCTTGTAAGTGTTTTGTATACTTCAATTATAATTGAACCCTAATATTTATTTAAGAAGTAAATATATAATAAGCAAAGGCAGGACTCTCCACCTAACGTAAGAGATCAATTTTAACGATAATCAAATGGCGAAACTGTTTATTGTCTTTGTCACTTAATATCTGTAAATGAAAATAATATTATTATGAACGTATTAATTTGTATTCTCCTTATAATTGGTGTAATTGGAAATATTAGTTTTTTGATATTCTTTACGATTGGTCTAGTTACGATTGGAAATTTGTATATGAATAAAATAAACAAAAATGTAGCCATATTTTTGCGTCATAAATTCTGCTTTGCTGTGATCAGGCATATTTCATTATTATTCATTAAAACGCTAAGGAAGCATACTTAAATGATCATTAATTTGATTGTAAAAATAAAATAACAATGATCACAACACAATATACGTATTTATGACTCATCTTTTCACGAAAATCTCTGTCATTTCAAATGAAATCTTAAAAACGTGACATAAAACACCGAGTGAGTTTTAATGTTTATCGACAGCCATAAATTTTGCGCCAAAACAGAAAAATTAACATTTTTAGAATTCCGGGTTGATAAAAATAATGCTAAAAGAATTCCGGAAAACAATGCAAATTAATTAATCAAGATCAAGAATCGAATGTCTCGAGCCGATTCCTTTAATACGGAAGTAAATGTATTCAATAGGACAAATAATATTTTCACTTCCTGTGTTTACTTGTTATAAAACTAACAGCGCGTCGCAGTTTTACCTGCCCTTTATCTAACATTAAAAAATGGTGCGTAAATTATTCCGTATTTTGCCTTGTCTCTATTGGAAATCTCTCTAAAACCAGGCTTTAGTTAAACATAAATATTGGTCCTTTTATGAACTAAGTAGGGATATTGTCCCTCTATTTTTCAACATTTATATCTATATTCTTCCAATCTTTTTGAAAGCAATATTTTGATAGTGAAGCTTGTATTTTAATCTAGTTGCCCCTAACTTCCTTACAAATAGAACCAGTACTAAGTTCTTAAGGTTTTCGTGTACAGTCCAACGAACAAACTTTCAACCTTTATAGTATTAGTTTGTATTGATATGTGATAGCAGTAAGCAATAGCTTCTCTAAGCCTTGAGGTGGCATTTGCTAGCTAGTTTAGTTGGTTCCACTCCTGCCCACGCAAGTACAAGGTCCACTGCTTGTCTGGTGTTGATACTACCTCTAGCTTACGGTTTCCCTGTGACGAGATTATCTGACATCATTTCCGCCTCATGAGTCTTTGATCCCGTGATCGATTATGACGCAAACAATGATCAACATTATTTCGAAGTTTCATTTTTTTTTAAGTTTATTATGGCGATATTTGAGCTAAATTATTTAGTCTACAGTTCAAATCGTATCTTAAACATATTCTATATTAAAATAATGTTGCCAGACAAAATAATACATTGTCCATTTCATATTTTTTTCGCTATCATAATAACGAATGAAGGAAAAAAAATCAATCAGGACTTGTTATAAGATAATATTTTGCATACATTTTTCGAATTATTAAAAGCGTGATGAACAAAATAACAATATCCGGGTTGCATTGTTTGTTATGTATAAAATTAATACGGATTTGATTTCCAGGGATATTGTGCCGCTCCCCAAACTTACCGATGACGGTCTACGGGTTACCATATTCAGAGTGCGGTCCGGATATCCTGAAAGTGCTGTAGATATATCGGCTACAGTAAAAGCAATTTTGCTCATTTCCGACACACGACTGTTCGATGAAAAAGTCATATTGGGTGATGCGTTTATTTGGGAGGTGGGTGTGACACATGTTTATATCTATTTCACTTATCTGTTTACATGTATTCATCTTTTATGCCCTGTTTTTGTGATTCCAAAAGTTTAGAGCACAAAGAGTTATACTATTGAGGTACAGGTGTGAGTACATATATAAATTGTATTATAAGCGGTAGCGATTACGCTTAAAAATTAAGTAAATAAAAAAAAACACGTGTTCGGTCATCACTCATTTTTTGTGTACCGAATTCTTGCTGCTATTCCTTGAAAAAAATATTCTCATTTATGCACCTTGATAATTTCGGCCTTAAAAAACCGACCTTAGACTATGTTTAACTAGGTTTTAAATTTTAAATGAATATTTAGTCACAAACATTTACTCTGTATTTAGGCAAGCAACGTACGCGCCTCTATGGCTGCATACGTAGCGGCTGGTGCAAATGCAATCCGACGCAGCATTTATCTTGCACAAGGTGCGTACCCGCAGCGCATGCGCAGAATACACGTCGTCGGAGCTCCGGGTCTAGTCGCCTCGTCTCTGAATCTCATGCGATCATGCGTCAACGAAAAAGTTCGCAATCGGGTATGTAAATCAGGCCATTATTCAAGTATTCTAAAATTCCGGTAATGTCTGCTCTCAAAATGGGTTCGGCATAGAATTATAACATTATGTAGATATTCAATGATGATACGAATGGTAATTTCGTGTTTCCTTAAGTGTTGTTCTCAAGCTGATGTTAATGAATTATTCCTACTCTACAACTGCTTTGTTAACACGTCATATTTGGATATTTTGGGTTCCACGTGATTGCATCTTTGTCTAGACATCCTTTTCGCTATTATATAATAATAAATTCAATCAACTCAAAATCGACATTGGCCTTTTATGATTTTTTGATATTTTTAATGTCTTTTGTATATCTAAGGGGGATGCCCTTAATTTTGCCCCCTGTAATCCACGCAAACCTAAAAAGTATAGTGGCCGGTCAGGTCTAGTCGTCTTATCACAGTATATTCTTTTCTAACTTTATACAAATATTATTCACAGAAGCTTATAAAGTTCGATATTGCTATTGAGTTACATTGTGCACTTACTAAAATCTTATTTGAAAGCTGATTCACATTAAGAATGTATTAATTTCAAACACGTTGCCAGTTGAAAATAATGAATGGTAAATTTCAGTATTATCTGCACAACAAAGTCGAAGAGCTGCTGGAGCATTTCCCTGCGAGGATTCTGCCGATGGAATGGGGTGGCGAGGAGGAATCATTCGACGCGCTCAACAAGAAATGGCGACAAAGGGTCGAAGAACTCCGGGACTATCTTCGCAACTTTAACGAGCTCTGTCAAGTTGCGCCGGAACCGAAATACGACAATGATATATACGGGTCTGCCGGCTCATTTAGGAAACTGGAAATCGATTAGAATTCATTTGTTAGCAATAAAATGTCATAAGCGTCGTTAATAGCTCGTGTGTTCAGCAACATAGCTCGCTAATTAAGCCTTAGTATAGTAGTAGTACGTATTTAAGATTGTAATATGCAATTTGTAGTATGATACTTTATAAAAAATCACGCTATTACTTGTAATATTAAGTAGCTATAGGATTAAATTTAAGATTAAATATAACGTCACGAAAGTGTATTTATTATATAAGGTTTAGATATAAGTTAATTATATCACTGTAAATTACAAAGATGATTAAATTGAATTATTATTATTCGACAATTTCTTTGCTGACTCTTCAGCACGAGGTATGCAAATGATGACCATTAATATGCAAAAACTCGTTTCTAGTGTACAGCTGGCCTATCAAACTTGTTGGCGTAAACATAATTTAGCCGAGAATTTAATAAGACTGTGTTTTATTTATCCTTTTCAAATAGACACATGTTTAATGGCTTTAAGCAACCACCTAAGTGCCATCCAGACATCGTGGCTAAGAAATCGAATACCAAAAAATGTATGAAGAACAATAGATGTTCAGAATCGGAAAGCCCGTCTTCGCAACTTGTCAATAAACCGTTGCTAATAAACAGGTAGTTTTTTTATGCTTAATTTAGTCAAAAGATCATAAAAATATTTTATTCTAAACGGTTTTAAATATCCTATCTTGACTCGAGGCTCGAAAAGGTTAATGTAGAGAACAATAAAATGCTTAATATATATGTATAACTATATACAAAATGGACTTCGAAATTAATAATTTTACGTAGGTTAATGTTATCGCAAGCATACGCGGAACTGAGAATTTGGATTTAATTTTCACGATAACTTTTAATAACCGATTGAAATTGTGGGTTTTATTTTGATTCGAAAAAAAAAACATCGTTGAAAACAGGTGCTTACTTTGTCATATGTTTCATACACATTCTAGACGTATATTTTGAAATAATTATTAATTTTAAGGAGTTTTCGAATGATAATGACAAATATAATAAGTTGTGAGCGAGGCTTAAAGTGCAATTGCCCTATACATTAAAGATTTAATTCTAAATTTGGAACAATTAATAATAACTTGATGCAATAATCCTCCTCCTTCCCATGGTCCCACCGACCTTTAGGCCCATACGGATCGAGCCACGACCAAACAATGCAGCGGGTTGATATAAAAAAAATATAAACTCTATTTCTAGGTCCATTGGGCTTGAAATTATCTACATAGGTTCCACATTTGTTTTAAGTCAGATTGATAACACCGAGCAAGGTTTGTAGAACTATTCCCAACTTGCAATAAGTGCGTAGTACATACTGATTTTATGATTTCTTAATAAAACCTTGAATTATTATCGCGAGTAATATCATTACTTAGTTTTTAGGCAAATATACTTATAAATAATTAAGCAATATTTAAACTTCCTAATGCTTCGAGTTAAATACGCATTTAAAGAAGTTTATTTTTTTTAAACATTTTTATATATAAAAAACCGTTACGATTATAATAAGGCCTAAGAACACATACCAACGAAATGTATAATGAGAAAATCATACCTGCGTCAATTTACTAAATTCTGTATTTTCAAGCTCACAAAACTTATTATATTCCTCTTTATACATACTTAGTCCCCAGGGACTTTGTTAGAAAAAAAAATTATTCTGCTCAAGCAAGTTATATTTTAGTGTTTGTTTGATTAAATATGGCCCATAAATCGCTGCGATAATAGCAAATAATCGATTTAAAATAGCTAGTCTGGCAAATTGATTCCAAGTATAGAAAAAAACTAGCTGGTATATAAATGAAGAGGCATGGAGCTATATGTATGGAGGGCATATAAAACTAACAAAAATCTATACTCCAAGATACGATTTCGTAATGAAATAACAAGAATAAGAAATAACCCTAAATATTAAATTTTTTCTGTGTCACATCATGACAAACATTTGAATAACCCTGATATTTTTTTATTTAATATTACAAAAATATATTAGGATAATAAATTTATGAAAAATAGAAAGTAGCCGATTTTGAGACCGACTGAGTAGTACTGTGGATATACAATTTTATTAAAAATAGTTTAATAAATATAATATAAATTTATATATAATTATTGAATAATATTATAACTATTATTTTTAAAAGTCGAAATAGTGCTGGGATAATAAGAGTATTTTTGGGATAATAAGTTGTGATCTCTTATAAAAAGTATAATCTATGGTTCCAAGGTTGACATTTGACAGTGACAATCATAAAAGCATACATAGATGACATATCCTAACAGCAAGTGCTAATGTCATTACGTGGCCCGATGTTGGAGTGTCATTTAATACACACAATATTACAAATACATCGAAAAACATTAATTTAATGCAGCAATAAAAATGAAAAGCTCAAATCGTAATTTAATTTTCTTAGCAATTATCAGTTCCTTGATATCAGCGAGTACAGGTTATACAATAACAGTAGACGCACACGCTGAAGAATGTTTTTTCGAAAACGTAGAAGCCGACACAAAAATGGGTGAGTTAATTTCTCCCTTGATTTACACGTAACTACTGTGCATTCAAATAATAATTGCGCAGAAATGTACTTTAACTGTGCCGTTTTGGTTATTTCATAGGTCTAACATTTGAAATAGCGGAAGGAGGCTTCTTAGATATAGATGTTAAGATCGTGGGTCCAGATGGAGCTATAGTTTACAAAGGAGAAAGGGAATCATCTGGAATGTACACATTTGCAGCCCCCACATCTGGTCGATACACATATTGCTTTAGTAATCAAATGTCTACAATGACACCAAAGGTAGTAGAATTTCATACAATTTAAAACTCTGTTAAGGAAAATAGATACAATTAAAAAAAAATTGTGTAAACAAATATAAAATTATGCTAGAGAGAGGACCACATTGAAACCTTCTTTTTGTCTGTTACTTTATTTTGATCATTGTGGAGAATTGCATGAATAAAACAGATTTTAAAATCTTATGTATTATTTAATAATAATAATATTAGAATATGTTAAATTATGTTGTATGTTATTACAATATACTTAGTAGTATAATGCTTTCTATAGGTGGTGATGTTCAACTTTGAAGTTGGAGATGCTCCTACCAAGAAAACAGGTGAAAAGGATGATGAAGCAAATCACAATAAATTAGAGGACATGATTAAAGAATTGGGCACTACTTTAAAAACTGTCAAACACGAACAAGAGTATATGCAGGTATACAACATTAAAATACTTTCTTTCGAACATTGATAGTTATGGCATTGCCTACATACTTTTAATGCTGAAAAACATAGGACACTGTTATCTACATAACAACACCAGTGTTAATGTGAAAATTGTTATGGTCACAGATGTGACACAGTACGTTAATTCTGAAGCAATGCAGGCATGCATGGATGTCTGTTATTTGTTGGTTTCTTACCAATTCTAATTAGTTTCACATATTTTCTTAGTCTGACATCTAATACTGATCTACTGGTGCCTAATACTGACTTATATAATTTATCTGTACTGCTGTGTTCTGCATTGACTAATCTCTAGAATAATTTGAAGTTTTTTCTAGGCAACAGGACATTATATGATCACCTACTTGCCTGTAAAAAAGCAGTGCACAGATATTTCACTTTATTAGTACTAATACTTGATTTGTATATTTTAGGTCCGCGACAGAATACACAGAGACATTAATGAGAACACAAACTCCAGGGTTGTAATGTGGTCCATATTTGAAGCTTGTGTATTACTTCTCATGACATGTGGGCAAGTGTATTATTTGAAACGATTCTTTGAGGTTCAACGTGTTGTGTAATTGTAAATAGATTTTATATAATAAATTATATAGAAAATTTTCCCATATCTATTTTATTTGAATCTTAAATGGACTGGTTTAATTGTTAAATATATTTGTGTTCAGATCTGTATTGTAAGAGTAAGTTTTTCATTCAGTAAATTATTGTCTTTTTTTATTCCTACGTAAATAAAAAATGTTCAGTCAAAAATGCATCTTTATGTTATATCAAAAAAGTGATCTGTCATAAGAAACATCCCAATATTTAAGCAATTTGATGTTATGTATATTTTCAGTGGTTAACACGATAAAATAAAAGACTCAGTAAAATTGTTTTTTTTTTTATAAAATATAATAACAATATATAGTTTTGATGTAAAAACAACCAATAAATTAACGCCGTAAATAAACAATTTTACATACTTTATACTTTTTCTCAGATCTATGGTCTAGTGAGATCAATCTTTCCAGTTACTAATGCAGATACAACTGTATCCGCGGGAAGACTTACACGGTCTTTATTTGAACCTGGGAGCTCCAGAAGAACGCTTGCCCCACACGCGCTCAACAGACGACTACTACACTAGAGTAACAAAAAAATCAGTTTTAATATAAAAAGAAACCATTTATAATTAAGTCTTAGGTAAATGATCACCTACTTGTCCAGTCTACAGTACAAGTACAAAAATGCTTTTGCCACATAGATACAGCTCACAAAGAAGGAAATATTTAACTCAAAATTCATCCATAATAATAAAATATGTTCCTCAGACAATGTCTATTTTAGGCCATACTATGGAGAATAAGTATTCTCTTTTGACAAAAAAATTGTAATAGTTACCTGGTTGCCTAGCAACGTGGCAATAGGTAATTCTCCGGTCTCTGGGAATTGTAGAACAGCACGCGCATATTCTGGCCGCGGATCTAGTTTTACTTCGCGTCCGAGCCGTACACGCATGCGTGCGAATTCACTCGTGTACCGTGTACATTGACGCAGCGCACGCACAACAAACAGAAGACTGCAAACGTATGCTGATACTGGGTTACCTGAAAGACAGACCTGTATTACAGGGTGCGATGGAATCATTACTCAAAACTATAGTTGACACTTTGACGTGTTATCTTAGCCTCCATAGTTTTGATGCAAAACGCGTTAGCTAGCAGTGACTTATGGTCGAGAAATACGGTGTTTGAAAGATGGGGAAATACAAAATTTAGATATTTCTTAACTTAGTTAAGTAAATTTCAATGAAAAATAATAAGATTCATGGGAGATTAACCTAAGATCAAATATAAGTCCATTTGGTACCTGGTAGCGCAAATATGAATTTGGTTTTTCCTTCGTAAACACACGTTGCAAAGGTACTTGGTTTGCCAGGCTTCATACGCACGCGTCCGAAGTGTATCGTTGCACCGAAGTCCTAAAAAAATAGATCAAAATATGTTTACGTATTGTTTCGTAAGCTATATATTATATTATAGCGTTTTAGGACTAAAAGATAGGTAAATTACTTAACTGTTTTATAGTCTAGTGGTCATTATTGCATGTATGTAAAAGTTAATATGAACTATCTACTGATTGAATTGAGAATGTTCCAATAATATGCAAAATTATTGGAACACAAAGAATAAATAAAGAGTGTGCAAGGTTGAGCGGAAACTCACATTTGCAAGCACTGGTTTAAGCAGATCCCGTTCACCCATTGACACTCCTCCGGTGCAAACCAATATATCACAAGTGGGCAACGCCCGAGCTATCGCACTTGCTAACTCTGCTGGTTCATCGCGCGCGATACCGTAATCCGTGCTCTCGTATCCCTGCTCCCTAAACATATAGTCAATAAGTCTTTCTCATCCGACTCGAAGGACCTTCTTATGGGAAACGGCATTTATAGTCTCAAAAAAGAAGACGCATTAAACTTAAACATTCTTTATTATTCTTCGTTTTGTTAACACTCGCCAGAGAAATTTTGAGTAGATTACGATATAGTAAATGAATTTATTTCATCACCATAATCCAGAGGTGATAATATCACGTGGAGTTAGCAAAATATTGTGCACTTATGGACTTACCTAAGAAGCATTTTTAACATAATCCTATTGGAATCTCTAATATGAGACGGCCGCAGTATTTCTTCTGACGGTTCTTGCAATTCATTGCCAGTGGACAATATAGCTACCTAAAGAATGGATTGGTATAAATACATTGGCACGATTTACTTATCCCGAACGCAAGAATAATATTCACAAGTACTAAGATAATTCACTCAAAGGTTTTTCCAGCCCAATTGTTTCGTTCATAGAGAAGCATGGGTTCGAATCGCGAACAATTATTATTGAACAATATTATTAGATTGTTTTAGTGGGTCATAGAAACTTGATCAGCCGATCATGTCTATATAAATTGATAAGTAAATATGTCGGCAGTAAGATATTTTATTAGTCGAGTATAGAAAAACATTTCTATTTCCTGAGTTGATCTTGCTGATGATTTTAATACTACATACCTTAGGACAAGATCTGACAGGCACTGTAAGGTAACCGGCCCCCGCCAAAATACCTACTTTCGCTGCATCGATAATATCTCCTGAAACACAATTAGAGAATTGGTTAATCATTTAATTACTAACGGTAATAAGTGATTAAAAATTTACTGTGTGATAAAATAATTATACATCGCCTATCTCTGATGCAATGCGTGGATATAGTCAATTCATGAAGATAAACAAAAAGGATATCTAACATATGGTAATAAAGGAGAAGGAAAGATGCACATATATATATATATCGGGCCATCCTGCTCAACATTTGAATTACTTATGGATTTAAATCAGCATACAAATTAACCAATCAAAAATACGAAGACCCTGAAAAACTAATTTTTAGGGTATTAATAATATAAATACCTTTTTCCAAAAGCACAGCTCCCAAAGGTATATCGAACCCAATTGGGCGGACATCTTGATGAGGTTGTGGTGGTACTAAGACCTCTATTTCCAATTCTGTTTCGTTATCTTCTGTGGCTTTCACAAGTTTCGTGTCTTCCACCTAGAAGAAATAGAAGATTTATATATCCATAATTAATTCAAACCCGGTCTCTTTGTTCAAAAAATGTGGGACGGTGCTAACTCTTTTCAATACTCTTTTCTCTTTTCAATTTGTCATATACGACTACTTAAACCATAAACACATATCTAGGAACCAATTGAATAAATAAGTACCAATAACTGTCTGACACTTCAGTTTCGAGGTCGTATAAGTAATTTCATGATGAATTCAATATTATAGATATGACAATATATTAGAATAAGAAAGAGACAATTGATCATGTCGGTAAAGTAAACCGTTATCTCTATAGCCCACAAATATAAAATCTTGTCTGTCAATAAAGTCTGTTCTAATTCTTTCTTTGAAAAGTTCATATTAACGATAAATAAAATAAAAAACCTTAGAAAACAATATAGTTCATCCTGGTGCAGAAACTGATGTTTAATTAATTACTAAAATAAATAGTTACGTTAAAATCTATATCATAACATGTCTTCATTAAGGTACATACGATATACCACAATAATAAGTACCTCAGTCTTATATAAAACTTGTGTGTATGAAAAATACTACGGAAACTGCGTGTTCACAAAGGCAATTACCATTTATTAGATAGGGCAAAGTCATGCTTCGATGATATTCTATAGTGGTTTAATATGCAAGACTATCAATCTTTCATTTCGTCTGATTTCGACAACAGTTTTTGATTATTACTTATTATCAATAACTGTAAATATATTTATAACTAGCAAAGCTGTAAATATATTTATAACAAGGGTTTGTTAGGAACCTGTTGGGCAAGTACGTTTTTGAGGAATATGGACGATATATAATAATATATTTTTATATTGGTAGGTATATTTTTTCTTCGTCAATCGTCTATCTATTTTTGAAAATAAAATGACAAACCTGTACAACACAGTCTGCCCCTGACGGTATAGGAGCACCGGTATTGACTCGTGCGCATTCCCCAGACGAAAGTATTGCGGCTGGAGTGTCACCAGCGGTCACGGCTGATCTGACTTTACGCAAACCCACACCATCCCAACTTAAACAAGCATATCCTGAAAATACATATAATTCCTATTAGATCTTCGACAGATCCCACAGCTGGGATACCGTGATATAAGAAAATATATATTTAATTTTAGTTCCTCTCTCCCGTTAATTTCCTTTTATTCCAGGGTCTTAGCTACATTCACGTGATTTTATCAAAATTAATCAAACCGTTTATCAGTTGAGAATTAAACCAACTTTCTAAAAGGATAATTGCATTCCAAAATAAATTTTACGCTTAGAATAATGATGAAGGCAAAAAACCATTTAATTCAAGGCAAAAAATTCAAGATAAGTAGAAATATGAAATCAAATGGAACAATTTCACATTACTTTCCAGCACAGTTCCACTTATGAACATAATGAATCTAGTTGTAATTATCATTTGGCACATTAATTAAAATGTTGTTGTTATAGCCTTCTGTGATGTCATTTCTTTATCATTTTCATCAATTTGTCTACAAATAATGCATGCATTTTCTAAACGGGGAAACCTCGATTGGGACTGGGGAAAATTTAACACTTTTACTTATTTTAAAGATTAGTTAGGATTAACATTATATTGATAAATATATTACACTGGGGTGACTACAGGGTCAAGGTATGTACCTCTATCTTCAACATAAATCAAATTCATATAGTTTGATATGTTTTTTTTTAATTTTTGTACTTTGGTCTAGTTCTATATAGCTGTACTATATATTAACCATAAACATCTTGACACATTGTTATACATATTTTTAAATATAATGAAGTAAAATAAATTTATACAAAACTTACCATCCTTAACAGACGCAGGGAATGGAGGCATCGGTTCCTTAGCATGTATAGGCAGAGCTGCCACTCTTCCCATGCTATCTTCAATTGGTACCTCTTCAATTCCCTCTGTCCATTGCATCATCACAGCATCAACAATATTAAAGGCTTCAGCCATATCTAGCATGGGGTAGGGGGATTCTCTATGCCTTAATGCAACTTTTCCAACACTTACTTTACTGTGTGTGCATGTATGTTGCATCTGATCATGGACTACTCTAACCTCGGCTAAATCATTAGCTAATAATGACACTGCATGCGACAACACAGGCTTAACAACCTCAATACATTCTACAACTGCCTTCTTGCTACCGGGAAAGTTTATTATCAATGTCTTATCCCTTATACCGGCTGTAGCTCGTGACAGCATAGCCATAGGAGTCTTTTTAAGGCTCTCCAGTGTCATAGCTATCGGTATAGCTGGCACTTCCCTTTGGATCACAGCCTTTGTAGCTTCTGGGGTTACATCTCTGCTACTAAGTCCTGTTCCACCAGTAGTGAGGATTAAATCTATCTTTGAATCGCAGAAGTATTTCAATTCTCTTTCAATTATTTCCTTTTCATCTGGTACAATGATTGTGTGAATGTACGCATCTGGAAACTTTTCCTTTACCAACTGGCACAGAGCTGGACCGGACTCATCTTTAGAATGATCTTTTGAACAAGTATCACTCACAGTTATAATGACAACTGCCTTGACCATTTTTCATATATCTGAAATTTTTTCTTTTACTTAAAGGTACCTAAGATTACACGACATCCAATAGTGGAAGTTCTTGGTTAAATTGTTATAATATGATAATTGTAGGGCACAGTTTAAGCCTATCTTATCGCCCGAATTGTTTTTAACTTTAAACAAGTAAATAAATAACTTTATACTGGTTTATAATAACAAACTCCATACTTACGTTGATGTAATAGCGTATAATTATTGTATTATCAATTGTTTAGCTATTGTATTACAACGTTAACACTTCTATTAAAACTTAAAATTTAGTAAATTGATTGATGCTTCTAAAAATATATTTTATAAGTTGGCACAATTTTATCTACGTAACGAATAGTAAATTGGCAATTAAATTCTGTTTACAGCTTTATATACTACTAGCCGCTATAAATCTACCGCGAACACTGACTATGACGAAACAATATTAAAAGTAAACATAACCTCAAAGGCTTAAAAAAAACCTACTGGCTGAAATCTTTAAACAGCTGTTTTAAAAGCAAAGATAACATTTGGGTTAGTCTGTGATACCAACTGTACGCAAATTTTTATTTCTAAATTTGTCTGTTTTTATTTTTTTTTATATACATTCGTTAAAAAATGTTTGATATTATAGTCATGGACTTTTCCTGGTCTGTAACGTAGTCCAAATAAACCTTTGTTTATATATATGTACAAACATTCAGCTAAAATGATTTTAGCTCCTTATATTTACCATCCTAATGCCAAAAGTATATAGACAATTTTCTGAGTCGATGCCTATAGATTGGCAGTACATTATCAAAGATTCAAATTAAATAAGCTCTTATGGGAAAAGTATATTTTGAGATTAAGGAAATGTATTATGAAGATATAAGCCATGTTTTAAATAATAAAAAAAAAACAAAAGCAGAACATGATTTTATTATTACTTATTTTTTAAATATAAACAAAACCATAATTTACTTAAACATACGTAACACTTTGAAACATTTACAATTTTTAATCATTATTTAGTTCAAGGGTTTCTTGATCCATATCGATGAGTTTACATGCGTCTATTAACTTCGAGAGTGGAGCATATCGCCTCAATACCCGAGCATTTCCTAAAGCTATGAACTTGTGCTTCGCCCTGGTTACGCTTACAGCGAGACGGCGCTGGTCGTTTAATATTTCTCCTTCCTATTAAAAAAAATTAGTACACATTATTAACAAAGTTAAGTTTTTCTCTTCCTATATATAATACTTGTGCCCGGATCAGAATCAGTAGAAGTTATTGGTAGATAACATAAAATGCGCATGCGCCTCTAAGGTTCGACTAATTCAACAACAAAAACTCGCTATTGGTTTACACTATTTCATGCCCATAGGGCAATAAATTGGTTCTGATGATATTTTAATTTCAACGTAAAGTACTTTTAACACGCAACAAACATTTTTAACTTCTCCTGATAATGTGAAGTCAGGAACCATTTCTTATTCATGACGGAATAGGTTGGTAGAATTGTATGTATGTCTGATAATTTTAATATTTTTCACATGTTATTGCACATGATGGCACTATATAAATTACAACTCGAATATAAATTTCGTCACGGTAGCCAATTCACGGTAGAACGGAACGCTGTAAATGCCGGTTCAAGCCTGCCTATGACGTAATATTTTTTTTAATTTATAATCCGTGAACGTCTTATTTTATATATTTATATTTTCATATATGGAACATTTTTAGCGTAGAGAATGACATATTATTATTATATATTGTCTGTAGTTAACGCGAGTAGTACACATTTAAATAAAATACTTTAACGGTTTAAAACGCAATATATAAATACATATATAAACCGTTTGTGTTTTAGTTAAATATCATTATTATTATATTTGGCCAAACATATTGCATTTCTATATTTGGCAATAACATAACTGACCTTAACTTTATCATTAGTCTCCCGCTTAGTGCAAGAGTACAAGATGACCGATTTATCTCGTCCTTGGAACTGGTCAACCGTGCTGGCCTCTACGCGTAACTTTGACAACATCTCGCGTAATAACGACACTTGGTCTCGATACGGTGCTATTACCCCTATATCAGAGCTTTGCACACCTATCTGGAAAAACAAATGATTTTAGTAAATTATGTGAACTCAAGGTTATGGATTTTAGACTATTTATATTGAACTGTTTGTAGTTTACGCAAGTAGACACATAAATAAAATAATTTCATGCATCACAAGTGTGGTATCGTTTGTTTAACTTATACTTTTCGCGTTTAAATGAAACTTTCAACGGTTTTAAAGGCGCAATGCATTAGTTAAACCTTATAATGTTTTTACTTTCACAATTTATCAGCAGCCATAGACACCGCGAGATTAAAGATGGAGGGTATCTCAAATGACAAAGTAAAAATTGCTACGCTAGCGCCATCTGTTCCGCCGTAGTTGGTATTTCCCGAAACTGGCTTCTTTGTTGAATTGATTACCGGTGTCCTTTCGTTAACCAGTATGTTAATTCGCGTTAAACTGTTGAAATATATTTTATTTAAATTCGTTTCAATCCATGTTCTACCGTAGGGCACAAGTCGTCTCTTTCATACGATCTAGGTATAAAATTCATAATCTCCAATATAATATATAGCCAGATTATTTTGCCTTCTATCGAGTGAACCCCAAGTTTGTCCTAATGATAAAAAAAATCACCTCTATAAATGTTCTAGCGAGAATGACAGCTACTTTAGCTTCTGCAATATTTATAAGCCCTTTGCTGTTGACATCTGTCGACTCGATGTTGAGAAATACTGCTGCGTTGGCTGCTTCTAAACTGCATGCTTCAAGAAGCCACTTGCTGCTATGTAGTCTTGATAATTTCTGTCAAAACATATAATGGTCTGTAGAAGGGCGTTTTGAGTGGCCTGTTGAATATTATTGAATTTGAATTTACATTATGATGACTAAGAAAAAGCGAAATTGATAATCAATTATGTTTTTGATCGTCCTACCTTAACATCGATGCTCATAGTAGATTCAGCTACAGTTTTGCTAGCGCACTTCAGCCTTTGACTGTACGCTACCCTATTTGCAATATCAACTAACCCCCGGTTCATACGATACTGAAGGCGAAGGGTACACGTCGATTGGTCACCCATGAGTCTATGGAAGAGGCTTTCTTCCATTCCAAAGCGTCTGGAAGGAAAAATTATTTCAGTAAACAGATTAGGTTAGGTTATTATTATTACAAACTAGCGACTTTGCATGAAAACATTGTGGACACGGTAATATTGTTTATTTTTGCACACAACTTCCTCAGCTTTATATAGTATCCTCATTACCTCGACGTCGTCCGCGTTCCGTGATTCTTGCAAGTTAATCTGAAAAGATAGCATATAGCGTCGCGGACTTTTTTTTAATAATTTGAAAACGTTTTTGCAGCATCGGAAACTCATAATGATGAATCATTTTCGCATTTTTTTTTACATTTGTCGCTGTATCTTCGCTTGTATTGGGCACAAGGCGCATGTTTCATACCCTATAGCCTTCCTCGATAAATGCTCTAACCAACACAAATACATTATTCCAATTCCAACTCGTAGTTCCTGAGATTAGTGCGATCAAACACAAAAACAAACAAATTCTTCAGCATTATATATATATAATAGTATATAGATTAAATCCTAAAACACGCAAAACTGGAGGATATTATGGGGGGTGGAAATGGGCTGGGGGGATGATTATATTATAATTAGTCAAAATGTCGAGTCGAATTGTATACCTGGCTGCTTTGCTCTTAACAACGGGCGGCAATTGTTCCGGATCACCAACAAGTACGAATCGTTTCGCAGCGAACAGCGGACGGAGTACAGTACTTTGTAGCACCTGAACAAAAATATATAGCTTGTGTTAACTGATGGTATTAATGCCTAGTAAAATTTATGCTCCTTACTCTTTTAATTATTATTTCTTTATCTAAGCGAAGAACGCACAAAATCCGATGACGTCATACACAAGTAATGGCAAGAGAACCATTTCGTAATTATGACAACTGATCTTAGCTAAATGGTTGCCTTATATAATTTTTTTCTTCAAACTATATTAAAATTTAAACTATTCGTATACAAAACCCTACTTCACTGTGACATTCGAAAAAAAAATGAGTTGAACGACACATGAACGACGCGATGAAAATTAAATAAATCAAGAAATGGCACAGAACAAAATCTGTGGATTTTGTTTTGATATAAAAAAAAATTACCTGCGTTGCTTCATCTACGATGCAGATATCAAAAGTTGTTCTCGATAGAAGAGCATGGTTAGCCCCCAAACATGTCACTCCCACGACATCCTACAAGTAAAAGAAAAAAGAGAATGAGTCTTACAAAATGTACTACACTTTTTGTTACTATAGGAATCACATGCAATTTTTACTAATATCGGTACTAAGAAGAAGAAAACTCGTATCAAAAGCTTTAATTATTTCACAAAAACCAGCCGTTTGTTGTTTAAAACCAGCCGTGCACCGTGCAACCGTGGTCACGGGGAGGCTGCAGCAAAGCATCCGAAACGTCGGGGCGAAGTTAAAAATCTTTTTCAAATAAGTTTAAGTAATATATCGCGTTTGAAACCGTTAAAGTATATAAATTTAAGAAATTACAACACGAGCAGGACTTGAACATCCATCCACATCCACAGCGTCCGTGTTTTTGCTCAAAACAATTAGTGTCCTCGAGGAATTTTTTTCAACCTATTATTATATGCACCTCTCGCGCAACGTAACAAGACTCGTATCCTTTCTAATGAGCTCATTGGTTCAATGGTAGAAAATTATCGACAAATCGATGGAGTGGGATCGACTCCATACGGGTGCACGGGTTTGCAACCTAGGACTTGAAAAAACACAAATTCTAAAGTCCCGAAGATGTGTTAGATAACTTTTTACTCGAGGCTTTCTCCCTTGACAAATATTGTTTCGTATTTAACAAATACTTACCATCGAGTCGTAGAGATCCGATAGATCCTTAGCACTTTTGCAGTTATTTGTGAGCGTCGCTTCCGCCCTGGATATGAGATTTGGAGCAATACGGGATGAGGAGCCTAGTCTTAGCACACGCATTGACTCCGGTAATCTAAAATAATTTATATGATTGAGAAATGATGATAACAAATCGATCTTTTTCACTTGATTATTGCACATATGCTGCTGTTTGTTGATTTACAATAATATTCAACAAGATTATGAGCTGAATAAAACTTGGATGGAAAAATATTATCAACAAAACGTTTGTGTTATAAATAATAGATATACAAAAATATTATAATTAAATCATAGATGTATAATAATGCTAATGCATAAGCAGACGATCAAATCATCTTCAGGTAATGTCTTTTAATGACAATCTAACAAACCTGGTTAGCACTGTATCTACAGCAGAGTGAGTATGAGCTGTGACTAGGACGCGTTGTTTCAGAGCAACTAGCATTTGTATGAGGACGCTAATTGTTTGGGTCTTACCTGTAAGTAAAAGCAAGTAAGAAAATTGGTTTATTATCATTAAAATATTAAAATGCGAATAATTTATGTCCCTGTATCCATTTATGTAAATCTTCAGATGGACTGAATAATTTCGGACGAAACTAGGCCAACACCTTATGAATACTTAATATTGAAATAGAATTTTCTAATTTCATTGAAAATAGCTGAACAAAATTTGAGAATATTGTTCAATAGCCTACATCTTACACCGATAGATAGCTATTTATAATATCTAATAAGGATTAGAAAACACTGGCATAACTTTAGTCTATTCATCAAAACGAGTTAATAGAGCGTTGTCTCTTTCCCACAATCCTATACAAAGAACAAGGAAGAAAATTGTCATAAGTCAACTTAACAGATAGAGATATTCATATTAACTCACTTTGTTGATCAGATTGCAGTTGTACATATGCAACTAAAGGTACATACCAGTTCCAGGCAATCCCTGTAGTAAAACATAGTCGTTAGCGGAGAGCGCTTTCAGTACAGCACGTTGTTGCTCTATATTTAAGCTTCGCATTAACTTCGAACCGATTCTACCAACTTCACGGGGCAACTTTTCTATGAATTCCGGTGGATCCTTGTCAATAATTAACCTGTAATCATCAAAAATATATTTTAAAATCATTATGTAATCCTTATATGTGTGAAATGCCGTTTCCCCCTCGCGGGGCATGAGGCGAACACATTTCTGTGTCCGTTTCACTGATTCATTCTTTAACAGGCAAGTATTTGATCGGACTTCTGTGCCCTGCCTAGCGGAAACAATTTTTTGTTTCTCTGAGATTCGAACCCAGGACCTCTCGCGCCTAATGCGTTTAATAATTTGGCTACAGAGGCGGTCAGTACTATAGGCTATATTTAAATATATGATACAAGAGCAATATATATACTCAAAGCAATGATGCCTTCTTTATGTTCTATATTATTATAAAGGAGCATAGACACGGATGGGGTTTGCTTGATATAGGTATTTTTGGCTTTCGATATTCGAAAATCCACAGACTGAAGCTGAAACGCGAACTTCACGACTTTTCAATCAGTGGACGGTGATTTGTGACCCGGACGGAATGTTGGTATTCCAAACACCAATTTAATATCCAGATGTCCAGATTTTTTTTTAGATTAAATAACAATTTGCTATACACTGGACCAACGAGTCCATCTTAACGCAATATTTATAGATAACTTACTTCCTAAGCCGAACTGCCCGATCGCTGTCCTCCATAAGCACTCCCAAATTGGTGAGGTTTTGCACAGACGCGTTATATGACTCGTAGGTATCTATGTGAAATGTTGAATGTTTGTGTCGTTGGGTTAGGTTTCTGGAATAACGAGATTTTTATTACCCAATAAAAAAAATATTTTAATATAAGCTTATAAGAAAGCTACTTTATCTCTAAAAATAAATAAATAATACACGAATAGTTAGAAAAATATGTATAACTTAATGCACGAGAGGTGCATGTATAGGTTGAAAAAAATCTACGGTCACGTGTTGGATACGGTCAAATGGTTAGAGCAACGGCACGGAACGCTATAGATGCCGGTTCAAGTCGTGCCCGTGTTTAATTTTTTTTTCAATCTAAAATTAATTTTTAGTTTAAAGTATTTATGGAAAGTTAATTGCTGAAAATGCACCGGAAACGTCAAATCGTAATTGTACATTAAATAACTAATATTGAATCTAAATTAAACTAAATTGAATCTCTAGATTACGCGCGTAGTACACATTCATTAGTTAAACTTATTTTAGCCGTAGGTAATAGAATTTTCAAATAAGATTAACTTTTAATATTTCGCGTGTGTTTTGGTGTGTGGTTAAAGTTTAAACTACAGACTATATTTAATAATGACGTCGAGTCTGTGGCAGTAATAGATACCTTTCCAATAAAATATGTATTTCTCTATGACTGGCGAGAGTTACCACTCCAGCTGCAATCCAAGGTCTATCATCCAGACTAACTATTGAAAAATCACCTTCTTTTGGACCGTTTATGTCTTCATTATCTGAAAAGGAAAATGTCCTACTACAGTAAATAAGTATTTTTAGGTTTTATTATTTTTTATGGTTGAGGAGGACAGTCAAGCGCAGGGTTCCCTTGCTGATCGGTGAAATATACCAGCCATCCAATTTCTGCCTGTGTCATAATTTTCAACCTAAATATATATTTTCAAATATATAATTCCCTTACCTTTTTCAGACCTCTCAAAAACATGAGCGTATCTGTCTTCTATTGTTTGCACTGATTTTAGTTTTAAACTTGCCGCACAAGTGCCCCGTATAGCCCTGGAAAAATATATTTTAGTATTAAGTACTTGTATGTTTAAATCAAAATCAAATCCCTTCATCTTTGTAACATTAGCTGTTACCCCCGACGCATTAGTTGCATTAAAAGAGGAATAATTATGTCATACATATTTTTTGATTTTTATAATTTATAATTTTGGCATTTTTTTCACATTTATCGCTATATCTTCGCTTGTAATACGTTTGTCTCAGTCAAGTCTTCTATCATTGTTTTTCAGGCTGTTCGGACGACGTGAGCGAGAAGAGGTTCTCGACGTTTCAAAACCGAAAAACAATGATATGGTGAACGATGGCCGGTGAAAGCTTTGTTTGCTGAGGCAGGTACCAAACAGCCTGTATAACGTTTACCGTTTCTTAGCAGAATCAGTCCACAGAGCGTGTAAAGGCGAATTTGACATTTGCGCCTTCTCCTCCATTTTGAGCAAACTAGTCCAGTGCAGGAAGTACGAAACGTGTTCTTTGGTCAAATGACCGAGAGCGGTACCACGCAGTCTCGCGAGGGGGTGTGTTTCCGAGACTTTGACGTCGTTTGTGTGCCTGAAATTAATTTATTAAAAACCAATGACACATCCTCATAGACTAATTCAAACATGAGATTGCAATAATATTAAATACTGTCTATAGTTTACGCGAGTAGTACACATTTAAATAAAAAACTTGAACGGTTTAAAACGCGAAATAGTACAGTCTCCCCGTGACCACGGCTGCTGCAAAGCATCCGAAATGTCAGGCCGAAGTTAAAAATCATTGTCAAATGAGTTTAACTAATATATTGCGTTTTAAACCGTTAAAGTGTTTTATTTAAATTGCCATAATATTTTTAACATATCTTATCGATCATATGCGATAACATACCAACATGTAAAAATATTTTAAAAGTCTAAAAATCTAAAATAAATTGAAAATATTTTCGACTCGATCAGGACTTGAACCGGCACCGTCAGCGTTCCGTGCTGTCGCTCTACCAATTGAGCTACCTTATGAGAAAAGCACATAAACTTGGGCTGATAGCAAAACCATTGTTGGGTGTTATTATTCCCACAAGTGGGACGCAATATCATAAGCTGCAAGAATAAGAGTCCACATGAAACAACATATTACATACACAGAGACTTACCACAGATGTAAAGAGCAAAGGGTCAAGTACGGGCATTTGGTACAAGCGTTTTCGTGGTGCACTGGTTCTGGTAAGCTTTGTTGGAGTAGCTTTGACGCCTCTTCAATGTCTACTAACTCCTCTAAAGTAAAAAATATATGTTAGAAACATATTTATTTCGCTTATAATTTTTTATTCTACTTCTAAAAAGTCGTAACGTTACAATTTATTATTTATATTTTTTTTTTATTCAAGATCATCAGAACATCAACAGAACAGAACACTCATCACTTATCAATATATATTATTTTGTACAAGTCTTTTATGTTAGATCCAATCTTATAAATATTGCAGCAGTAGTCTTTACCCTTACAACTTAAATAAGGCTTAAATAAGTTTAACTAATATAAATAGCGTTTTAATTCGTTAAAATGTATTATTTAAACGAATTTTATTTTTAATACGATTTATTATTTCATACCTAATCGGCAAAGATTGATGTTAAAAAAGCAGATGTAACTTTTTCTTCTTACCAGTTTTAAGACTCTGTGGCCCCGAAGCGAGGTGCTGTACAAGCTCATTTCGGAGTAAGAGAAGATCACGTCGCTCCGGGTATCCGCAACTGACTTCTCTCAAGTCCACTTGATCTCTACGAATAATATTTTATTATAAGGCAAACTTGATATATAGAATACTAGTTGTGCCCGCGACTTCGTCCGCGTGGAATAATGGTGTAACGGTATCTTAATATGGCGCAACTGTTATAATGAATGGGTCGTAGTTCGATCCCCACCAGGTCCAATATGGTTCAAATAAAAGGTAGGGATATCTAAATTTAGTACGGGTCCCACCACTGTCCACAGATTAATAAGCCACGAAGTTTAAACATTTCGGTTTCAGTCTGTGGATTTTGCGAATATCCAACGCCAAAATAAGCCGCTAGCGCATCTTGTTCGGATGTTTATATGCCTGGGGTATTTCACCTACCATCAAACGAACCCCATTTTTGTCCTTCACTATAATAAAAAAAAGTTTTATTTTATTAAACCGTAATAACTCACTTCAAATACAAGAGTAAGCCTCTTTGCATCGTGAGTGCGGGGTCTTCGTTTTGCTGCAAACTCAGCATCATTCCATACAAAACTAATTGGCCGCGGTGTTCAGCAGAACCAGAGGCCCTACCGCTTTTCAACTCCAGTGGAACTATTTCCCTATGCTTTCCTATAATAGGAAAAATAAAAAGCCTGTAATTAAGTCTGTAGTTTACGCGAGTACACATTTAAATAAAACACTTGCAACGGTTTAAAACGCGACATTTATCAGTTACTTCTTGGCCGGACGTGGCAAATAAGTTGACTTATATATTTCGCGATTTAACCCGTTAATTATAATAAGTGACAAACTAGAGCTAGACATGAATGAGACATGTAAAAATGTTTGTTAGTATATAACGCTGCGAATCTAACCATTTTTTAGACCGATTGGGATAAATGAAACATTTCAAATAATAATCTGTATTATTTAAATTGTACTGCTCCAGAAAGGAACGAATAATTTTCCAAATCGTTCATATAGGCGTAGAAATTGACAGGTGTTCGGCTTACTATACGGCAAATGACACCGAACGCTTTTTGAGTTATATACAAAATGTAAATAAAACATTAGAAATTACATAAAACTGGATTTCTGTCTGCCTGATGATTCAACGAAATTGATCGATTTTATTAATAGGCAATAGTAATTATTGCCTTATTAATTGCCTATTAATAAAATCTTCCGTGTCCATTCCGCCCGAAAAAAAATCCCAGGTTCCGATCTTTGACCTCACTAAGTTAATCAAAGTTTTAACCGTTAAGATACAGCTGTCGGTCGATTTGTATACAATATTTTTTTTTATAAATCATACTCACCTTTTCTATCATGCACGGTCACTTGCAAGGTAGCATCTATCTTCCCCTTCAAGCCAAGTTTTGGACAGCAAATATTTTCTTCTATATCCAACACATCATCTATGTGGCCATTCCATTTAGCTGTTTTGTCCTTCTGAAAACAAAAGATACATATTATATTCAAATCCCGTTGTCTCCCGTGCATGGGAGACACACTTTTGTGTCCGTTTCACTAGTCCGACTTCTGTGTCCTGCCTGACCGGCACGATCTATTGTTTTCCCGGGATTCGAACGCAGGCACTCTAGCGCTTAACGCAATGCTAGGCAATATGTTTTAACAATATATATTAAGGGGTCAAAACTAATTAATGAATTAAAAACAAAGTGTAACAGATTTTGCAAGAAAGTATCGTTTCCTCAGTATAGGAACCCAGGACTTCTTATGTTAATACGTTTAACCATTAAGCCAATTAATATGTATAGTAATATTAGAGTTACTTAAAGTTCCTTTGTTTGTTTGAACGCGCTAATCTCAGGAACGTATGAATCGAATTGAAAAATTGTTCATGTGTTGGGTGGACCATTTATCCAGAGAGGATTTAGGCTATATATAACATCACGCTGCGAAAAATAGGAACAAAGGTCCAGCGGATTTTATGAAAGACCCGAGGAAGATCAATAATTTTGCGTGAACTGTGAAAACGGTTCAAGAAACGAAGAAATTTTGTACAATAGAATGATTCCTCTTTAAATAATTTAAAAAGACAACACATAACCTCGACTAGTTTTTAAGCTTACTCGCGAGAACAAAGAAACGAGAACAACGTCGTGGGTAACAGCTATATTATTTAAATTAAACTTGCGTTTGAACAGCTTACCAATGTCATATTATTGTTGGTAACATATATCTGCATAAACTCTGCGAGTGGCGTTATATATTGCTCCATATTGGTGACAGCTTCCATTTCACTGATGCCCGCATCAAATAACATATGAAGAGACTCCTTTATTATACTTTCACATGTTCGACGCAGATCAACAACATTGGATATATGCTGAGTAAGTGCCTTTTGTACTAGTTCGTGTATCAAGATTCCCACTGTCATCTGTTGATAGTAAAATTTAGTTTAAGATCATAGATGTTAGTTAAGTTGCAAAGTTTAAAACACTTTTAACTGTTTAAAACACGAAATATATTATTTATTGTTAACTATGCCCCGACAGGGTTACTAATGGACGCCTTGCGATGGTTACTGCAAAACATGTCAAATTATCAGTTTAATTAATGTTTTGATCCGTTAAAAGTGTATTTGCGTAAGCTACAGACGTAATGTGTATCCTGTTGTAATGCTAATAGTACTGTACTGTAAAAGAAAAACAAAGGGCTATTATCAATTTAATTCATATATAATATAATATTTAATGTCAGAGCATGACATGCCACACCCAAACAACATTTTATAAGAATGGCGCTGTCGATAGAATTTTGGCTTAAGAAATTTGGAGACACGTTATCCAGATAGAAATTTGGTAATTTTACCGATAATCTGGATATTATCCAAACTTTCCAGAAATTGGAACTAATATTTTAAAACAACATAGCAGTAAATGATTTCAAAACATGTTAGTTCCACAAAACATTAACCTCACGGGCTCATTATTCAATTATAATAGCGATTATTAAATTCTATCCCACAGCTGGGACTCAAAAGTGTGGTAGAAGGCATACTGAACCATTGTGGTATTAGTAGTATTAGTACTTACAGCAACATTGGCTGCATCTATTCCCTTCCAGCGTTCTTGTAATATGGCTTTTCGTTTACAGAATACACCTGCCACCACACTCGTGGTAGATATTAAATAGTCCGGCCTGAGAGATAGCAGTCCCGAAGTGTTATTTACTGAATACTGGCCTTGAGCATTTCTTGCTGCCAATACACTTATAATTTCTCCTGATTGTAAAGGTGTGTTTATCCTGTAATATTATACATATTTTTTTATAAATATAACAATTATTTATAACATTATTATAATTTAATATATTGAAATAAGAGATTAAAAATCGATAATAATTAAACAAACTGACTAAAGCAGGACTTGAACCGGCGTTCTCAGGGTTCCGTACTATTGCTCTAACCAATTCAGCTTCTGAGTGCTATTGGTTAGAACAACAACACGAAAAGCTGACTATACCGGTTCAAGTCCTGCCTGAGTCGTAACTTTTGCAATTTACTATAGATTTTTGATACTATAGACATGTGAAAAATATTAGAGTTTTCAAATGTTAAAAAATTAAATTTTCTACCTACTATAATAGGAGTAAAGTATACAGAATAAATTTATTTAATGAATTATTTTTAATAAAAGATTATTTTTTTATAGTATCCAACAATTGTTTGCATTTATAATACTATTATAGCATAATGCAAAAATGGGTCTTACCAAACACCTTCCACATAACAAGTACATCTATTATCAGCACTATTTTTGAGTCTTAATTCCAATTTAGTAGGATAATTTTTCAGTGATAATATTTCACATCGCTGTATTGTACTTAAATCTAGGTCTTCCCGGCCATCCTTAAAAATAGAATAGAGAACAATAATTCATATATTTTTTTGAACCAAACAGAATCGGGTAGAGTGCACTACATTCTCCAGAGCAAATGGGACACTCCCATTCTGGGGTGTCATGCAGTCATGGCAATCAGTTGAGATTATTTTAGAGGGTATTACCACCTCTCTCATAGAGCAAGGCTCACAAACAAAAATAGCTTGGATGGAATGCTACACTCAATGCGTATAAGAATTTTCAGTCTCACTAATAAATAAAAAGGGTGAACAACAAAAATGCCATGATTGCAGCTCTCTGCGAGTGGAGCTTTGTATTAATACAAATACAATTATCTATAAAACTCATATTAATATGAGTCTTATAGATAATTATTGTAGGTAAAGGATATAATGTTTCTTACATCAATTTTAATAAATAGTATATGTAATATATATTTTGCTTACATCTTCAACTTCTTTGATATCCCACTCATCGCCAAAAAGATCATCAACATTTTCTTCATTATCAAAATCTAAAACTTGGGTCGATGTTATAATTTTGCTAGGTGATGTTACGATTTTATTATGAGCTTCTTCCTTATTGTGCAATATTGTATCTGTAATGAAAATACATAGATTGTCAAGAGCAGAAGTTTGGTAGCTGTAATTGACTTATATATTCATTTTATAATCACAAAAATAATATCAGATAAAGTATAATTTTAAAATTGCTTACTTTTAGAAATATCATTACAACTGGGCATTGTTTCATTGGCATTTATTTTTTCAGGTGTTTTCAAAACTTTATTGTGAAATAAACACGTAATTCCTGTCTGTATATTATCTTCAATTTCATGATTGTAATCTGATAAGGGTGACCTTTTTTCCATACAATGTTCACTATTTGATTTATCATAATGAGGACTAGGCAATTTTTCCTTGTTTTTTTTACTTATAATTTTAATTTTATCACTGTCATCTTGAATCTTATGTTTTTTAGCCTGGTTAACCCTTAAGTTTTCTTTCCTTGGTGAAGTTTTAGTCAACTTCGGTAAATCAACATGTGTTGGAGAAATTGCTTTTCGCTTTGCAACTTTAGCTTCACCTTTTGTTTCACATTTCGTGACAGTTTGAAAAGGAGCAGGTTCAACTTTAAAGAAATTAGTAATTGATTTTTGGCTTTTTGGTGGTTGTGTCTGAGACTGCAAAATTACAATTAAAATCAGAAGAATATACATTCACTTAGGGTAACATATTACAACTTGTGTGTAGATAACTTAAAAGTCATCAATCAACTAAATACTTTACTTGTAAAGTTATTATTATTACTCGATATATAAAATAAAAACACAGTGAGTTATGTAACATCAAAATGTAGTTTCAAATTACTTTTATTAATTGGAAATATAATTTTCTGCCTTACCTTTTTTAAACTCAAAACCTTTCGCATTTTATTAATAATACTAACATCTCCTCATAAAATAATGGTACAATTCAATAAAATTAAGATGCACACTAATGATATTGAGAGAATACTATGGTTTTAAATATGTACCTACAAAATTATGATTTTAAAATAAAATTACACTTAATAAATAAGCCCGCGAAAATAAAGCATAAAGAGATTGATACATGACATTTGAAATAATGAACTCGTTGTTAAAAATTCCCTTCAAATTTGACATCACAGATGTAATCAACACAATACGATTTACCACAGAGTGTATATAGAAAAATATTTATTTCATGATCTTATTGCTGTACATTTTAAGGTTATGTTTACCATTTCAGTTATTGTATTATTGGGGCTATAGAATATATAATGTCTCGAAGACCTGAACATCAAGCTCCTCCTGAAGTGGTAAAAATATAATAATTATAACATAAATATTATAATTGACAAAATATAATATATTAACATATTGTTTGTAATATTAAATTGTTTACATTTTTTTAGTTCTACAATGAAGATGAAGCTAGAAAATATACCCAAAAGTAAGTAATTTAATAGGCCTACGGTATTGTACTACAAATGTTTTATTTACACACTTTCTTCAGTTCCAGAATAATGGAAATCCAATCGCAAATGACAGAGAGGTGTATAGAACTATTGCTGCTACCAGAAGATACCCCATGTTTACTCTTAGATATAGGTTGTGGATCAGGACTCTCAGGCACGGTTCTAGAAGAAAATGGTCACATGTGGATAGGGATGGATATCTCAAGAGCTATGTTGGGTTGGTTTATATTTCAGTTAATACCTACCCTTAACATACATTTTTAAATAAATACACAAGAAAGTCACAATATTTTTTCAGAAATACTGTTGATATTAACTTACATTATTTACTGTACTCTCTCTTCTAGATGTTGCCATAGAAAGAGAAATTGAAGGTGATGTAGTTTTAGCAGACATGGGTGAAGGAGTTCCTTTTAGACCGGGCAGTTTTGATGGTGCTATTTCCGTATCAGCTCTGCAGTGGTTATTTAATGCAGACAAAAAATCACATCAACCTGTTAAGAGGTTGTATACATTTTTCAGCACGTTATATGCAGCATTAGTAAGTATAAAACCTAAAATATATACTTGGTAAATTGTATTATATTAAAAATGTATAATTTTTTTAGTCAAGATCAGCAAGGGTAGTGTTCCAGTTTTATCCTGAAAATGAGAGCCAACTTGATCTTTTAACATCACAAGCAATGAAAGCAGGTTTTTATGGAGGTGTGGTTATTGATTTCCCGAATTCAGCAAAAGCAAAAAAGTTCTTCTTGGTTCTTATGACTGGCGGTGCAGCACCATTACCAAAAGCTTTAGGTATAACATTTTTTCCTTTTTGTGTTCAGGTTCATAAGCTTTCTTTATTTTACATTTACAATTTGTTTATTAGGTACAGATGAAGAAGATGAACATAATTTGCAAGTAAAATATGCAAGACGTGAAGCATCAAAAAGGGCCAGAGGCAAGCCATTAAAGAATACAAAAGCATGGCTTTTAGAGAAAAAAGAAAGGAGGAGAAAGCAAGGAAAAGATACTAGGCCTGACACAAAATATACTGGGAGAAAAAGAAGTGGACGCTTCTAATGTATATATTAAACAGTTTTTTACAAATTAATTATATGCTATTACAAAATATCTTGTTATCTCTTAACAATATATTTCCAAACAGTATCAACACCATGGCCAATAGTTTCCATTGGCACCATATTTGGTAAAGGAAAACGGCAAGCAACCACTGTTGTTCCGTTATCAACTTCCAATAATAATTTTCTTTCAAATTCTGGCATCATGTGCTCTACCCCAAAAATAACTATATTATTGTAGGGTTTAAGGTTAAAATGCCAAAGATTTTTCTTATAAAATCTTGTACTCCAATTCTGTCGGTTAATAAGCGCAGCTAATCGAGAATAATAAACTAATACTGAATTTAACTCAACTCCATGAGCGGTAAACCCAAGCTTAGCTGCTGTGAAGACTATTCTTCCGTCACCAGAACCAACATCTAGTAAAGTCCCAGAACGACCTTTTAAGGCATTTGTTACTCCAATTATTTGCTCTGTGGTGGCTGGCACGTAGGGTAAACATATTTTTCTAAAAGCAGGTGAAATAAACGGAATGCAAAGGGCGCTGACACCAAGTGCTAGACCACCAGTAGAGTATATAAGTATTTTCCCAATGCGTGATAATCGAGTATTGGATTTTTGATCAGTTTGCTCTAATAATGATAATTCCATAGCCGTGAACCACTTAACTGAAATATAAATTAACTAATTAAAATGTCATAGTTAAAAGATTAATTCATATTTTTATTTTTTACAAACTGGTCAAATATCACATAATACATATGTATTTTAAAATAACACTCTGTGGAGAACACAATGTCAATAATGAAAGCATATATATTTAATGGCCTGGTAACGAGACCTTTAAGCCAAGTCTTATTATTATATGAAAGGATTTTGACTGTACCATAGCTAATAATAGTAAAATAGACATACTATTAGAATTTAGATCTATCTGTGCCTACTTCGTCAATATGGTTTAGTATTCTCTATGGTGATGCTTTAATTTTTATTAAAGAATGTTAGGTATAATTTTATGATTTTGGTTTTCGGTAAATTTGTAACAAAATAGAGTTATTTAATTAGTACAGTCTTTAAGAACATTTTGTTAATCAGTGAATAAAATGTGACGCTTGCAATAATTTGTGAGTAATTAATTGTTCTAACGTACGATTCCATACTTTATAATTTGACAAGGTGTATTACAAAACACGCGTAATTTGAAGTCTAATTTTGTTTTTATCCGAAAGTATTTTTCGATGCATTTCATTGGTTTTACATCGGTGATCGTCAAATTCAAGAGGAAATGGTGCGAGGTTTGTTTATTTTAATTGTACAACATAAACGAGACAAATTTACAGTACAGCTGATTTGAACAAAATTAATCCTTTGTTTCTATGAACCTTCTAAGCTGTCACTTGTGTAAGGTTATAAAATAATATTTTATCGCGCCCTGCATTTTATTTTTGGAAAATGTCGATACAGCTTCTTAATTTTCTATAAAAATACATTACTTATTTTAGTTGGTCTAATGGCTGTCCAGGAGGGTGTTAAGACTCCACACCGAATTGAGCTTTGTGAAGAAAAAATAGTAAAATCAAAGAGAAACTGTAGAAAACGCAGGTATTTTTGGAATGTGTACATTAGTTTGCTTTTATTATTTATTGACTTCTTTTAATATTTATGTTAATTATAGAATTGTGGCTGCAACACCTACTAAAACTGAAAATGAAGAGTTGACAGCTGAACCACCTATAAAGAAAGAAATCAAATCAAAACCATTGAAGACAAGCAACGGTATCAGCAACATGACTAATGGTAATGTTGTTAGGTCTCGAGCGGCTCGTGCTGCCTCACGCTTGGCTGAAAGCCATAAACTCACTGAATATTTTAAAGAAGAAGTGAAAAGTCCTAAAAATGAACCTGCTTCCCCACCAATGGAGAAGGCCAAATACACTGAGGAAAGAAATAAAGCTGAAGTTAAAACAGTTAATGGCAACAATCACAAATTGACCGAGTATTTTCCTGTACGACGGAGTGTAAGAAAGACCTCTAAATGTGTTATGGCTGAAAAGATGAGGGATTTAGAAAGAGCAATAAGAGAACAGAAAGAAGATGGACTTAAGGTAAGATATCATTATCATAGTACAATAAATGTAAAATATTTATATATTCTATATATTGTTATTAACACATATTTTATAATACAGTTGTTATTTTAGGGGTAAACGGTGTAAAAATTTTGTAATAAGTGCTTGAACAACAAAGTTAAACTTGCATGATCCTTTAAACATATATACTGGAATCTATATATTATCCTTATTAGTATAAATGGCAAGTTGTTATAATCAATAATTGTGATTTTAGGTGGCCTACTTTGATGGAAAAGGGCGTGGGGTGATTGCTACGCAGGCATTCTATCGTGGCCAGTATGTTGTTGAGTATACGGGTGAATTGGTTGGTGTAGCTGAAGCCAGGGAACGGGAACACAAATATGCTCAGGATCCGAATGCTGGCTGCTATATGTATTATTTCAGACTACAAGATCAGCAGTATTGGTAATTATTTTATACAAGTTATGAAAAATAAGATCTATGTTGGCTAAATTTCTATTCAATGTTAGTTACCAAGCTCTTGGTAAAATAACAGTAAAATGGAGGGAGACCAGTAGTGCCATAATTTATCTATCATTAAATTATTGAAGCATTGAATGAGCTCTGATAAATTTTCATTATTTTGTTATATTAATCCTGACCAGATGTACTCAATACAAAAAAAAGAATTTTTCAATTCACAACTATTGCAGCATTGACGCCACTGCCGAATCTGGTCGATTGGGGCGTTTGGTCAATCATTCGAGAAACGGAAACCTATCGACAAAGGCTGTGTGGGTGGATGGACCAAGATTGGTGTTGCTAGCTGCGCAGGATATCTCACCAGGAGAAGAACTAACTTACGATTATGGCGATCGCTCTAAGGAGTCTTTGCGTCATCACCCTTGGCTCGCACTTTGACCTGGGTATGTATATAGAAAAGACTTAGTAAACAGTTTAATGCTTCGCACATTTTCTTCAAAGCTACATGGAATTTGGTTATGTTTGTGCATTTCCAAACTTAGAGTATATTATTTTTTCATTTTTGAACCTAATTTATATATTCTTGTTACAGATTGCTAACAGAAATCTCAATGAACTAATAATGATTATTTATTATTTTAAATGTAGCTGTTAAGTTTGTTTGTTACAATTATATAAGGTTTGATATCGCATACAATGTTATATAGTGAGACAAGTGGCCTAGAATAGTTTTGATACTTGAACAGGGTGGTTCACGTACTGCCTTATGCCACGATGTTCTGCTATCTGTGCGAAGATGATATTCAACATCTTTACGGTCTGAAACGTTGATGTAGATAAGTTAAACAATATTGCAAACATTGTGAGGACTTGAGTAGATATTTCTTGTAAATTTTAAAATTATTTGACTGATTTGGTTAGCTTTGATTTATGATTTTAGGTATGTGCCAGATAAGAAAAAATTTAATGAACATTTACAGTCGGTTCATTAGTGTTGCCAGCAATACATTTTGCCTTAAATTTACTAAATTTTGGCTCATGGTTATCAAAATCTGGCAACATCGCGTGGCCTTACATACAAAATATAATTTAACACATTGTATTATTATAAAGGATAATTCTCAACAAAGTGACTTCTTACACAGTAAGGTAATAATGGGAAACTTAGGTATTTCTAATAGCATCAGTATTTGTGGTATTTGTTTTAAAAATAACTACTTAAATGACAAAGAATTACATTAAATAGCGTAATTATAGGTAAATTAGTTGCATTATAAGTTTAGTTTAAATTTGCAATGGATCTCCTAAACATCACTAAATGCATGACTGACATTCATAGATCAAAATTATTGTTAGTGGTTTTGGAATTGTTAAAAAAACTTGAAAAAACAAAACCACTGCAAATGATAGAAGTACAGCAAAAGTTCAAATTTTAATTGAGAAAAATAAAAGATGGCATCAGTAGTTTTGAAATGAGATTGAGATCAAAAAAAGCTCCAACCACACACAAAAATTGACAACTTCCAATGTCCAATTGCGTTCAAATAATAATCTCGAATGATCATTAATTTATCAGTAGTTCTTAAGCTTGGTCTGAATTTGAGATGAGAATACACTTCTAGAATAGATTTCTTTGACAGATAAAACTAATTATAAGCAAACAAAGGAATATAATAATTTACTTATAGAATGTAAAGCGGGTTACATTCTGACTTTCATTGCTAAGGTTTCTGCATAATTGGAAGCTTCTGAAAAAATTTAAACATTAAGCTTTAGAGGCTTACATTTTTTTTTTAATTTATCTATTCTTCACTATACATATTGCTCAGCCGTCATGAACAAAATAAAACCTTGCTTAATACAGAAAAACTCCCCCATACTCAAATGTAATAAGAAAATTCGAAATCTTGTATTGCTTTTGTAGTTCCTAACAAGTTTGTTATGAATTCCTAAATAACAAGTAATGTACTGCCAAGAAAGGCTCGATGTATAACTCTGTGTAATATCACATTTAATTAGCTTAAAATTGTTAGTAGTCGCATAGAAATGTAATTAACATTTTTATAGAATAATAAAAATAGATTAATATATTTTGGAATTATTGTATTGCGTATTTATTATTGTATGGCGTTACAATAGAGTTAGTTTGCTTACTGTGTATGTTATAGGCGCACATTTTTAAATCGCCTCAGATTCAAACTCTTAATATGATTGTCGCAAATTGACTAAGAGGCCATCTTGAAATTACGTCACACAAATTTTGATGTATATTTCCTTTCCCCTTTTAATTTTAACACTTATAGATACAATATATTATAGATTTGGTGATAGTGCAAAGCTTGCGTTATTGTCCCTTCCCCCTATTTATACAATTTTCCATTTCGACCAGCCCCGACGCGATATAATTTTAAGGATAGCCTCTTTTAAGGAGTAAGCCAAATAAATATTAAATAAAAAATTATTTGAGCGGCGTGTTCATTTTTAAATTGATGAAGGCCCTAATCAAATTTAATTATTATTTTGTACATAAGTTTAGACTAGACTTCGTAGCATTACCCCTCTTGTGTTAAGATGTTACACTGTTCATATTGCTAAACTAATGTAATAAATAAGCCAAACACGCATTTTAAAGTAGTTTTGTTTTCACCGCTTTAAATGAATCCTAATTCAAATTACCTTAATTGGCTGAATAACGTCGGATTTTGAAAAAGCCTACTGTCTTAAGTTTACATACTAGAAGTGCCCTACTCGAAACACTGAAGTCTGCTACTAATGTCCTACACGTCCATTTCGTGTAAACCAAATAAACAAACATATTTTTATAAGTAATTATGAAATTTAGTCTATTATAATTATTGTTTGTATCTAATGTAGACGCGTGCTATACAAATGCCCCTTAGAGAAAATCTCCGGTTGGAATATCGTAGACATTGTTTTGTAACTGGTGATAAATTCTCAATGCTGTTTTTCTTGGGGCATTTGATTGCCAGTGCATAATTGTTAATAGTCAATATGGCTATTTTCGTAAGTAGATATTTGTAATTAACTTAATTATGATAAATATGGGCTCCTGCACTGCCCTCATGATATGATTATTCAGTAGAAATTGAACATTGAGTGAATAAAATATTAATATAATATATGGAGTTGTTATTGTCATGTACGCGTGATCCTTGTAGAATAAATGTAGGGTTTTATCATTTATGTACTCCGCAGATTCTTAAGAAAATTTTCCCAAAAAAGAAAGACGAACATATCATAGGTGTGGTTTATTTATATATTTATCAGTCGTGTTGTTTAAAATTTTTTTAAACGCACATCAATTAAAACGGCTATGGAGATTATTATAAATAAATAGAGAAAGATCTTGATTATTTTTAGAGTTCACGCTAAAAAATACTACATATAATAACTTAAGCGACGGCAACTTTATGATGAGCTCTTAAGTAATAAATCTGCGCTTGAGACTCCAATTCTTTCAAGGACCGTACCACTGGCGCCATCTGGCTGACGTGATCCTGAAATAAACACAAAATGCAACATAAATAATGGCTATTACACTGTTGTGGCAAAATAGCATATATTTGTTTTTTGATAAATCGGATTTTCTTTATCCTGGTGTATTTTTATTATTATGTAGACATTAGGCAAGATTTAACTTTACTCACTTCATACCCCGTCCCAGTCTGAGTTCGTTTCTGACCGTACACAACTTTTCCATCAAACTCGTTACTTGGTACTTTCATGTCAGGGTCCACTTGCTGAATTGTTATATTCAGATGGTCTTCAATATCAGCTAGGTACTGAAAACATAGAACTTATTTAAAAACACTTAAAAAGTGAATTAAGGTGGGCACTCTCAATATTATTTCAAGCAGAAAGGTATTATATTAATTATTTCAATAAAGTAAGGAGAGTATATTTATTTTACTAATAAGTATTTTTATTGAAAATAGTGCATTGTGTACATTTCAAAATATGTTATTATTGCATTACCTGTGGTTCATTATACCAGATGCAGCAACCTTTTGGTCTGTCATCTATTAGGTTCGTATTCCAGCAATTGCGCCCGCGGGACGAACACCATTCACCGTGGTACCAGACCTAAATTAAAATTATAAGGTCTATACTATTCATTTATGAAGAAATAATGCAAATGAGACTTATACTAGAGTGCTCTATCACTAACAAGCGATCCCTTGCTGGAAAAAATTATGTACCAAATTATGTATGTATGTATGTATAAGATTACTATCTTTGTGTAAGGGAACAGTGAATATATTTTAGTTTAACTTAAATAGAAAATAATTTTTTGTACTTTAGTCTTTTTGATACACATATAGATAAATAAAAATAAGACCGACAAGCAAATAATTATTTAATGGTTAATAGTTGAGGCATAATATACATTACCTAATAGTAATGGACCTCTTTAAAAGAATTCTCACTATAAACTATTAATACATATTTAGTGTTCATCAACATTTCTGGTAGTTAATATAACTTGAATTACTACATTTATCGTTTGTTCCAGTATCAGTGCTTACCTTTTCAGGAACGGTTGAAACAAGACTGATAGCGAGACCCATTCTCTCTGCACGTCCCACGCGACCGATGCGATGCACGTAGTTGGATTTTTCGTCGGGTAAGGTGATGTTGATCACTTAAGAAGACAACACTCAGTTTAAAATAAATCTATCATATTTTTTATTATACATTTGTCAAAATGTAAACCTTGCCTATCTTGTCCTTTACTTTTTCTTGAAATGAACAAGAGATAAGAAAATTTAAAAAAATATATATCGAAAATAGTTTCTGAAATGAGAGAACATCCGATACAAAAGAGGTAGGTTTTCTCCTACTCTTCTCTAATGTGAGAATATACCAAAATAGTTAGATACCTACATATATATGTATAAAATTAAAGGACTATGCATCTTTAGTGGAGAAAAGTTTAAATTAAAAAGTTTAAAAACCTACTGAATGGCAAGCCTGATATATCAATTCCCCTTGCTGCAACATCCGTACAAATCAGAAACTTGACTTGGGCCTGTTTGAATTTCTCCAAATTGGCCTTCCGTTCTGCTGGTTTTCGGTCTCCGTGCAGACAGACACAGGATAACTCGTTGCCGAAAGATTTTAAATAGCGCTCCAAGTTGTCACAATCTACTTTCGTGCGACAGAATATTATAGCTCTGTACATAAAGAAATATATATTATCGCCAGAAATACACCCTTATCATAAAAGTACACAGTTATTACTTGGTCTAACATTTACAATGACGATGAAATAAATATCTATCAAACAATTATTTTTTTTAATTTAATGAATTACTGACCGGTCCATTTTATGTTCCTTAATAGCTCTAATACAATATTCTCCCTTCAGTATTTTGACAGCTTCAGATAATGTTTCTGGAGTAGTATTCCCACTTCTGATATTATCTTTTGCGTGAACAGCGTCTGTTTGAATTTGCCTATTGAAAATAATTATAGAATTATATGCACTTCAAAATCTTAAATTAAACTACACTAGTAAGAGAGTTGCATTAAAAAAATATAGAATTGGGCAAAACCTCACCAAACACAACAAGCACATGCATTATATTTACTTTAGAAGTCTTTAATGAAGTAAAAGATTCTATGGCTAAGTCTTACTTCTTAAGATTCTCCCATGAACGATCCTTCTGAGGATCAACATTGACGACAACGTGGTGAACTGTTTCAGGCACAGCATCTTCTCCTTTCAAGTCAACCCATGTTGGGAAGTGCATCAATTTTTCCTGTTAAGGTTTTTAAATTACTCTTTGCTTAACTACTAAAAAAGAGTTATAGCCAATATTTTATTCTATTGGTCAATAAAAAAAAACTGTACAATTAGGCCTAAAACAGATATATAGAGATGAAGAATAATTATTATAACTTTTCCCATAATGGCGTAGTATTTGCCGTTTTACTCATAAATACCTATATTTAATAAAACATATTTAATAAAAACAATTACTTCTACATATTGGTTATTTCTATAAATCACTATAGTTCTATAATTTATTTTTAATCAAGATATGAATAGATAGACCATACCGCCATTTTTTTCACTTCGAAGGCGTGTAGCGTGGCTGAACAGACCACCATTTGCAGTCGACGTCCATCGGAGGTGATTTTTGGTATTTGTCTATGAAGACGTTCAATAAGCTCACCACACCCTGCTTTTAAAAGACCATCGGCTTCGTCCAATACAAAGAACCGGCAGTGAGTTAGGGCCAAGTAACCTGAAATTTTAAAAACTTAATTCTTAGTAAACAGTAAACTACATTATAACTTTAAAGTCCTTTAGAATATAAGAAAAAAAAAAACGATAACACTACACTACTACTTCGAGCAAAGGAATTTTGAAATTTTTAATCATGTCTCTCCTCTATACAGCCATCTTATTAACGCAAAATGGACAAATAGTTCAGTCTAGAGGAAAAACTTAACAAATAATATATTATTAAAAAAAACCTGGCTGTTTATATATAAACAGCCAGGTTTTTTTTAAACATAAATATCCCACCTCCTTGAATAAGATCCTCTAATCTCCCAGGTGTTCCAACAACAATGTCTACGCCAGAATTCAACTGATTGATTTGGTCTTTAACATTGATACCACCCACAACTAGGAGTTCTCTTATTTTTGGATTATCTAAATGCTTTTTGAATAGAGTTATCTGTGCACAGGTCTGTTCCGCTAATTCTCTTGATGGCTAAAACAATCATCATGTAAGTTTTTCCTTTTGTTTATAGAGGGTTAAAAGTCAGTAGACTCAATGTCATTATTGTCAATTAGCAATACTTTATTTGTTATTAGAGAAAAAGTTACTTTAACTCATAGATTACCTCAATAATTATGGCTTGTGGTGCATTATTGACAGGCTTTGTTGATCCAGTTGCAGCTCCAGCAGAAACAACATTTACTTTTACAAATTCTTTAGGAGCTTGAGAAATTGCAATGTAATCTTTTGGTGGTGGATACTGAAATAAGTTTTATTTTACTACACAACCTTTAAACATTGCATGTAACATTTTCTAATACTACAAATATTACTAATTTTGTAATTTTTAATTCCAAACTCTATCCATACAAGCACTCACTTTAAAAGGTGTGGAACCAAAGTTGAAACTCATCTCAGCATTTTTTAATACAACTGCAGGGAAATAGCAATCGGATCTGCGAGACTGATCTAACTTAAATGCTATTCCAAGATCATCCCCATTCTTGGTGTATCTGATCTCACCATTATTTAAATTTAACATACAACCTGTCAGTGAGGAATAAACAAATGTAAATAAAAAGCTCCAGATTATTTATAACATTGTTCTATAATGTTAATGAAAAAAAAATGTTCTATAAATTTTACACAGAATATTAAACATGAGAAATAATAGGTTGAAATTCCAGAGCAATTGTGAAATATTTTTAGTGAAAGGACACAGAAATGTATTCAAACATGGGTAAAATGGGATTTTACTTGTAATTAACTTTTTGTAATTTGACTTGCATTTAAATTTTTTATTATTTGTTATAGTATGTACTGGCTTCAAATCTATACTAGATCAGATATATATAATGTTATAATAAGGTCTTATGAAAAATAATGATGTTTTTATTACTTACCTATTACATCATTTTTACCAAATGCACTTCCATAATCATCAAATTGTTTAGCATTGGACTTTTTTCCTGTCCCACCAAATCCAAATCCCATTCTATCTGTACCTAGATCTAGTCTTGCCTAAAATGTAAAACCCATTAACATTCAGATATTACTTAAACAAGATATGTATATTCAAAAAAATATTTCTTCTTAAACTTACTGCTTGTGTAGACCATCCAACTCTACATAAGCCTTCATCAGTAACCATGGCTTCATAATAGTATGCACCTTTTGTATGAACACCCTTAGTGGCCCTGCATCCATGCCAACCGGTTTGATCCCGGGACTGGCATCGCAAACCATCTGGAGTCACCGCTAATGCCTCCGTTCTGTCGAAAAATGACATAGTCCATTCTGTCGACGTTTGCGTTATAATCTTGCTAGTTTTCCCTTCTTGTATATCTTTCAAAGTTTCCCAAACTATTTGTATAATAGGTAAGCAAAATGCACCAGTTTTACCACTACCGGTCTCCGCAGCCATTAACACATCTCCTCCACCTAGGATTAGAGGAATAGCTTCGGATTGTACATCTGTTGGTAACGTCCAGTCCATATCTTCTATCGCCTTCCCAATTTCAGGGAGGACTCCGAATTCTTCAAATGCAGTCATTGTTATTAATTTCTTTCTTCATGAACACGAATGTAAAATTAATCCCCTGAAATTTGATTTTGACTTTAGAGTTTAGTGCAGGCTGTCAGATGTGTCAGAAGTTGGTACATATTACAGATAACTTAAACCGTACAGATTAAACAGCATAACGGCGTTTAGAGAATCAATTATTAAAACATGGATTACCGGTATATTTGAGGATAGGTTTACAATCCTACCCTGAGAACATATACATTTCTCAAATATACCGTCTGTGGATATACAGACTAAAAGCAAACGTAACTGAAATGTTTATTTTCAAACATTAACAACACTGTTAACAACTTAGTTTTTATGCTTAATTTTAAGCAAGGATAATATTATTATAATAATAGGATTATACTATACTATCGTATTCGTGTTCGTATAGAAAGAAACATTTTAAATTGAATCTACGTTAGCCTAAAATGCCGAATAAATGCTGTTATATATGGGATGAAACTTTACTGCAAGAATCTGATCGTTTACCCGCTGTAGAATATCGAGTACGAATTTTTATATTTTAGTTTGTTTTTACTGCTTCTCCTACGTATTAATATAATTTTATATTATTTAGGCTTCTATGGTGCACGGTCTAATAGCTGCTTATGGTCTTCTTGAGAAAGTTCAAGTTGTACGCTCCGCCCCCGCTAGTTATGATGATTTGAAACTATTTCATTCCGAATTATATTTAGAACACCTTAAAACTCTAAACGAAATCAACGAGGACTATATGACTGAAGATAAAGATGAAGATTTTGGCATTGGTATGATATAAATACTACTTTTCAATTATCAACTTAAAAATTATAAACTCATGGTAATTTAATTTCTTTTAGGATATGACTGCCCTCCGGTATCAAATATGTTCAAATTAGTAACAGTAGTTGCTGGAAGCTCTGTAACTGCAGCTAAAAGTCTTTTACTGGGTGTAGCTGATGTTGCTATTAACTGGTGTGGAGGATGGCATCATGCACATAGGTTTTAATTTTTATAATATAGCTGGCTGTGGATTATTGCATAATGATATCAATAGTTGCATTTAAAACAATACTTTTTTTAGATTTGGTGCTGAGGGATTTTGCTATGTTAATGATATAGTTATATGCATAGAAAGATTGCGACAAAAGTTTCTGAAAGTACTCTATGTGGATTTAGATGTTCACCATGGTATGGCATAATTTTCATTTTGTGTAAAAAAAATTGCATTTCCAAACAGATAATAAGAGTTTTCTTTTCAGCAGTCTTAAGACGTTAATGAAATCTTTGAAAAAGTTTTAATTTAGCAAACAGTTAAGGTTACCTAATACAACTGGTGACTTTATTTTTAAAAAGTGAATACTAAATTGATATGTGACTAAGTAATGAAACAGTGAGTTATAATCTACTTGTGATAGTTATGATTTGATTTTTTTTAGGTAATGGTGTCCAAGATGCATACAACTTAACTAAATCAGTTTTTACATTATCATTCCACAAGTATGAACCAGGATTTTTTCCTGGTACTGGGGGTATAGATGAAATAGGAATTTTGACTGGTAAAGGTTTCATGTGTAATGTCCCGCTCCATGGCTCCTATAACGATGAGACATTTGAATACATTTTTGACAAGTAAGTGATTAAAGGCCCCAAATTGAGATAAAAGTATTACACCAAAACATCTAATAATATTTTAGTAAGGTGTCTTTGTTAGTAATGTGTGAATTTTTTTACTCAACAGACCATTACCATCTTTTATATCTATATTGTTATTTAGGTGATTTAAATAAAGATATGATAAAATAATTTGTGTTCATTTTTAGGGTTTTCCATAAAGTATATGATAGTTTTGAACCAGATGCATTAGTGATTCAATGTGGTGCTGATGCTTTAAGTTGTGATCCTAACGGTGGAGCTGGACTTACAATTAAAGGTTACTGTGCCTCTATTCAGAAAGTTTTAGATAAAAGGAAGCCTACTGTATTGTTGGGAGGAGGTATGCACATTTTTTAGATAAAACAACTAATCTTTTTCTGCTGATTTAGAACACATACCAAATCCAAATAAAAATGTTATTAAAGTCAAAAGATCCTTTGTGAACTTCTCTTTTAATATTGATTTGTTTTAGGAGGCTACAACCATACCAATACGGCCAAGCTTTGGACAGCAATAACAGCCTTAGTGGTAGATGTGAATCTTGACCAAGATATACCAGAACATGATCACTGGCCAAAATATGGCCCTGACTTTGTCTTAAACATAAAGTCTTCACTAGTCAAGGATGAAAACACAAAATCGTATCTAGATGAATGTATTCATAAAATAAGTGGTAAAAATAAATTATAAAATACCTAAATTAGATACGTAATCATATTAGTATAGCAAATAATCTTGTTTCAGATAATTTGGAGAAGTATGTAAAATCTAATGATAGCAGAAAACACAAGACTGATGCAACACTCAAGAAGTGTGATAAAAGTGAAATTCACATGAGCAACCAATTTAAGAAGTACAAAAAAATACAAAGTGATGCTGTTTTGGCACAAGAACATAATGTGAATGATCATACACAAACTTCTGATGTGTATAAATTCTCAGATTAAATGTTTTAAAAATATATTTTTAGACCATCTTTATTGATAAATTCTGTAACGATTACTGTAAACGAGTGATGTCTTTTACAATCATATAAATTAGCTTGCAACCAAAAGCTCCACCTAAAATATATTTACTATGACTCTTACAGATGTTGATTAAAAGTAGTAAAACTTAGAGCTTTAGCAAGTTAGTGTTTTAGTGTGCTTTAATATACGGTATGTTTAATATACTAACTATCAAAGGCCAAGGATAATATGCAAAAGAATGTCTTGGAAAAAAAGTTTATTACTTCCACTGAACAGTTTACCGCAGCAAGATATTTTAATGCATAAACTTATAGATAAATAATACATAAAGATGAACCAACTACAAACACCAATAACAAATTAATTATATATGTATATTATTATTGATAGGACTTTATAACTGAGGAAAAAGAAATGTGCAATAATGCTCATATTTTGGCTCAATTTTTAAAATCAATATAAGACATTTCTCATTTAAGACTATAATCTCTTATTACAAACACACAAAAATATCCATAAAAGCTATTAAAGTACTGTGTAACTAAAGTTATTCTAGCTGGGTAAGGGCATGTTGAAGATATAATGTCAGGTTCTTATATTATGTATGTATGTATTTACATTAAAATTATTTATGAAGTTAGGCCATAGCCTAGCATATATTCAATAACAGTTAAATCATAGAACTGTGGAGAGGATTATTTCATAAGGAAAAAATAAAAAAAATATTTTGCATATCAATATTATTTGTTAGCCAAGCTACTGTTTTTAAAGCAATTTGGTGCAACTTTTATATTAAATATAAATTCCTATCATTTATATACCAATTAAGTGCATATTGCAAGCAATGTGGATTCTATTTTTACAACAGCAGGATAAGAAATTGCCAGCATTAACATGGTTGATCTTATGTGATTAGTATTCTTCTATGAAAATATAAAATATTTTATAAGTATTGTTGTAACAGATATAGTTATATAATGTGACTGACCTTGCAAAAGGTAAAGAAAAATAGGAGATACTGAAATCTAGCAAAGCACTAAGATTCATACAAGTTATCTAATCGCACAAGATTCCTTTGTTTGTTGCAAACCCCACTATTGAAGATTAGTCAGAAGGTCTCTTTTCACTATGCTTTTTGGTAAACTCCTCAGCATTTTTCGTAAATCTTTTTCTGTCTCTTAGATATTCCTCAGCAAGTTCAGCACGTAATGGGTGTTCAGGTTCTGGATCATTGACAAGAGCAACTAATGCTTGTATAACTGCAAATCAATTTTATACTATAACCAAATAAGATGTAAAAACAATGTAAACACAGTTGGTAAATAGTCTATACCTTGATCAGTCTTAGTTGCAGGTTTCCAATTTTCAGCACTAATGATGGGTAAGCACACTTGTCCTTTTTCATCTATGTTTGGGTGGTAAATTTTTGTCTTAAAACTTATTTTGGGAGGCTTAAAGGGATATTCAGCTGGAAAATTAATCTCTATGCGAAATGCACCTTTGTTGTATGGAGGGTTATCCTGTAAGACATGACTCATAAGAATAGTAACAATTTGATAAGCTTTGTGTTTTTATACAATTGAAAAGGAAAATTTAAACATAAATTAAAAGGTCACCTACAGGCACAATCAATCCCTGCCAGGTAAGTATATTAGATTCATCCACTTGAATATCTCTGAACGATTTCAGACCGGACTGCCTGATGTCATTGAGTTCCTGAAAAATGTGAAATATGTGCAAACGTTATTAGCTTCGCTTTTGTTGGCGCTTGCAACCCATATTAAAACCTTCTACGTGTTATTATACACTCCTCACCCAATCCACAATCATTGATATAATCTAAAATTACGATTTAGATAATTTCACAAGATACATTCGTTCTTAATCTCACCTTTTGAAGTCTTCTAGTCGCTGCCATTGTAGTTTAATTAACAAAATAATACAGAACGAATACTTTATGATAAATAGTTATATCGATGTTCACTTTAACAACATATTACACGTAATTATTTGTTAATATTAATGCCGAAAATCCGATTCAGTTCAGCGATTCAAATGGAACATAGAAATGTCAATGACATGTCTTTTACTGTAACTTGACGGCAGCCATTGTGGTTACGTTTCGTTGAACGGTCAATGCAAAAAATTTAAACACTAATACTTAATTACAAATTTTGTTTAAATATTATGTATTATTCTTGTGTGTTGTAAAAAAATGTATTAAGTAGACTAAATTTTTTATCCAATGAAAATATGAATTGTAGAATAAATTTCAATATGAATGATTTCTATGACAATATTATATTCTTTGTACTACATAAGGGCGAATTTCTGAATTATTATATTGTAGTTTTTTTTTTATCTATTTTCAATTTTCCCCTCAGGAGCGACGGAATTAATATATTTTTCCTAGACTCTTACATGGTCGGTACATTAAGCATCGTCGCCGTCATCTAGTTTTCTTCTGAAAAAAACCTATACTAATATTTTTTGTATGTGTTTGACTGCGCTTATTTCTAGATTGTGTTGGTCAGAGTGCATAAGACTGTAACCAATAGGACAAGAAACAGGGGAAACATGGTAAAACTTTTATTTTGGAACATTTTTTAAATATCTCGCCTACTCGATAGTCGGTTTTAGTTAGCGAGATATAGAAGCCATTCATACTGAATATTTTGCAAGCCTGGGTGGCGGTGCCACAATAAGGAAAAAGTAACCAGAGTTATAAAGTTACCTTTACGTATGTTTTAAAATTCCAATTAGTATGTAAACGTAAAAACTGAAACACTTGTAAGTTTTGCAGTAGATGTTATATTTAAAAGAGACACATTTCTTATTACAGGTAACATAAAAACGAATAGGAATATTAATTGGAAACTCTGGAATATACGATTTTGATCATTGTTGTGTTCCCTCACTAATTTAAGTCACTCTGGGTAGAATGATAAGTAGGGTATATTGTAGACTAAATAGGGACCATTTTATGAATAGGTTCACGGGTTTATTTAAACAGAGCTGTGTATCTTTTAATCTTCATGTGTACGATCATCGTCACGACGGCGGTTGCGTTGGCGCCGCCCCCAACCTTCTCGTGGACGGTCTCGCTGTCGGCCTTCGCCACGCGGAGCGCCGCCTCGCTGGAAGAACGATCCTTGCTTTTCGAAGATGCGCTCGTTTGAATCCACCAAATTGCCAACCTAAAGACATTTTAACATACATTAAACTGTGTCAATCATATGTTGTCTATGACTAATTCAAATGCTTCAATTTGTTTTTTGTGGATTTAAAATATGAGGCCGCTAGAGTCAGAGTAGCGTAACTGCAATTTTATGACTTGAGTTATTTATATATTCATAGTTTAAAAATGTTAACCTACAAGAGCAGTGATCGAAAATTGTTAACATAATTTTTACACAAATAGTACATTCGTTTTCACCTAAGTTGATTGCGCATTTTTATTGTCCTCCTTATGTTTTTTGTTATTCGGCCTCTAGCAGCCTTATATATACAATGGTTTTTATTATTAATATCTACGTTAAATATAAAATACCTTATCAGCCAATTGTAGCGCCAGCGCTTGCATCCTAGTTGGCTCTGAACGGTGAAGGATAGCGCATTCGCTTGGGTCATCAAGGGAAGCAAGTAGTTCCTCATTTATGATCATCTTGGAGACGAGGGAGTGGACACGTTGACGAGGCAGCTCAAACATTTCAGCCAGAGAACGAAGAGACAGGGACGCATATACGTGGGCGTATGTAAAGAGATATGTTCGCAGTGACTCTTCTCTGATCAAACGGCCAAGCATCGCCCGGACGTTGTCAGCACCAACCATAAGGTCCCATACCTGTTTGAAAATTTAACCATTTATTTTATAATAGAAGAACTTTGTGTGAAATTAATCAACAAATCGTTTTCAATCGTAATACAGATTCAGTTTCACAATAAAAACAGTATAATACCTTTTCCTTTCTTGAGATAGTGCTTAGTTCATAATTAGCAAAAAATGGTAACCTATGTCCTATTAATGGTTTTTAAATCTATACAAATATTATAAAACTGATAATCTCAGGAACTACTGGATTGAAAAACATTTTTGTGTTGGAACTTATTGAAGAATGCTTCACGCCTTACATAACTTACGAAAAAAAAACGTGGAAAAGAAAGAAAGAAAGGTTAAAGAAACCAAAAGGATATGTATGTAAGAATTATCCCTTTTTAAATGATTAAACAAAATATCCACGACAAAGTTAATTTAAAAAGATAGACTTATACAAAGTCTATTTTTTTTTAAATTAACTGGCAAAAAAGACGGGACGACCACGTCGCGGGAAACAGATAGTGTACGATAGTCTTACCTTTGCATTCATTTTTTCATTGACGATAAAGTTGAGACATGCGCGCCAATCACCACGACGCATAGCTCTGGCGGCCGCAACTGCGTGCTCCCTCATCGACTCTGGTGGACCCACTAAAGCCTGACGCTCACTCGCTCGCAAGTTCTGGTAAAACGTTTTACTGATCATCCGACGACGAGCATCAAACTCATGAGCTGCCATATAAGGTATCTCAATCAACATAGCTGACACTAGGTAAACACATTCTAGCAATTCCAGATTTATATGCATATGGAAGGGCATCTGACGCTGCTTCTCAATCTTTTCCTGCTCCTTAGAACGTTCGTGTTGACGCTGAGGCAGAAGCCCCTGAGCCAGCAACTCTTTGGGCTTACCAGTCATCATCAGTTCCGCTAAGCAACCATGCGCTTCCTTAACATTACCTCGTCGGAAAGCGCATAAGCCTAAATTAGCCATTGTCCGATTATATAGGATTTGTGTGCTGGGGTCAGAGTGTTGGACGTTCTCTTGAAGATGAGACATCAGCAATAGATCGCGCGCTTGGAACCAATTGTCATGCAATGCATGGTGATAGATGTGCGACAGAATTGCGCGCGTACGCAAACGATCAGATTCGTCATTTGCATAGATAAACTTGCAGAATTTCTCCATCTTCTTAATCGACGTCTCTTCGCCCGGTGGAAGGTCTTTTTTCACAGCCCTAGGATCGAATTTGTAGTAAAGATGATCGATTTTACGCAGGTAAGCGCGGCAGATTTCTTGAGGCGTGCCGTCACGCTCCACGACTTGGCAAACGCGATCGATCAAGGCTGAGACTCTTACTTCATCCTTCAATCTCTCTACATACTCATTGGAGTGAGGATCACATTCTTTTAGGAGCTTGGTAAACTCATCATCAAGCCTCTCAAGTGCTGTAAGCAAGCAACCTCTAACTTGATAAGGAGGAGTCACTAGCTGCTCATTCTCCTCAGTTATCATTTCACTTAGGACCATATCCTCATGGGCTAGTAAAATAGTCACCATGTGATCAACATTTTCAACAAGCCGGGACCAGTATTCAGGTTTCATAGCATCAGAAACTTTAGGGTTATAATCAAAAAGTGCAGCTACAGTTGCTGCGCGAAGTTTCAGTTGAAGAGCGTCACCGAGATTATGTTGTGCGGCAACTGTACGTAGCTCATGTAATAGCTCTAGCTGTGCACGACGGTCGGTGCGTTTGCGACCACGAGCTGCACTAACTTCTCCAAGTTTCTTCACTACCAAAGCTGCATCAATGTCACTATCCTACACAAGAATAAAGATAGCATATAGTAGAATTATTAACTGTGGCTAGTTAAATTATTTGCCAATTACTCTAATATTTGAATGAGATATACAGTAAAATACATACCTTAGCAAACATTTTCGGTTTGTCAGATGTGGCTGCACCCTTCCGTACTGTCTCCCATTCACCCCCATCGTCGGCTTGATCCTTCTTGCTGGCCTTTCCAACTCTTTCACGTCTCTCACGTCTGGCTCGGCGACGATCCCCTTCTTCATCATCGTCTCTTTCGGTTGCGCGTTTTAAGAAACGTTCACGAAGAGTCGTAGCTCCCCGCGTCTCATCATCAGAGCTGGAACTAGACTCTGAAGAGCTAGAACCCCAGTCCATGGAGTCTGATGACTCATCATCTTGTGGTGGAGGCCGACGTTGTGGCTCAGGTGAACGGCGAGCTTTGGGCTTCTCTTTTACCTTTACTTCATCATCAGACTCATCAGACGATGAAGTATCTGCACAAATAAATGAACATTTACAAATGGTCAAAAATTAAAGTACCTAAAAAATTTGTTAATACATTAAATTATGATTGAATAACAATAATCTTTAATTTCTTTGTGACATAGGTTTTAAATATTTTGTGCAAAAATAAATGACTACATAGATAATCAAAGATCCTTATACTCACCCTTACGCTCATCATCATCATCAGGTAGATCAGGGTTCTCACGGAATTTTACAATTTCAGAGTCAAATTCTTTTGCATACTTCCTAAGCTTTTGACGTAAGGAGGTTAAGGCTTTACTGTTCCCCTTGGACATAGCCTTTCTACTGTCTCTATCATTCCAGGCTGATGCAACCCAATCATCCAGTTCAACCATGGCTCGAATGAAAAATCTCGGAGCAATTCCATTTTCTTCTTTCTGAATAACAGATGAGGCTCTAGTGTATGCCCTCTGAAGCTCTTCAAAGGATGCCAATGCTGACGAGAAATCTTTTATTTTACGATGATTCCTAATTGAATGAATAATTCCTTCAAGCTCTTCATATCTCTTCTCTTTCATGGACCGTACCACACGTTTTGTTTCCTCTTCATCATCGCTGAACTGGAAAAGTATTCACACATATTAAATTCAAAAAATTGATTCTCATTAACATTTCTTATATTTTTAAGGCTTTTAGTAAATTTATATTTATTTATTGTTTATAATGTTTCGACATGTTTAGTTTCATGTATACCAATATTTATGTTAAATATATGAATGTTATATTCAAATGTATTATTTGATTACATTATTGATATAATCTTATAAAATATGGTAGTTACTCCAAGTGATAAGCATAACCTGTAATATCAAAACTGTGATCACAATATTAAAAAGTAATAATCTTTATAAAATAATTATTCACACATAATAATTTAAAAATAATATAAACATACCGTATATACGGGCGCTGGCGCACGTATTACTGGCTCTTCTTCAGTTGAGCTTTCCGAATCGGAATCAGTTCCAGTTGCGAAGAAACGACTCATGATTAGTTTTCACCCTTTATTTATCTAAAAGACAAAAGATTTTGCATCACGTTGTTTATCAATTAATGATTAGGATAAAGAATTAAGATATATTCATTATACAACACTAGCACGAGAGGTTAGAGTAAGAAATAGTAAAAGTATTTGTAACTACACCTTCGTATAAAAAAGTAATTATGCAACAATAAATCAAATTCTAGAAATATTGAGATATTCATGAAATTATGTTAGAAAACATTAATTTAAGAATCAACACGATATAGACGCGCCTATACCCTGAAATTACAGGCCACGATTCATTTCAAAAGAAATATGTCAAAGTCACAATTCCAATCTAGTCCTCGTTTAAAAATGCGCATATCCCAATGTTGCTAGTGCCAAAAAGCATTGCCTTTTCAATGGAGCACAATTCATAGGCTAAAAATATATTATTGTTCCCTATACAGATTACAAACCTTCGTCCAGTCATCGACATCCGCGTTGTACAACTCGAATTAAATGCGTCGTAATTGTAAATGTCAAGAGACGAGAAAACAAGAAAAAAACCACGAACTGAATAGTCAAAGAAAAATTAAAATAGAGGTTATTGAAATGTAAAAATTATGTTGCAAAATTATAAAAAACGACATTTATACTGTAAGGACACTAACTTTAGAGTTGCTAGTTTGTGATACTACGTCTATCATCGTTGTTTTCAAGAATGGAGTTTACGAGTTTAATTGTTCCTCTCACAACGAATATGTGTCGAACATGTCTAGTAGAATATGATTCTAATGATGCCACCATGTTTATGAATATACAAGACCTCATTGAACATGAAAATATTAAAATAAAGTTAATAGATATATTAGTATTCCTTCATTGCTTAGAGGTATGTTTTCAAATCATTTACTATTGTCATCCCTCGTAAAGTTTACAACAAAAAAAGTGATAAATCAGATTTTCTCTTCATGCGGACTACAACAAACTCATTTCTGTGTTTTACTAATTTACTTTTCTTTTCATGTTAGTACTTGGTAAAATTTCAGTCACGTCTGACCAAGATTTTTAATGACATTAATGTTGTTTTCCTAGAATTCAATCTCAAAAACTTAGGCTCCTAATGAAATTGTTCAGGTATAGAGGTGTTCATGCAATAAATGGTTTGTTTAATTTCAGCATAATGATGAAGAAAATTGGCCACAAGGTATTTGTGCATCATGTGTTACAACAGTTATAATGGCTTATAATTTTAAACTTAATTGTTTAAAAGCCAATGCTACATTGACACAAATTCTGACAATACAACCACTGAATCCTCAAAGTTCAGACTTGGACAACATTGACATAAATGTTGTCTATCAAGATCATGAGTATGGGCTTCCATTTTTTAGTAGTCAGTCAATTTTGGATTTTGAATCCACTACACCACCCAACAAAGAACTTACTCCTTTACCACCGGTCACCGAAATAACATCAACTGAACATCCACCAAGAAAAGTGGGTGAAAAGAAATATGTATGTTCATTTTGTAATAGGTCCTTCACAAGGATATATAGTCTAAGGTATCACATGGCAAAGCATAGCAATTTCTGCAAATATCTGTGTTCCAAGTGTGGAAAGAGTTTTTTTACCAATAATGGACTTAATCAACATCTCATTTCCCATAAGGATCCTCAATTCAAATGTGGATTTTGTAATAAAACATATAAAACAAGGCAGTCGTTAAAGGAGCATTTCCGATTGGCACACTCAAGCAATCGCTATCAGTTTGTTTGTGTTACATGTGGAAAGAGGTTTACAGTCAAATCCACTCTTATGAAGCATGCAAAGACCCATGATGGGCAGAAACAATTTGCATGTACTCTATGCCCTAAAACATATACAAGGGCTTCATATCTGCGGGTTCACAATTTAGTCCATACTGGAAAGCCAAAACCGAGACCTTTTCAATGTACCCACAATGGTTGTAGTCGAAATTTTGCTACCAAGCATTCTTTATTAGTGCATATAGCTCACAGTCATTCTAATGAACGACCGCACAAATGTGATATTTGTTCAAAGACATTTGCGACAATGTCTGGTTTGAAAGTGCATAAGGAATCACATACCACAAGTCAAGTGACCTGTACAATTTGCAGTAAAAAGTTATCCAACAAGAGAGTGTTACAAAAACACATGAAAATTCATGTAACATCTGCATAGTGATTATTTGTGAAGAAAATTTGGTAAACTTTTTTATTGTTATCTCAAAGCTGCGATGTCTTTTTTAATTAGGTTTTCAGTATAAGATTAATAATAATAGTCTGCATTCATAGAATAAACTATTTATGCATTTACAACAGAATGTTTTAATTATAAAAACCACCTTATAGATCACGGTTACATCAAATACATTGTGTAGTAACATTTATTATCAAAATCAAGTGATAAGCCAGAAATTGTGAACATTGGCCATTTAATGAGTTTCTCAGCAAATATAATTTATTTAACATAATAATTAATGTAACAATAGTGCTGTATGATAAGAAACATTTACATTATAATCAACCTAACTGCTCCCTGTACCACTTAATATTGATCTAGTACAATTTAACTAAACTGAATAGTGAAATAACATAAAATAATTGCAAATATATACATGAATAGACATGAGTAAATAAAATTAACAAAATATTTTTTAACTTTTAACTTAATATTATGCACTGTATTTACACTGGTTACTTTCCAAGTAGTTTGTTCATCTGTTTGTTTTGATGACCAATTTTAATATCAGCAGTATCAGCCTTATCTGAAATCTCATCTATCAAATGATTCTGAGTTTCAATCTCTTCACCTAATGCCATGCCCAAGCCTTTTAATCTGGAGATGTGATGAACCATTTCATCTAAATTAGCATCCAACATTTTATTAATACGCTGAGTGTCAGACATAGGGGCCACTGTAGATTCTTCTTGGTCTAGCCCTCTTAGTCTAGTTGTAGGATGGCTGCTGAAGCGATCAATTGGTGTACTTCCTCCAAAACCATCAAGTGTTTCATCTAATTTATTGCTTGGACCTGGTTTACTACTAATAGAACTGGGTGATGCTTGGCTCTTTGGTGGTGTCTGATCAGATTTACCTGATAAGTAATTCTTGAAGCCATAAAACACAGATTTAATACCGTTCAGATGTTTTTGACTGTATGTTAGGTTTGTATTAATATCATCTAATCTTCTGCTAGTGTTTTGTAGTTGTTCTCGTTGTCGAGCCAGCTCTTCAGCCGTGGCGATTCCAATTTGCTCTGATTCGCGAAGGAGACCTATGCTTCTGGACGACGAGTCAAGAGTGCGCTGCTCAATTTCTTTTTGCTTCTGTAACATTGTTTGTCGTTGTCTTTCTAAATCAGCCATGTATGATGACGTCTGCGTTTGAGGTTTAGGGGGCGGCCTTCTCGCAGCATAGCTGTTAACAAAGGTGTCGTCGTCCACGTCTTCATCTTCGAAGAGATTGTTGGTGTTGCTTATATATTTATGACCTGACATAGTCAAAATACTTGGAGCACAAGACTCTAATAAGTAAGGTTCTTTGAAAATTTTAAGACTGTTTTCTTTGTTTACTTGCTTTGCTAGAGAATATCACAAAACACAACTCTGAAGTATAAATGCCACAATATTACACTTTTTACGAAGTAATTTAGTATCTGGATAATTGTGACTCGAAATGATATTACAATTATTAAAAAAGTAAAAAAATTGAAAAATTAGGACAAATAGGAATTAATCACCATTCCGCAGAATTAGTATATCGATGTTGCCACATCTGAATACCTCCACGTACAGATTAAAAAATAATCTCAATATTTTGGATATTGCTATATCCATTTTTTTGTGCAGTCTATGTGTCAGCTGTCTAAATAAAGTCTTAAAGTCATATTGAAACGTTTATTTTGTTAAATTAGATACATTAATACAATAAAATTTATGTAACATATTTATGATATAATGATAGTAAAAGTTCTTATAAAACCTCAAAAAGTCCTTGCTTTTATGAGATGAATTTCAAGTATTAACTGAGGCAGAGCAATCCTCTTTCTCATAACAAAACAAATGTATTAAAGCTAATAAATGATAATTCAAGTGTTTTTGTGAATAATTAAAAATATGTTAGCAGCGAAAGGTAATTAAGTTCTATTATTGTGATATCAATTACATTGCCTAAGCTTTGTCCAATCTTAACTGAGTATTGTAATTTCAGTAAACACAGAGACAGAAGAGCAAAATAGAATAAGATTCCAGGTTGAACTTGAATTCGTACAATGCCTAGCTAATCCAAATTATATTCATTGTAAGTATTCAGTCATGTGTATATATGTGTTACATACATGTTGTATACCTTGATAAGAAGGAAATGTTTTCTGATCACAAGCCTAGCTTTCTAATGTCTGACCTTTTGTGTTTTTACATTCTAAATGATCAGAATTTGTATTTCTACTGAACTCAACATATTTAAGAATATGTTGAGTTTAGTAGAATAGTAGTAGAACTTTTACATTTACTTACATTTCTGTAAAATAATTTTAGTTCTTGCCCAAAGAGGATATCTCAAAGAACAGACCTTTGTGAATTATATAAAATACCTTCAATATTGGAAAGAACCAGATTATGCAAGATATCTCAAATACCCGATGTGCTTGCATTTCTTAGAATTGTTGCAGCATGAAGCATTTAGAAGGGAGTGTGTCTCTGCTCAGGTAATTTCTTATTGATTTAGATGTTTACATTACTTAAAAGATTTATATCTTGTTTAGAGTCTAAAAACAATACATATCCATGAGCAACATTTCAATTTTGTGCCATAATCACAATAACTATGTGGGTAGATTTAGATTAACTATTATACAATAAATTCACTTTTTCACTCACAATTTTTGATGGGTCAAATGGCTTACTAATTTTATGAAGTGATCTTTAATGGAAAGTCAAAAGCCCCTTTTGTCATTATAAACTACCATTGTTAGCTGTTATTGCCTGCCAGTTTGTACTCTGGGAAACGATGGATTATTTTAGTCTCGTTTAGGCACAGAAGTCTGATTTTTTAACCTATCTGAAAGAAAGCAATCAGTTAACTGACACATAAATGTGTTGGCCATGCTGGGGATTTCACACTTATATTCTGAAAATATTGGTATTATAACTATTTTACAGGTCTGTAAATTTATGGATGACCAAGCAATCTTATTATGGCAACATTATACAAGAAGACGGACACGAACATTGCAACCCCCTGACACTCCTGTACCTCCTACTACATCTAATTCCATTCAACATCCACCTCGACAGCCATAGGAAAATAGGACTGTAACAGGTTAATTTTTAAGATAGTGTTATACAAGTTTTTTATTAAACGGGAAATAATATTAAAAAAAAAAACTGTTTGATTTTTTTCTTTAGTTCAGGAAGAAAAATTGCTAACAATAAGTACAATCAAATAACACTTTTCTTTTATAAGGCTTAGTCCATAATGGCATAATAAGGGAACTAAAAGTTATATGTATTTCAATATGTTGGCATTTCTTCTTATTTCTAAGCTAATTATTAATACGTGTCTAATCTAAGCAAAACACTTTTGTTGTTTAATAATATAGAATCTATAATAATATAATGTTTACATGACAGGCCATAAACAAAAGTTGTGTTTTTAACTACTACAACTAGATCTTAATCTGCACTAATTCTTATTGATAATTATCAAAGAGAATTTGTATGTCTTTATAATAATATATGTCAGATTCCTAACTTCTCTGAAATTTGATAGAATTATTATGAAAACCTATTAATACAACGTATTACTGAAGTAAGAATGGAATTAAACCGAAACTGCTGAAACAGTTTCTGCTTTATTTTTTTAGCCTTTGATGATTTTATTTTACAAAAGGCTGTACTTGTCTACGTCTTACTACACATAAAGCTCGTAAAGTGAGGTAGTACAGTAGTTCTACTGCACTCATCATACTAAACCCCATGCACAGACCGAGTAGACCTCCCGTGTTTGCTGGAACATAAAAGATTACTTTAAAGGTTATATGTGTTGCCAAGAATTGCGTTGCGTTAAGGTCCTGGGTTCAGAATCCCGAGAAAACAATGTTTTACTGTCTTGCCTGCTAGACATGGTACATCAATTGGTAATACTAGCATCACGAAACATCGTGTATGACGGTTGAAGTCTCGTCCGTGTTGCGGAAGGTTTTTCAATCCGATTTTTTATTTTTAAAAAGCTTGCCAGTGTATAAAATTAATTAATAAAAAGACACAGATAAAAAGAAAACAGTGAATCTCCGATCCATGTATGGGTCAAAAGCATTCTATTTTAGAAGTTAATTATAATAAATCTCCTATGAATTCAAGGAAGACTTGGTATTATGTATCATCTAATAATGTGTCATCGTATATTTCCGTGTTATTTTAATTTTATTTGAGTATATTATAAAAAGAATAATGTTCTATATGTTATATGTAAAGTTATATCATAAATAAAACAAATAAACATAGGTTTATGCTTAACTCACAAAGAAATTCAGTCAATCCAAAAATTTCACCTTTGGTAAATCTTAGAAACTTCTTATCTTCAAAGTAAAAATGTATGACCAACATGTTTGTTCTGAAACATCATAATAATTGTAAGATTTGTGAATAACTGAACACACTAAGTTAAACAATACCCGTTCAAGGTTTAATGCTTGATTAGTATATATTCTACAACATAAAGTATCATCACCACCTAACAACGGCCCGATTATAAAACTTAAAAAAACAACTCATAACAGTTTAAAACGTGGAATTTAAAATTTTCCATACGTTTGCTCATGTTATAAATATATAGAGAAAAAAATGAAGACACGCGCAGAATTTGAACCGGCATCTACTGTGCTCCTGGCTGTTGCTCTAACCATTGATGTTTTCGCGCAATGGTTTAATTTAACGTAAAATATATTAATTAAGTTACTTTTAATTAAAATTGGATGTTTCGCATACTTACGTAAAGTATTCCGAAGTTACGTTACGCGACATCTGTATGCTCTGAGCGTAATTCATTATGAGGTTCTTATTGAGTGGAGCTGTGCTCAGTCGCTCGAGGTATGATATCTCCGTGCAGGCTGGTAAGCATTCGTCGCACGATTGATCGTCACCTGAAATCCGGTTAGTGGCATATGCTTACGTTGGTATGACGGCTGGAGAGGTCGTAGGTTCGACTCTCGGTTTTGCACCAAAATAATTGATATTATTCAATAATACCTACATCTATTAATTTTCTTGGAATTCAAACCTATATTTGACGCCTTAACAACAATGAAACAGTGTAACGGTTTAAAACGAGAATTATATTACTTAAACTTATTTACAAATTATTTCAACTACGGCCCGAGGTTTCGGATGCTTTGCAGCAGCCATGTCTCTACGTGTCCATGGGCCGTCTTAAATTAATTAATTAATGAGTCTTATCCAAATGTACTACTCACGTATGTGTACGTGATGATATAGTAATGTAAGATATTTACTTAATGTACGCATGCCAAATAAGGTTTGTAGAGAAAATATTGTTAAATAAATAATATATCCTAAAATTGTACCTTTCGGTATATACTTCCACATGTTACTGTAGCATTTGGCATCCGCTTTTCCGCATATTCTGGTTGTTTTATTTTCTGAAAAAATATAAGTCCATTATATTATGCCCGAATTAATTACGTAAGTATTGAGTTTTAATAACTTACTCGGCATATAATAAAGAACGCATTTGCATATTTCTAACATTAGTCGTGCTTCACATTCCATCTGGCAATTTTTGAAAGTGTATGTTCTAGAAGAGGTTGTATTTGAATTCAATTTAAATTAAAAACAACTATTTTTATTGTATATAACATTATGTTATGATAATCTATACTAATATATAAACTGAAGAGTTTGTTTGAAAGCGCTAATCTCAGGAACTACGAGTTCGAATTGAAAAATTATTTGTTTTGTGTTGGTTAGAACATTTATCGAGGAAGGACATAGGCTATCAAACATCGCCCTGACTAATACAAGCGAAGACACAGCGACAAAATGTGAAAAGGGAAAATTATTCATCATTTTTGGTTTCCCAGGGCGTACGTTGCAACGGTTCAAGCTACCCAGAAACAATATATAAAAGATTGATTCCTCTTTAAATGATCTAAAAAAAAGTCCACCACGCAATATCTCTTTTTATGATAGATAGAGATGTACTCGCAAGAACGACGGGAACTGGACGATGGGTCGCGATAGCGTTGGTTAGGACAGTTTGCAAAAACAATTTTGGATGCCCAAAAAAACTATTCTACGCGAAGTCGGTGACTCAGCTAGTAATTTGTAATCTGTACCTGTAGAAAACCAATTCTTGTTCGCTTGAAAACAGACAATATCTCTTGCTGATGTGGATATTTTTTAGTTGGGGCTGTGCGTCCAGAATCCGAGGTTTTATAGCCACCCTTGCCTCGATTCCAGGGCCGTAGATCTCCCCTAGTTTCGCGATTTTTGGAGTTTCGGTTGGATTGTGTAGAAGAATCTTTAAAATAAAAAAATGTTTGTTCATAAGCTGTTAAATTGTAATTAATATAATAGTACTAACTTTAAATCCAACGCTTTTGGTGGACGCGCAGTAGTATTCAGGTATGTTTGCGTCAAGAATTAATGTCAATCCATGGTCGGTTCCAATTCCTAGAAAAAGCTATACATTTTTTACCATATGTATAATAAAAATACAATAACACTCAATCATTATAAATATGAAAGTTAACCTTTGGGCTTCCACGGAAAGCCATCTGGTGGTGCATCATCCGGGTAACCATTTTCTGGGGTCCAGTCGACAGCTGGTGATGGAAAAGTGATGTTCATGTCGTTTAAGTCTCGTCTGCAATAACTTTTGTATCAACTTAACGTAAGCGTTTACACAAATAACTCGTAATAGCGCATAACGCGAAGTATGTAGTACAATTTGTTTGTAACTTCAACAATGGCAAACGGCGGATCCAGGGTTATATGACCCCCCTGGACCCGCCGTTGATTACGGCTAAACTTTTCTCTTTTGCAGCAGCCATGGTCACGAGTGAGACTACAGGCAATACTTAATAAAGTACGCGTGTTTTTAAAAGTATTCCGTGCGAAAAACTTAAATCTACTATTCGGAGTAGTTAGGACATGGTATTTGTGTCGATTTGTCAGTAGATATGATTGAACAAATGAAAGAGGCACAGAAATATGTCTACCCGAAGTCTGTTAAAAGTTAAATATAACTTCTAATTACATACTAATTATGAGAGGTAAATTATTAATTTGGCCATAATGCTTACGGATTTCGGAACATCATATCTCTGTGAACCACATTAAAGGTGCAGCATAACCCCTCGTCTGTCAACTGTGCATTAAATAGATCCTGACAGCTCATCGGTTTTGAGTTCCAAATACATATTGCCAGCATCTCCTCACACGGTTGTGTTACCTGGAGAAATAGAGTTGGTAAGAGGAAAATAATAAAGACAGTTGTTAAGTGACAATAATATGGCTGTCTTCAGTGAAATAGCAACAGATATTTCTCTGAAGACTGCCATATTTAGGCATATGTGTATTATCTACGAATTGCATCGAGGATAATACACATATGCAACGCATATCCTATACTACAATTACATATTATACAGTTAAAGAGTTTGTTTGAACGCGCTTATATTAGGAACTACTTTTTGAGGCCTTGCGTTGCCTGTGCTGTAAACGACGGTGTAGGCAACAGCTAAAATGGATTAAGATGAAAAGGGGTTTGATGCCTAAAATAATATAAGTTTAGATAATCCTCATTTCTTTTTGATGGCAAATAATATTTATTTAATATCACATTAAAGAAAAAAATACAGACATACATACGTTGATAAGAAATGATCGAGTATGGTCCCAATCAGGGCTTTCAGCTAAACTGTCTTCAAATAAGTCCGCATCGGTTTGAGTAGAACAAAGACTTTCCAATAGTTTCTTGCCTACGGAATTTCTGTTTCACGGGGAATATGAAAGAATTACTAAATATAACACGATGGCCTTTCAGTACCAAGGAGTGTTACAGCGATAAAAAAAAATTCGTTTTTGCATAAATTTTGAGAAATTCTGAAACATGGTTCAACTTCTAATCGTTCGAATTTAGACATTACGTAAAATGCAATCTTCTCGAACTCGAGGCAAAGGTCTTTGTAGTCTATTGTTAATAGAACTTTTTATTCTTACCCAGACGCCATATAACGTTCCGCAACCGACTTCTTTGCCTGGTTTACATTACATATTGTTAGAGCCGGGAATGGCAGTTTGTTGATTGGCATGTCTTCAGCATTTATGCTCACTATCATCGGAGACATTCGCCATTTTGCATACACGTTGAGAATAAAAAATCCAGCGCAAATTAAAGAAGAAACGAACGCTGTTAGCCAAAAGAACCTGCGGAGACATTATTAATAGTTAAGTAGGTACACAGGATTAGAACAAGTCGAAGACATTATTTTTATTGGAGCTAAACTGACGAGTCTTGTGACGAGACGGATGACCAACCACCATCCTCAAATGAAAAAGTCAGTCTGTGGTCTTCTGAATATCCGAAGGGAAAATATGACGACAGTGCATGTTAGATGTTTATATGGCTTAGGTTTTTCACCTAACACCAAGCGAACGCCATGCTTATCTATCCTCCGCTACAGTGCTACACACTACTGTTTGTCACTATAGGCATTGACGAAGTTATTGTGTTACCCATACATGACATTAAGAAGATACCTTTCAAACCAAGTCAACTTCTTTTCACCGATGTACCGCAGGCCATGCAAAGTGGAAGTCAGCAGATAATCTCTCAGATCTTTAGAGAACCCTTCGATTTTTTCCTGAGACTTTTCTTTGCTTTTGTGACTCAAATTCTAAAAAAGTATATCTTTATTATTATATAGAAAACTCTCTTTTCAAACTTGACTCATTATTTATATAGGATCTTCAGTAAGATTATTAAAAGTAACCGTCTTAAATAAATCTTTATAAATCGATGTAAAGAGTAATTCAAGGAAATAAACATAATATTCACCCCAATATTAGTCGTGTTGGATCTTTGTGTCCAATAATACGGTGTGTCAACCACTGCTCCACGAGTGTTAGTAGCAAACCACTCATTTTGCTAAAATTATTCCAAGTATAAAAACGACTTTTACATGTTATTACATAATGGATATAATGATAATAAATATAAGTAGATACACATCAGAAGACTCACAAATGTACGAAAACAGAAGATAAAACACGAATATTCATAACACAGATAACACTAGTATTATAAAAATCAAAATAATATTGATCTCTCTATACCTTTATTTGTAGGGTATTTTTGTTTAATTTTCCTCGTTTCTTGGAAACCATTTTTCACTCGCAATATCAGTGATAATGTTGTTCTATTTATGACGAGATTTTTCGACAAATATTTTCGATTTTCTAATTCAAAATAAACTCTTTAAACTGATATCCAGTGCTTGTGTGACTGTTTTACAGTCTAATCTACTTGATAGCATAAGTTAATTTCCAACAGCCAATATTTGTAGTTTAATCGGTTGATTGCGGTCGTATGATACACCGTCCTTGTACCTCCCGTTTTGATGCTAAAATTATACAGTTTAACGTAAAATTATCTATTTGTCCCTCTAACCTTCTTGTGTAATTGTAGCAAGTAATCGTAAATCAAGTTAAAAATCTATAATTATCGTCGCTAAATTACACCCTGTAAGCTTTACGCGTTCTTTCTAATTAATCTAAAGTCTCGAGTATACTTTGAACGACATTTCGTAATATAGGCTGCGTATTTGTAGAATAGTTAAAAAATAAAACAGTTAATATTGAAACAATTGAATTTGGTAATGCACTTATTTTTATAAGTTATAAGAAAGAAGTTGCTAAACCAATATTGTCTATAGTTTACGCGAGTAGTACACATTTAAATAAAACACTTTAACAAAAGCTTTTAAGCCGAAACTGCTGCAAAGCATCCGAAACGTCGGGCCGAAGTTAAAAATCAATTTCAAATAAGTTTAACTAATATATCGCGTTTTACACGGTTAAAGTGTTTTATTTAAATACTTATTTCTTTTCAAAATAAACGTATGTCTTACTCACATATTAGTCTGCTAAATATACTTAACTATACTTCAACGCAAGATATATCTGCAGTCATTAATATTGTATAGTCTGTGGTCAGTAAGTTAAATGGCATGTTTTGTGATTAACATTGTATTACGCTAATGTTGATATTCGTTCCATGTCCTAAAAATAATTATGTGTTAGTTATTGTTCTAATCAAGATCCACACGCGAATATAATTATGTCTACGGTCACACGTGCTAGTTAATTTACACAAATTGATGTTTCATAACTTAAATGATACGATATTTTTTAATAATACACTTTTAACGGTTTAAAACGCGAAATGTATTAGTTACCTTATTTACAATTTATTTTAACTACAGCCAGACGTTTTGGATGCTTTACAGCAGCCATGGTCACGGGGAGTCAGTGTTTTATTTACTTTCATACTCGCGTGCAGAGAATTTATTAGTTACTTACCAAATAAATGAATAGATGATTTTAATAAGTTTTTATAATGGAAGGAAGTCATTTTTTTGTGATATGGGAGAGACAAGCATGGTTTTCCTAAATACAAGATGATTAACAACATTAAAATTAAAATATAATTAGAGTATGAATTGAGTTGTCTATTTTGGCTTTGGACATTCAAAAATTCCTAACCGGAATCGAATTGCGGACCTACGCTCCAACGCACCATCTGAGGTTAGCGTCCTTGATGGAATTTCGACTACCACCTATTCAGTCCAAAATTTATAAATCGAAATATAAAAATAAACAACATATTTCACCTGGTTAGAGTCGAATCCACAACTTTTTGCCATTCAAACAACGAGAAATAGCGTGAACGTTTTGTGTTTTTTCATGAATTGCTTTTTTCACTATACCTAGTAAGCTTAACTTAACTATAAATAGTATTCTAGGAAAATCTAATTTATCAATGTTATTGTCTTTTAATTGCAGTCATTCGTACATCAATTACTTTGCAAACATTCAGAAATTTTCATTTCCAGTGTTAATTGTTGTTTGTTTATAGTGTTGTTTGAAATGGGCGTGTAATGAAAGATTATGTGATAAAATTTTCTGTTTCATATATTTCTTTACGCATACAATATACATATAATTAATATTTAGGTAGTATGTACAAAAGTAAAGTCCGTTTAATTATAGTTTTAAAAAAGGAAGCCATAGGAAAGAATAGGCTGACGCACTTGCACTTGGAAGAGTTCCTAAACGAAGAGGAGATCGAAGGGAAGAAAGGCTTCTCGACGTGGCTCTAGGACGTCATGAGCTCGCGGTCGCCGAGACCGCGCGTGACGTGCTAGAGGTGTCTAGTCACCAGAAGATGAAGAAAGGTTTCACCAGTGCTGTTGTTGGTGAGCGGGGGGAGCGTTGTGGGCGACTTGCGCGTGCGCCGCTAAGTGAGCAGCACGAGCGGCGGCGACCTCGGGGGTTTCCAGGATACCAGCTCCGTTTTGGGCCAATCTGATGTTAGCGGCGGGTCCCTGCCAAGAGTGAGCACCGTTGTTGTTCCACTGGTTGTGGGCTGGGGCGTTCCATTGGTTGTTGGCGGGAGCGTCCCACTGGTTGTGGGATGGAGCGTTCCATTGAGATTGAGGGGCGGATTTGGCTGCGGAGAGAGCGGCCAAGTGAGCGGCGCGAGCTTGAGCTACTTCTGGGGTCTCAGCGACGGGAGCGGGGCCAGCGCCGGCGGCGTTCCAGGCTGGGGCGGCGTTCCAGGAGGGGGCGGCGGGGGCGGCGTTCCACTGGTTGGCGTGACCACCGTTCCATTGGTTAGCTGGGGCACCGTTCCATTGGTTGGCCTGGGCACCGTTCCACTTGTTGTCAGCTCCTTGCCAGTACTCTTCGTTGTCCCACCGAGGGTCGTATGAGCCGTCGTCCTGGGGGTTGGGGTTGTGTTGCGAAGCCTGTTGGAGAGCGGAGAGGTGAGCGGCCCGGGCCTGGGCTACTTCGGGTGTGTCCAGGATATTCCGTCCATCCTGGGACAGGGCGATGTTGGCGGGTGGGCCGGCCCAACCGGATGCGTGGGCTCCGCACGCCAACGCCAAACAAGCTACAACAATCTGTGGACAAAGAGAATATGTTTAAGATATGATACATAATTTTATGCTTTATTAAAATTGTTCATACTTAATTCTTACATAAAGTAATGATAAATACAATTGTAGAATGGAAAAAGATTAAAGGCGACTTAACTACTAATAAACTCGTAGTTGAATCGGTAATTAAATTGACAAATCCAGCCGTTGAGTTATTTTAGCATGCCGGTTGGTCGTTTTAATTTTATTTATGCCCTAGTTTTAGCTAAGTAACTGCGTGTTAAAGGTTTAATAATAATTGTTAATTTCAAGTATCTAAAACCCTTTAGCGGTGATAATAAATCTTTATAGAATTTAGTTTGAAGTGAGAAAATAAGTGCTTTTATAGTCACGATATGCTGTATAAGGAATGCAGAGAAACGTTGCCACAGTTTTTTTGCATCCATTAATTATATTAGAAGCCCTTGATACAATCTCTGAGCTAGTTTCAATGTTAACGGGAGGCTTGGAAATATGCAATAATATGAGTAAGTGAAGTAATTATTTAGATGCACTTTACGAGAAGTTTCTCAAAGTTGTCTTAGCGGCGGTAGTTTGTAAAGTCCACCGACTCGCACTGGAACAACGTGATGAGTCTTAAAATACCCAGGACCAAGATGAGCAGTGTAACTAAGTGAAATTTCGGCTATACAATTGTCTTGCGTAATCTTTATCAATGTCAATATCACGCCTCTATGCATAGGATAGTTTCAAATAATTGGAGCGTAAACTTGATGGAAACATGATGAGATTATTAAGGAATTTGCGGCGAGCCTAAGTTCAGTATCACGTAATGATGTCAGGGTACGCGAGATCGTGGTCAGTACAGATTTGTACAGCTGCCGGTTCATTTGACGACGTAATTATAACATTGTTACAATTAGTAAGCGGATGACGATGTCAATAAAGTGTGTTCGTTCCAAGTTATAATTGAAGTTGTTTAAGTTTAATTTAAACACTTAACGGTTTGAAACACGAAATATTAGTTAAATTTATTAAAAAAATAATTTAACATTGAACGACGTTTAGGATGTTTTCAGCAGCCGGGAAGACCGTTTAAAAAGTGTTTTATTGATTTGTATACTACTCCCGTAAACTACAGACAGTATTTAATAATTAACTAACATGTCAATAATTAACTTGTGATTGTAATTCTATATATGTAAACTTCCTTGTAAAATAAGAAGCAGTTGTATTTTTGTTTTTTTTGCTTATTAATCAAAGTACGTTAATGTTATTTCTAAATAAATTACAATAGTAACAATATTATTTATACCCATGCAAGCTTTGCATAACAATTTCAAAATTCATTTTAGACAATGTTATTGCAAATAGTTTCACGTGTTGTGAAAATAAATGGTTTAACGCCGCTAAAATTCAGATGTTTCTAAAAGCACGTGACGTTACAAAATCACTTGATAAAATCGTGGTTTTTATTTGTTAACGTCTCGCCCTTGATTCGCGACTTTTATGTTTTCGGTGGCGCAATCGCGGTATTTATGTGCAAATATGAAAACTTAAGGTCTTTGAAGGTACGAATTTGGCAATAAGGTATTCCTAAAAAGGCCCGATTGAAAGTTCACCTGACCGAAGGCCGAAGTAAAAACAAAGTCATTTACCGGAGCCCACTCTTTCATTCGTTATTCATGACGAACAAAAGTAATGTGCTGAGTGAATGGCGTCAAGGTCTGAAGGCTAGTTGAAGGTCGCGGAGCAGGAAGCCAGCCTTCCGGACCAGCCTACCGTCACATTCAGCAACTGGTTACCCTCGCATATCAAATTGACATTTGCGACGACTTTTTATTTGCCCTATATATCGATCGCGACTTGCGTGGTATAGTCATAAATAGTTTAGCTAGACATCCGCGGTTCAAAGCGTTGAGCACGAACTCTGAATCAACATTATCGAGAAGCTTTTATTGCATGGTAGCAATGTAAGGCTAATAAACCACGGTTCGTGGGTTCGATCCCCACAGGGTGACATCATGTGTCTTATTTTGAAGCATGTTGGACTTGGTCTGGAAATCTAGATACTAAATGGGTGGTAGGAATATCGACATTTCGTCCGGATCACAAACCGTCCACAGATGAAAAAGCCATGTTTAATCGGGTTCCGATTTCAGTCTAGGAATTTCCGAATATTGGCTTTGGCATAACAGATCACCTCTACCATCAAGTGCTTGCTTGTATCCTATGTCCTCCTCTATATCAAAGCTTAAAAATTAATAGTTTCGGTCGGGTAGGGCTCAAACGTCGATCTATAAAATTTAACATAGAAATTTGACCGCCCCTCACCCAGCAGAGGGGTGAATGGGTTTCTTCAGCAGCATTACTCGCTTCACTAATGTACGAATTCCACGCTGCATGAATTTGCGACATTTAATTGCTCTATTGCGCGACAATTAAACAATTTGCCTAATTCCCACAATATTCGCGACTGATGTTCAATTAGCTGAATGTATAATTATTCCTATCTGGCGTGGTGAATTGGTACCGAATCTTTTAGATCAGTGGGCGGTTCGTAATTAGGTATAATTGTATATTGATTGCTGTGACGGTGTGCGTGGGTATGCCCTTCTAAACGAGTACGCTACGGAATGCAGACAAAAAGTTGTCTGTATGAAAGAGGCAAGTCACACCGTTTAGAACGCGACATGGAAAAAAGGAAAGAACGAGAAAGAACAATTCTCGATAGGGATTCTCGTGGGTATATTATGTAGAATAGAATAGAAGAAAAGAAAATCGATTAGGTTGATACTACTTTTTTATACAACGATCAATCGAACACAAAGACGATTTGATTAATCGAATTCTTCTGCTATTATATATATAGAAGAATTTATACTATGGCAACTTTTAACCTTATTTCAGTATTTGCAGTCATGCGGTATGATTATGATTGATGCTTCCATTCCGTGATTTTAGATTAGGACAACGAGATCGTAACGAAACAAAGCTTGTATTTACACAATGAAATTTCGATGACAAATTTTCAGTCATTAAACATTCGATTCAGATCAATTTGATGAAGTCACGGTGGCGCTGTGTTCTTCGGCAGCTTGCCTTTGTTCAAATGCAATTGCGAGCAATTTACTGAGCTTCCAATAACAAGATTTTTCGCAATTTTTGCGTCATATTAGGGTTTTACTTTAACATTTTAAAACGTTAAGTTAAATATTTGTCTTACGGCTGTAACGTTAATGTCGATAACAAACCAACAACTGCTCGATTTTAGGTAACAAATAGTATCCAAATGCACGCAAGTGTAATGCATGAAGGGATTGTTAATAGACATTAACGCCGATCCAGTTGACATTGCGTGCGTAAATGGATTATGATCGAACGACGTTGGAGGTGAAGCACTGCGCTTGTCTTACTTTGTAGGTGTTATAACGTCTTAATACACGCTGTGATTAGTGCAAGCGCCGTCGTCATGACAACGATATAATCTGCACCTAGTGTGTGTAACACACAAAATACACATCAGTTAGACAAGCTACCACGACTTCGTTCTATATGTACATTTTTTACACATATTATTATAAAAGTATTCCCTTGAAAGGCCTTTTAAACTTTCGTTACTTCGTAATACTTTGACATAATTCCACCGTGTTTTCATAGTATTGAGCGCTTGTAACCAGTTGACTCTATGCAACAGAAGCTTTTTATAAGTGGCATCTTTATTTGAAAACGTGACTAGTTCGCTACGGATCGTAGACTTCGTAGAGCTTCGTAAAAAGCAGATATAACCTTTTTAATGTCATACATACATATATAAATATTACATTTATATCTCAAAAAACCTATTAAGAAGCAGATTTCATAAAACAGATTAGTTAGGCAATTATAGAATTGGACATTGGTACACTTTTATACGCTATTTCCTCTATAATGCAATAAAATGATTGTTTTAAAACGATATAGGAAAAAACTTAACTAGAGCATAAAAATGTATGCATTGACAATGACCCGCTAGAGCGTGCGTGCTTTGGTAACTTTACTACATAACTTTCAACATTTAACAATTACAGTGTAATTATAATAGAAACTCTTCACACATCAAAACTAGATTCAACTTATATAATTACTGCATGGTTCATTAAATATTCTTGCGTTTTCGCTATCAACGTATGACGAAAGAAATTGGAAATGTGCATTTCGTTCCACGATTTTCCGCAACGGAATGTTTTTAAATTTATATTCTTTTTTTTAAATTTTTTGAAATTGTAATTTTCTACAATGGAACGTTTTTGAATTTATATTCTTTAATTAACTTTTTGAAAATGGAATTAAAACTTAAATAGGTTTATTTATAGATACCGCGACGGATTTGCTAGTGCGTAGTTGTGAAAACATGGGCTGACAGAAAATTAGATTACTTTATTCAATACTGGTATCTAGTTGAAGGTTAAATATCCGGCTTGGGTATAGTTAGAAAACAGTGCAATAACTGGTTTTCATATCAGATACAATAAACAATTATTAAAATTACCCTAAACATTGAATCAGATGTAAGATTTATTGGATATTTGGTATTGTTAGTGTCAAGAAAATATTTATAAGCCTTGTAATAAATGAAAAAGAAATTAAAGTGTTAGTGATAAGAGAATTCCATAAATTTTCAGTACTCACCATGGATTTCATTTTTGTGTTAAGAAGTAAAGCACAGAAGTGAAAGAAAAGAAAGAGGTTAATGTTTTTTTGAGTCTATATAGCGCTGATGGAAGACTAATGTCTTCCAGGATTCGCTATGTCGAAGTGCAACTTGCGTCTGTACGAAATGAGGGCGGGAGCTGTCTTTTATACTTCGCCGCTTGCGCAGAGGGGCTGTAGCGCTCGCTCGTGAAAGTCTTGGGACATGCCATTGATAATAGACGAATATCATTCGTATATAATATTTCAATGGCACTATTTTGGGTTTCATTTCGTGAATTATTGATACTGACAGTATTATTCATGTGTTTATTTAGAATGTCAAAGGTAAATGATAGATTTTATTGTGTTACAATTTATTTGTCAGTGCAGATATTTGATGATTGTCTTTTGTTTGCCTTTATGCCCCAATCTATTCGTATCTTACGATACAATTACGATAAGGCGACGACTAAAGGTAATATAGGTAGATAGATCATTTTAATTAGTTATGGCTTTTATTTATTGATATCCTATGTTTTTAAAATAAGAGTTATTAATACAATAAACGGAATACCTAAATATTTGAACCAATTATCTGTTAGTTTACAAAAAAGCAAGTAACTGAAATGAACTAAGTATTTGTCTATAGGTGAGGAGAATTGTACACATTTAAATTAAACATTTTTAACTGTTTAAAATGCGACATATTACGTATTATTACTTATTTTTAATAATGACATCTCGTGACCGACTTGATATAAAGAACCCGTCTACCTAAACCCGTCTATTAAAATATACCATTTATAAGATAATGAATATTTGGTCTAAAAGATTAATTCTGACAAATACATACGTATCGCACAATCCAAGGCACCAAATATGGTTTATCGATAAAGTTCTAGTGCCCTTTTGGAATAAAATATCCTAAAGGGATTGAGGATTTTGTGGATATAAATTTCGCGTTGGTAATGAAGAGTCAAGTTACAAGTAACCTCCGCGATCAAGGTGCTGTAAATATCGATACACGTACAATTAACGTATCGTTTATCATACTTAAATCTCATACGAACTGATATCTTTATCTCAATTTACTAATATAATACTTCTAAAGATCATAATTACACGTTTAGTAGAGATAAACCAAGCCAACATTAGCTAAAGAAATTATAAATGTACAACAAATACTGAATTTGAGACTATTAAATTATATATCACGTAGTTATTAAAAATTGCTTGTCCATAGTTTACGCTAGTAGGCCACATTTAAATAAAACACTTTTAATGGTTAAAACGAGAAATATATTACATAAATAAGAGCTGTGGTCACGGAAGGGCTGCAAAGCGTCCGAAACATCGGGCCATAGTTTAAATAAAATAAAAATAACTCAGCTAATATATTTCGTTTTAAACCCTTACTAAAATTTGGGAAATGCTAAAACATATATTACACACACTATATTAATACAATGTGCCATTTGACAGTTTTGAGTATGTGTAAACAATGTATATGTGTGTGTCACCTGCCCAATCGGAACTATTTTCTACTTTTCCTGGTTTCAAATCTAGGATCTTCCGCAACGTGTTTAATGCGGCATACAAACGGTCAATATATATTATAATAGACAAATTATAGAAATACTTGTTCGAAATCACTTTTACTTACATTTGATATTATCTAAAGCAATTTTTTCTCACTGCTTGTTCTAAATTAAATCTCACTATCTAGATCTCGTAGAACAAGTTTAATTTGTTAAGTTTTCGGCCTTTTGCAATGTAGTTAAGATGTGATTTGTGGGTAGATTTAATTAATTTACAACTATCGTGACGAGATATGAAGATATATTATGCTTTTAGGCGCCGCTTTTTACAACTTAATATGTAAATAATATCTAATAATACATATTAAACAGACGTTAGTGATATTAGTAAATATTTTTGTTGATTTTTTTTTGTGATATTGAAGATCTTGATGATACTCTGATCTGGGGTCACTCAAACTAAATGACCTAACTGATCAGGGGTTTTAGCTTGAAAATGTGATCATACAAAGTTATCTTATGGTAATGAGGTGCAAATATTTAATTAGAAATACCTTGTTCGATCCTTTATACTCCCTACGTTACAAAAGAGTTCAACGCGTGAATGTAGTGTCTACTGTTGACAGATAACATATTTATTTAAAGTTCGAACGCTGTTTTTTCTATTTAAATAATGTAATTAGAGGTATACCACTTTTGTAGTTGTAATGGAGACCAATGAAATCGTAAAGACAAAAAATACGTCATAAAAGTTAGTTAACTAATAAAACTTAAAAATATAAACGTTTCTTTTTGCATACAGCATTCCAGTTAAAACTTGCTCGTTCACATGCCTACCTGTTAAAAAAACGTCCAAATCACACGTAACGGAAATGTTAGTGGTCCACGGGATAAATGCAAGGTCAGAGGTAAGAAATACTAAGTCGTTATTTCTGTGAGACTTTTAATTTCATGATTACGTCGCTTGCATTAGAATTAGTTTCTTTTTTTATCTAAAACTGTCAGTAAATTAGGTTAAATTTAAATTACTTGGCTTTGATTTAATGTCTACATTGTATATGTATCAAAAGTAGATTAAGTATTTGTTCAATAATGATGACATAGTTATATAAATTAATATTTAACAAAATTATTTTAAAAATTATATTCATCTTATTAAAGTACATTAGAGCTTATAAAAATTACAAAATATATTTTACATATATG